GAAGGAGCACCCTGCTCCCCCACCCCCTCTCTCAAACCCCCATACCCCAACTTCCACCCAGTCCTCTCTCTCAGCCTCTACAAAGGATCCTGAATCTGAGTGCCCTCCCACCTCATGTGCTTTTCATAAAGCAGGAGTCCGCGAACGATGGCCCACGGGCCAAATCCAGCCCACCACCTGCTGTGATAAAGCTTTATTGGAACACAGTCACGCCCGTTTGTGTATATATTGTTTATATGGTGTTTCGGGCTATAACCACGGGGCTGAGTAGTTACAACAGGGCTGCACAGTCTGCAAAGCTGAAGATATTTACTCTCTGGACTTTTAGAGAAATGGTTTGCTGACCCTGGTCCTAGCAAACGCCCTTACCTCTCTGGCTCTGCCTCAGGGCCTTTGCACTGGCCCTGCCTAGAAGGCTCTTTCCCTAGATTTCCACACGGCTCCTCCTTCCTCTCCTTCAAGTCTCTGCTCAAATGTCATCTTGTCTCTAGGGACAATCTTGACCGACTTATAAAAAATTGCAGTATCTGTCCTGTCATTCATCCCCCATTCCCACTTTCTGCCTCCCCGTAGTCCTTATCACTAGGTAGTAGAGTCTGCCCTTCACTGATGTATGCCGGGGATTGCCTGTCTCCCCCAGGCAGGCATTTACCGCTGCTTGGTTCATGGCTGTATTTCCAGGGCACAGAGTGGGCTCAATAAGTATTTGATGAGTCCCTTCTTCTGGGGTTCAGTCAATCCCCCTTGTTTCTCCAGTGGTTGAAAAGAAGGCCCCTGCCCTGCCCCCTCGAGACCCTGAGGCCCACTCCCCCCCCACACCGAAGTGCCACCTACCTGCAGAGCCTCGCAGGAGCTCTGGGTGAGCACCTGCCACTGTAGCCCACGGTCCAGGTGCAGCTCACCACTGCCCTGCAGCTCACAGGCCCCCACCTGTAGCTCCAGACCCAGCCGGTGCCCGGCCTCCCACCCAAGCTGGACAGTCAGCAAGGCCTCCGGGGGGACGGCCCGCAATGCGGGCAGCGCGTGACTTAGCTTCACTTGGAGTATGGCCTCGGACTGGTGCACGGCCGCTGCCAAGGTCAGGGAGGCGGTCTGGCCGGCCCATGCGAGGGCCCCGGATGCCTCTGCTTCCCCACCTGCGGCCTGCAGGGAGCCAATGAGCTCTGTCCCTGCTGGGAGGCCCAGGCCCTGCCAGACCAGAGGGGGTTCAGAGAGAGGTCCCAGGTCAGGAGCGAACCCGATTCTCCATCAGCCACCCTCTAATCCCTCCAGCCCCCAGCCCCCCAATCTGTGCTTCCCTTGCTCCCCCCACCCCATGCAGATAACAACAAAACAGCAGTAATCACAAAACACAGCTATCCAGTGTAGAAACTCAGTACCCCCACAGCCTCATGCTAAGTGCTCTGCAGGAACCACCTCTCTTCAGCCTGTTCCCAGCCCTGAGCTGGGTAGTCACTGTCCCCGTGTGACAGATGGGGATACTGAGGCTCAAAGAGGCAAAGCGCATGCCCAGGGTACCAGGGGGTACCAGCAGAGCTGAGGTCTGTACCTGATCTATCTGTGCCTCTAATCTAGGCCGTCCAATAGGATAGTCGCTAACGACGTGGGGCTGTTTCCATTTAAATTAAAAGGAAGTAAAAGGAGAAACTCAGTTTCTCGGTTGCACTGGTGAGCACCATGCTCAGTAGCTACATGTGGTTACTGGCTACTGTCTTGGACTCAAAGGAAGAACTTTCCTTCATCCTAGAGCTCGAGTCGGTGGGCCTCCCATGATGCTTTACGCTCTCACGGCTCAGTCGGGTCATTTAATAGCAGCAGGCATCTGCGAGTGCTCGGGATGCGGAGGGGACCAGACCCCATCCCTACCCCTAGGAAGCTCCATCGGGAGGGGGAGAGACAAGGGGACAGGCAGGGTGGCCTGTCCCCTTCAGATGAGGACGCCAGTCCTGTCTGACTCAGTGTCCCCCTTTCTTGAGACTTGGGTTCCCCTCCCCCAAACATCACAGGACACTTCTCAGACCATCTCTTGGCCCGGATAAAGCCCAGGCTGTGGTCTCATAACCAACACGTGCCTGTCCCCACCCTCAGAAGAGGTGAGTGCCCCTCATTGCCTTTCTGCACTCAGAATTTCCCTGAAAAGACAAATTCATAAATTCCAAGTCTGTGGTCCTTCTGTTGCACAGCGCTGAGTGACCCTTCTCTCTCTCGGCCTCGATTTTCCCGTCCGCCAAACGGGAATACGAGACTAGAGAGGAACCGAGTGTTGGAGAGAGGATCTGGGAAATAGCGACTGGGGTCTCGGGAAGCGCCTGGAGGAGGGAGCCAGCCAGGCCCAGGCCGCACACTGCCAGGGGCTCTGGAGGCCCCTCCGGCTGCCCTGTTAGCCGCCATACCCACCTCCAGCAGCGGGCAGCCGGGCTCGCTGGCCAGTGTCCATGCGCTCTGGTTCCCAGCGCGCTGCTCCAGCATGCCCCGCAGCCGGCATGGCCCCAGCTGGACGTCCAGGGAGCTGCGGGCGGCAGGGTGGGGCTGGATGGCCAGGCTGATGGCGCTGCTGGGTGGCAGGCCCAGGCGGCCCAGCGGGGGCAGGGAGTGGGCCAGGCGCCCGATGACCGAGGTCTGGGGCCCACAGGTGCGGGCCAACTGCAGGTGGGCATCCCCACGGTCACTGCGGAGGCCCGTGGCCAGACTGACGTTGCAGGGGCCCCAGCTCAGGCGGCCCTCGGAGTGCAGGGCCTGCGGAATGCCCGTCACCTGGAATATGGAGAAGTGGCTGGATTTAAGGGCAGCTTCAGAAGCCAAGGTCGGGGAGCTGGGGACGGGCCTGGCTGGGAAGAGGGTGGTGTCACCCTATGGCCTCAACTCCACTGGCACCTCCCTCTGCGAAGTGGCCGATACCCTGGGTACCCCACTGACAGTCGTGGGCTCCAGTTCTGGCTCCAACACTGACTCTATCTTTCTGAACCTGAAACCTCAGTTTATCCATCTGGGAAATGGGGGTTGATCACAGCAACCTGTCACTGGGAGATGTCAATGAGCTAATACTTGGGACTTGCTGGCCAGAGCCAGGCACCGGAAAGCACCGGCTATTGGAAATTCAGCATCGATATCAACGATCGTTGGTTGGAGGGCAGAGAGCCTAACTTGTCCCACGGGGGCTGACAACACGCCCCGCATGGAGGCACTGACCCAAGATGGGAACGAGAGGGGAGGGATGGGGTTAATTCCACTCTGATCTCCCAACTTCCCTGGGCCCCAGACCCTGGGACTAGGGACACAAGCAGCTCCTTCCGAGAAGGGGTGAGGATTCGGGGAGCATGTCTGAGAAGCCTCAGCATACAGTGCTCACAAAAGTCAGCTGTTACTTCTTAATGTTCTCCTGATTACTCCCAGACCCTGAATCCTGGGGGCAGGATTAGCAAGATCAGGAGAAAAGAATCAGCTTGAGCTCCAGAAAGGAAGACAACCAGGGGGGCCCCTTTGTGAAAAGGGAGAAAATTAAGTTTGGGTTCCATTTTTGGCTCAAAGCTTTGTAGTCAATGCATCCCCCAAAGTCAGGATGGAAGTTTCTCATGCTGAGTGCAGAGCTGGGTATACAGTAAGAAGTTAATAATATAGAGGGGGGCAGGAGCCCTGCCAGGCCCCTGCACTGCCGGGTGGGGAGGGGGCTTACCTCCAGCAGAGGACAGCGATTCACCAGGGACAGGGTCCAGTTGGTGTGAGTGGTGTTGACCTCAGCACCAACATCCCCACGAGCGGTCAGGGTGCACTGGCCCAGGGCCACCTCCAGCCTGGCCCTGGGGGGTTCATGCCCCCCCACAGACAGCTGGATGTGGTTGTCGGGGGCAACCCCCAGAGCCTGAAGGGGGGGCCATGCGTGCTGGAGGCTGGCATCCAGATGGGTATGGCGGTGGCCGCAGGCTGCGTGGACGTGGGCCCGGGCGAACGTGTCCCCAGAAGATACCTGAGCCGCCAGGCTGGCCGTGCGGGTGTGGACCAGGAGGGAGCCATTCAAGGACAACACAGCCAGATTCTGCCCCCGAGAAAGGCACGGTGAGGCCGAGCAGGTGTCCCTACAACACCCCACCAAGTAGTGGTTCACTCTCTACCTGGCCTGGGTGGTCAAGGGAACCCCCAACCGCTGGGCCACCCACAAACCCAGTGAACAAGCTCTAGTCCTGCCCATGTGCTTCTCTCTGAAGAGCTGAAAATGGCGACAAGTCACGTGTCCTCTCAGAGCATTTCAGGGTCCCTGATGTCCCCCTCCCCATAGGCCTGGATTTGCTGAGCTGCTCTAGAACTGAGGAACGCCTTGATTTCTAGCTCTTTCCCAGCATTCCAGACCACAGCTATCTGAGGGAAGGGCTATCCATTCACCGCTCCCGTCCCAACCCTTCTCCAGTTACTCTTTCTAGCAACCCCCTCCCCCACGTGTGTGCCATGCCTGCCCCTCCCAATTCCATGTGCCCTGACTCTTCAATTTCATGGAGCGGAGAGAGGCAGCCCCTCTGTCCAGCCCGTTGAAACCTTTTCAGTCCTGACCCTCCTATTCTCCTAGTTAACCCTCCCACCATTTAGGCCCCAGTGTGACCCAGCTCCTGTGGGGGACGCTAGCACACGGCCAGGCTAGGATGGCAGGCCTCAGGAGCAGAACACCTCTGTCCTCCTCCTCCAGGCAGTCCTCTGGGCTACGCCCCCCTCCACTGCCATCAGGCCACAGAGCTCAGCCAGGCCAGGCCTGCAACCAGCTGCCCACTCAGTTGCCTGCAGAGCAGCACTGACAAGGTCTGCAGGCAGCCCTGTGGTTGCCCCATGTCTAGTACACCCCAGGTCCAGGAGCCACAGGACCTGCCAGAGCTCAGGGAGGTCTCCCTGTCACGATCTGCCTGTGACAGAGAGGAACCACTGTTCACTTGTGCCCCGGCCCAGGAGAGTTGGAGCTACCTACGCTGGACCACCATCTGCCACCACTGTCCCGCCTGTAACAGAGACCCATGTACCTCGAGAGGCTGCCTGGCGAAGTCCCCCCAGCACAGCCCTGACAGCTGGGCAGGCGAGGCGTCTCTAACACAGCTGACCTGCGGAGACCAGCAGGGCGGGGAGGGGGACCTGCTGACGGCCACTGTGGGGAACGTAGCAACGGGAGGCCTCTTCCCCCAACCTAGAGCCCACATGGAGCGCACACAGCCGGCTCAACCCCACCTCCCTTTGTGGAAAATAACCCCCCAAAGAGAAGTCCAGAAGCCCGAGCGCTAACCCACAGCATCCTCATCAAACCGAGGGAACCAGAGCTCATGTCCTCACGGGGCCTGTGTGTGCCAGGTCCTAACTGGTTCTAGGAACTGTTAGCAGTCGCTTTTTGCAGATTAGGACACTGAGGCACAGAAAGAGTGAGCACCTTGCCTGAAGTCACGCAACCGGTCAGTGAGGAGGTAGCCTGGCTGCAGCACGCGGGGTGCCCGAATCGCTCGGCCCACCTCCCACACACTGCAGAGGGTGCGGCCGGCCGAGCGCCAGCGCACACGGGGCTTCCTGCTTTTCATTCTGGAGACTAACGCAAGAGTCAGCTGCGCTCGCCCTTCCTTCTGCAGTGTCGGAAGTTCCTCCAGGGGAGGTACCCAGAGGACGAGTGGACAGCCAGGGTGTGGGCAGTTTTAACTTTACTAGGTGGGGGGGTGATAGGACAGGTGGAGGAGAAGACGAGTGGACAGAAGAAAGAGGACGAGATACAGGCAGGATGGCAAGGATGGAAGGGACGGTGAACGGAAGGGAGAGTGGGAAGTTGGGAGGGAAGATGGGGGCTCAGGGGAGAGGTCAACGTGGCAGGGGAGGGGCCAGGCTGGGTGGGAGGGGTCTAGCCGGCCGGGTGGCAGGGGCGCAGTGGCAGGAGCCGCTGGGTGGGGTGACCCCCACCCGCGAAGCTGGAGAGACAGAGGCAGCTGGGGTGCACTCGCGGGGTGGGTCACTCACCCTGAGCCACGCGGGCACGGTGCCCAGCAGCGCCGAGAGGCCGTGGTGCAGCTCCAGGGCCAGCCCGTGGTGGCCGCGCTGTCGCCTCGCCTCCAGGGCCACGCGGAGCTGCTCGCTGTCCACGCTCGCCGTCAGCCCGGCCGCCACGCGGTGTCCTGTGCTCTGGGCAGAAGCGAAGCTGTGGGTGTCCCTCGGACCCGCTACTCCCCCCGCCCCGTGCCCAGCCCCCCACCCACCGCCCCCTACCTGGAAGTGACCTTGGCTGTCCATGGAGAAGGGGAGGCCCCAGCGCCTGAGGCTGGACACCGTGTGGGCCAGGCTGGCGCGGAGCCTGCTGCCCGGGGCGCCGGGGGCCGGGCCGTCTAGGCCGAGGGCAGCGTCCAGCTGACCCCACGCACTCCGCAGTGCCAGGCTCGCAGAGAGGTTGGAAGCCCCGTGGGTGTGTGACAAGAGCATCTCTGCCTCCGAGGGGAGTCCTGGGAGCAAAGGGAACCACAGAGATGGCTGAGCCCAGTCTGCACTCCACGGGAGCCCTAAGCGGGCAGGGGGTGGGTGGCTGTGAGCCCACCTTCTCTCTGCAGGGTCGGCAGGCCTTGAGGCAAACTCCAGCCTCTCAGGTCCCACTTCCCCCAATATACCTGAGCAAAGCATATGAAAGTGTCAACGTGAAACCATATCCGATCCTCAGCAGTGATGATTTCACCAGGTACCCACACTCACGAGTGAGAAGGTCAGGTGTCCCCTTCTCATTTCTAAGCCCCCCAGGGACAGGGACTGGCTCTCACAGAGCAGGAGGGGAATGGGGCAGGGGACGGGGGTCTGATCTTTCGCTCTCCCCTAGCTGCTGCACCTTTGGGCCCCGCCAGGCCTTACTGAAATGTCCCCAAGAAGCTGGGTGTCCTATTTCCTATCTGTGGTACAGTAGCATATCGTGGAGGCCCCACTAGACCAGCTTCCAAGACTGAGAAGCTGGAGGGGAGGTGGTGTGGTGGGGGGCCCTGGGGGAGGGGGTGGCAGCAGGGGCTCTCTGCCACTGGGTTTGGAAGCATGTCAGTACTCAGGAACTACAACTATCTCTGTATTGTGTGTTCTGGATGAAGAACAGATGCCGGCAGGGGAAGGAAATAGAGCTGGAAGCTGGAGGCTCCTTTCTCTCCCCCCTCCCTTGGCTTCAGGAACTGGGAGCCCTTGGGGAGGAAGGCATGCGGCCCTGTCCGCCCCTCCTACCTGCCTCACTCAAGGTGCTGATGTTGTGGCTCAGGCTGGCTGAGAGCTGGCGGTGCCCAGGGCCCCAGGTGCAGACCCCGCCCAGAGCCAGGCTGGCCGTGTGGGCTCGGAGGCGGGCCTGGCCCCCGAGGCTCCCTGGCTGGGCCTGCAGTCGCCCTCTCAGCCAAAGCTCTCTTGGCAAGGCCTGGCTGCTCTTCTGGGGAAGGATGCCGGTCACACTGTGCACGCTGGTGCTGTTCCCTGCCTTCTCATGCTTGTCCCGCAGGAGGAAGCCCAGCACAGCTGAGTCAGCAGTGATCCTGATGGTTCCTGCAGAGGATGGCAGAGAAGGTGTCCAGAGCAGGGGGTCAGCCCAGGGGACTGGGCTGCTCTGGGCAGGAGGGAAAAGGATTCTAGGGTAGAAAGCTCCTAGATCCATGATGTAATTCTAACTCTTGTCAGGGTGTGGGGCACATCTGGGAAATGGACCAAATTAAACCAGCTCCCTCCTGGGATGCTCTGAGGACCAAGCAAGCTAATTCATAAACAAAAGGGCTTGGGGTGGGGGGGGCAGGGGGGAAGCAGCATGCCTAACAAGGGGTGTCCGTTAATACCGGTGCTCAATTCCTGCTCAAGAGAGTCACAGACCATAGTGATAGAATGGCCCCATTATACAGATAACAAAACTGAGACCCAGGAAGACTTGAGGGATCCAACCTGGAATTCTAGGGACAGAAATATTGCTCAGAGGTCTCATCCATCCAGAGAAGAAGATTCTACACATTTGGGCGAATCCATGCCCATATATAACTCACGCAATAGGGAAATTCTCGCTCGTATCAGAACCATTTCAATCTCCTGCCCTGACCAGTTTCTTTCAGAGCCTCGGTGTGGTCCAACTGCCCTTATACCTCCCCTCCTATCATTCAAGGTCAGACTCGTGGGTTACCACCTCCATGAAGGAGGCCCTTGTGTACCCCTGGGCTGCTTTAAACCCCCTTGTTCTGTGCTTCCAGACAAAGAACTCATGCAAATCTCAATCACAGAGTACAGAGCACTTTCCACACCGACAGAGTTTCTCGCAGAACCTTGCGATCATCTTTTTACAAATTCCTTACATTGTAGGGCCCTATGTCACCATATCCTCTAAGATACTAACCAGTTAATCATGGATAACCAGAGTAAGATTTCACTAGACTATTAAGAAGCGAAAATGATAGGGCGCCTGGGTGGCTCAGTCGGTGAAGTGTCTGCCTTCGGCTCAGGTCATGATCCCAGGGTCCTGGGATCGAGCCCCGCATCGGGCTCCCTGCTCAGCGGGAAGCCTGCTTCTCCCCCTCCCACTCCCCCTGCTTGTGTTCCCTCTCTCGCTGTGTCTCTCTCTGTCAAATAAATAAATAAAATCTTTAAAAAAAAAAAGAAGCAAAAATGAAATATTGTTGGATGGGACAACATAGAGTCTAGGAATAGACCCACACACATGGTTGATTGATATTTGACAAAGGTACAAAGATAATTCAGCAGGGAAAGGATGGTCTTTGTAATAAATGTGCTGAAATGATTGAAAATCCACAAGTAAAAAAATGAACTTGATCGGGCGCCTGGGTGGCTCAGTCGTTAAGCATCTGCCTTCGGCTCAGGTCATGATCCCAGGGTCCTGGGATCGAGTCCCATATCGGGCTCCCTGCTCGGCAGGAAGCCTGCTTCTCGCTCTCCCACTCCCCCTGCTTGTGTTCCTGCTCTCGCTATCTCTCTGTCAAATAAATAAATAAAATCTTTAAAAAAAAAATGAACTTGATCTTTACGCAATCATACATCCAAATTAATTCAAAATTAACCACAAGCCCAAATTTCAAAACGTAAAACCATAAAACTTCCAAGACGTGGCCTCAGATTTAGTAAATAGAGATGTCTTATATGACGGCAAAAGTGTTATTCATTAAAAAAAATAATCAATTGGACTTGATCAAATTTAAAAGCTCCGCTGTTCAAAAGACTCCAGTGAAAGAATATAAAGCCACAGATTGGGAGAAGATATTTTCAAAACACACATCTTACACAGGATTTGTGTAAATAATTCCCAAATTCAGTTTGGGAATTCAAGAAAACAACTCTAGTTTTTAAGTGGGGAAATGTTTGAAGAGACACTTTGCTCAGGAAAATTTAAAAGTAGTATATAAGCCTCTGAAAAGATGTTCAACATAATTAGTCCTGAGGAAAACACAAATTTAAACCAAAATGGGATTCAATTATAAATCACAACTGAAAACCCCGAAATCAAAAATCGACAACACCAATTGCTAGCAAGGATGCAGCGCAACAAGGATTCTCACCACGCTGGTGGGAATGTGAAATGGTCTGGCAGTTTCCTATAGATTTCAACATATATTTGCTGTACAATCCCGCAATCCTGCTCCTAGGTATTTACTCAAGAGAAATGAAATCATAGACTCCCACAAAAACCTGTAGGCTAATCATTATAGCAGCTTTATTCATAACTGGAAAATACTGAAAACCACCCAAATGTCCTTCAACTGTGAGTGGATAATTTGCAGTATCTCCACACCATGGAATACTACTCAGCAATAAAAAGGAATAAACTATGGGTATGTGTCACAACTTGGATGCGTGTCGACCACATTATGTTGGGCAAAAGATACCACACTCAAAAGTTTACATACTGTATGTTCTCATTGATGTCACATTATAGAAAAGCCAAAACTATGGGGATGGACAACAGCTCAGTGGTTGCCAGGGATGAGAGTGGGAGAGAGACTGACTACAGTGGGTGGCAAGAAGAGACTTTGGGGGGAGATGATACAGATGGAACTGTATCAAGACCGTGTTGGTAGCTACACAACTGTATGAATTTATCAGAACATAAAGGGTTTTTTCCTATATGTAAATTATACTCCAAGAAATTATACCTCAATCATTGCCTTCAAAAATGAAGTAATATGTGTTAAGTGTTAAAGGATGAAAGAGAGACCATCAGTGTAACTCAAAGTAAAGTTGACAAGAAGAGTTCTCTGTGACATTTTTTTATTTGAATGGGCTTAAATTTTTTTTTAGAGTTTTTATTTTTTATTTGACAGAGAGAGAGAGAGAGTACAGCAGGGGGAGTGGCAGGCAGAGGGAGAGGGAAAAGTAGGCTCCCTGCTCGTGGGGCTCAATCCCAGAACCCTGGGATCATGACCTGAGCCAAAGACAGACACTTAACCATCTGAGCCACCCAGGCGCCCCAGGTTTAATTTTTTCAAACCTTTGTTATTTTATCATGAAATTTGGTTTGGGCACATTTTAGCCAATTTGGGAGTAGGAGGGTTGGTGCTAATGTTACTACCAGACCAGAGAATGGCATCCAGCTCTTGGGGCAAGAGCAGAGTCTTTAGGTTCTGAAACACTGGGCCCTGGAGAGATGTCCAGCTAGGGTGCTGCGGTCAAGGATGCGTGGGCAAAGGGTCCCTTTTTGTGTAATCCTGGCTTTGGGAACATTGTTAATGTTTCACATAATCAAAAAACAAATACATAAAATCAGTAAGGATAGGGGAAAACTTAAAAATGGAATACAAACAGAAACCAGTGAATCCAACTGTATTTCAAATGATTAACAGAATCACATGGGAGTGGGTAGGGGGATTAATCCTAACGAACTTTTGAACACAGTGTTTGGATTTATGCCTTCAACAACTACTTGGATGAATCTCAACCACATTACATTCAGGCCAAAGACAAAAGGAACTCTAATCAAATACTGAATTCTAGTTAATAAAGTTTACTTTCACAGAGGTATAGGCTAATAACTCTGAAACTACTTTCTATGTATTCTTGGGCTGAACAAATAAGTAAACATGTTATGGATAATCAGAGCCAGGTTTCTTTCTGTTGGAGAAGGGAATAAAAAATATGAAAATGGAAAACAGTGAGAATGAGCTTTTTGAGGATAGACTGAAACTGAGGACATCAGTGTGAACTAATGGTTTTAAACTTATCTATCTGTAGACAGATATAGAAGAGTGTGTGTGTGTGTGTGTGTGTGTGTGTGTGTGTACGCTTCCATTTTCTAGATCCATCCATTGAGAAGGCCCGGGACTGATAGTCCAGTAGGAATAAACATACCTAGCACCCAGATCTTAATTTCTACATACTATTTTGCACTGAAAGGAACCAAGGATCCTTGAGAAATGGATTATTTCACGTCACAGAAAATATGAAATGAGACTGAAACATCTTTTTGGTCATAAAGGAAGGAAGTGGTCAGAGAATATAGGAACATGTCAAAAAGACATGGGAGGAGTTCCATTTCTATTAATGGTGGGGGAGCTTAACTGGACCAATGCTCCCAAGATGGTAACTGTAAAGTCGAGGCAAAATTAATAAACAACTATCTGAAGTGATAGGAGAGTGACCACAAATAGGCAGACCCTGGATTGGAGTTAACACTTGGAGGAAATGACGAGTGCTAAATGATTTGCATGTGTTTACTCTTTTTTGGTGCCATGAAGGTGGACAACATTCAGACAGCAATCTGTAGTCTAACTGATGCAAAAGTCTGAGAACAGAGTTCAAAGTAACAACAACAAATGGAAAGTAAAGTGGGGAATTCTGGAGAAAGACACCCAGGGGAAACCCTAAATTCTACTTATAAACTCTGTTCAAATCTTTGCTGATTCCTGAACTTCACAAGGGTGGAACAGACTCCAAGCAGTCCAGCAAAAATAAGACAACTGATTTCAGCTGCATCCTCCCAGAGAGGAGAGAGTTTGGATTCTGAGCCTAGCTGCCAGCTAAAATAAGAGAAAAACCAGAAACAGCAAACAAACAGAAACACTGTTTAGAGAAATAAAAAAGAATTGAGAGTCTCTACATTATTCAGAATGTCCAGAATACAATCTCAAATTCCTAGACGTACAAAGAAACAGGACAAGGATTTTAGCAGACAAGGATTTTACAACAGTTCTTATAACTATGCTCAAGAACATAAGGAAAATATTCTTGTATTGAATGAACAGATAGGAAATCCCAGTTCTAAAATGGAAATCATTTTTGAAAAACCCTGATGGTACTCAGCATCAGGGAAATACAAATCAAAACCACAATGAGATATCACCTCACACCTGTCAGAATGGCTAAAATTAACAAGTCAGGAAACAACAGATGTTGGCGAGGATGCAGAGAATGAGAAAACCTCTTACACTGTTGGTGGGAATGCAAGCTGATGCAGTCACTCTGGAATACAGTATGGAGATTCCTCAAAAAGTTAAAAATAGAGCTACTCTATGGCCCAGAAATTGCACTACTAGGTATTTACCCCAAAGATACAAATGTAGTGATCTGAAGGGGCACCTGCACCCCAGTGTTTATAGCAGCAATGTCCACAATAGGCAAACTATGGAAAGAGCCCCGAAGTCCAACAACAGATGGATAAAGAAGATGTGGTATATATATACAATGGAATATTACTCATCCATCAAAAAAATGAAATCTTGCCATTTGCAATGAAATAGATGGAACTAGAGGGTATTATGTTAAGTGAAATAAGTCAATCAGAGAAAGACAATTATTATATGATTTCACTGATATGTGGAATTTAAGAAACAAAACAGAGAAGCGTAGGGGAAGGGAGGGAAAAATAAAACAAGATGAAATGAGAGAGGGAAACAGACCATTAGAGACTCATAATCACAGGAAACAAACTGAGGGTTGCTGAAGGAATGGGGGATATATGGGTGATGGACATTAAGGAGGGCATTGGGTGTTATAGAAGACTGATGAGTCACTGAACTCTACCTCTGAAACTAATAATACACTATATGTTAATTAATTGAATTTAAATAAAGTTTTAAAAAAAAGAAAAACCCTGATGGAGATTCTAGAACAAAAAATACAAAATCTGAGATTAAAAAAAGGATTGAATAGTCCAAAAATTTTTATTGGGTGGTATTTGGAGAAGACAGAAGAAAAAGTGAGTGAGCTGGAAGACAAATCAATAGACATCTGAAGAAAGAAAAAGACAAAAAACATCAAGGGAACCTCAGAGACCTGTGGAACAGTATCAAAAGTTCTAAAACTTATCAACTGGAAATCCCAAGCAGGAGAGGAAAGAGAAAATGGGACAGAAAAAATATCTCAAGAAATAATTTTCCCAAAGTGAAAATTTTCTAAATGTGTTAAGATATATGCACATACAAAATACCCTTTGAGAGTGAAGGCAAACATAACATTTTCAGACAAATCAAAATGAAGGGGATTCACTGATAGTTAGCCTGCCTGCCAAGAAATGCTAAAGGTGGTTCTTTAAAATGACAGGAAATGATACCAGAAAAAAGTTTTGATCTTTAGGAAAGAAGGAAGAACATCAAAAATGATGAATATGTATGCAAAAATATGAAAGACCACTTTATTCCTCTTAACTGTTTTCAAATCAATATGACTAAAGCAAAAATTATTATATTGTATTGGAGGTTTATAGTGTATGTAGATCTAACACAGAGGGCAACTATAGCAGAAAGGAAGGGGGGATGAAAGTCTAGGTTCTTACAATTAATGTGAAATGCTTCAATACAAATGCTAAGTGGAACATTAAATAATATCAAGGAACAGAAGCTTAAGGAGCAATAGATAAATTAAAACTGAGTTCTAATTTTTTCATTGATCCAAAAGCAGGCAAGAAAAGAAGACTAGAGGAACAAAAAATATATTGGGAAAACAGAAAATAGAAAAATATATGTAAATCCAATTATATCTATAATCACATTAAACATCAATCAACTAACTAGTATAATTAAAAGGCAGAGATTGTCAGACTAGACATAAAAGCAAAATCCAACTGTATGTGGTCTACAAGAAATTTAAATATAAAGAAACAAATATGTTTGAAGAAAAAAGGTGGCAAAATACACACAATGTAAATGCCAATAAAAAAGCAAGAGTAGCTACATTAATATCAGACAAAACAGACTCCAAAGAGTCATATAAGACACAGCACATTTCACAATAATTGGGTTGATTCATCAAGAAAGTGTAACAATCATAAATGCTCATATACCTAATACCAGCTTGTCAACATACATGAAGCAAAAATGGACAGAATAAAAGGAAGAAATAGAGACATCCACAATCACAGCTGGAGAGGTTAATACCCCTCTCTCATTAACTACTACAATTACAAGACAAAAAGAAAATCACTAAGGATATATATCAGGACAGCACAACCAAACATTTGACCTAACTGACCTTTATAGAACATTACACCCAACAACAGCAGAATACAAATTCTTTTTCAATGCATAACATATGTTCACAGATAGACTATATACTGGCTTGTAAAACAAGTCACAACAAAATTTAAAAAACTGACCCACTGACCACAATGAGAATAAATATCAAGAAGCTATCTAGAAAATTTTCAAATATTTGGAAATTAAGCAATATACTTCTAAATAACCCATGGGTCAAAGAAGAAATCACAAGAGAAATCCAAAAATATTTCAAAATAAATAGTAATGGAAATAACACGACATCCAAATTTGTGGGAAGCAGTTCACAGAATACTGAGAGGCAAATATACAGTTTTATATGCTTATATTAGGAAAGAAAAAAGGTCTAAAAATCAACGGCTTGAAGGTCCACCTTAATAAACTAGAGTAAATCCAAATTAAGGGTAAGAAAGGAAATAACAGAGATAAGAGCTGGAATCAAAGAAATTGGAAAGAGACAACTAGAGAGAAAACAAAACCCAATGCTGGCTGACAAGATCAACAAAACTGATGAAATCCTAACTAGACCAAAGGAACAGAGAGAAGCACAAAGTAACAACTATCAGGAAGGAGAGCAGGCCAGCACTATAGATCCCATATACATTAAAAGAATATAACAGATATAATGAACAACTTTATGCCAATAAATTTGACAACTTAGTTGAAATGAACAAATACCCTGAAAAGTTTAACTTACGAACTGACACATGATGAAATAGAAAACCTCAATACCTCTATATCAATGCATGTTCCAAAAAACTTTTCCACAAAGAGCACTCCAGGTGGCTTTGCAGGTAGAGTCCATCAGACACTTAAGGGAGCATGAGCACCAATCTTACACAAACTCTTGGAAAATAAAAGAGGAGGAAATGCTCTTCAACCTGTTTTTTGAGGTCAGAATATGAAGGAAAAAAAAAAAACGGGAGAAATCCAGCAGACACTGTGTTAATCAAGTGATCAAAGCTAATATCACCAATACTGGGATGTACTAACCTCAGGTACCTCTGAATTTGATGGTGCCTTACTACTTTGGCTTCCTTGAAAGTAGTCATGAGGAAGCATGAGACCAACCCCCAAATAAGGGATGGTCTACAAAATGACTGCCCCGTACTCTTCAAAAAGTAAATATCATGAAAGGGAAAGAAATACTCTCAATTTTCTGATTTTGATAGCTGCACTGTAGAATGTAGGAAAATATCTTTTATTTTATTTTTAAAAATTTTATTTCTTTATTTGAAAGAGAGAGAGAGAGCATGAGCCAGGGGAGCGGTAGAGGGAGAGGGAGAAGCAGGCTCCCCGCTGAGTGGACAGCCAGACTCAAGGCTCGATCCCTGAGATCATGACCTGAGCTGAAGCCAGATGCTTAAGCGACTGAGCCACCCAGGCACCCCGAGAGTTATCTTTATTTTTAAGAAATAAATACTGCACTATTTAGGGGTAAAGAACTATCATGTCTGCAACTTAGGAAAACATAGTTCAGGAATAAAATGTATTTTCATACACAAATAAAAATAGTACATACACAAATATATGTGTATATATAGAGACAGAAAGAGATAAGGAAGAAGAATGATAAAGCAATGTGGTAAAATGTCAGTAACTGATGGAGCTGGGCCCATGGGATTCTTTGTAAAGTTCTTGCTACTTTTCTCTAAGTCTGAAATTACATCAGAATTAAAAGTATTAGAAAAAATATGCTTGGGAAACACTGCCTCTAATTCTTCCTCCTGGGTTTTTCCAATACCCATTAGTACATTAAAGGCTCTGACAAGTCTTGCATAAGAAGCCAGTTTGGTATTTTGTTAGAAGATTCACTTTGTCAGAACGGGTATTTGTTTCTGACAAAGAGGTATCATCAATGTGTGAGATACTGAAACAGACTATCAGTGGACTTGAAAACATGCAGGATTTAATCTACTCTGTGGTTCCACAGAAAATGCTTGCCCAAGAACCCCACTGCCCCTGCCCTGTGGTGTTCCCCAGGCTCACCCTCTCTGAGTGTCTCCTTCTGCTTCAGCATGCCCTTGAGGGTCAGGAGGCGGGGCACAGCTGTCCAACAAGCCACCGTGTGCTGGACTTGGCACTGCAGGGTCAGGACCTGGCCTCCCCTCTTCTCCATGGAAGCCTTGAGGAGAAGCTGTGCTGTGTTCTGGTCCACCAGCACCTTATAAAACAGCCAAACCCTAGGAAGGAACGTGATGGGGATAAGGTACAAACTTATCCCCACAGACAGGAGGTGGGTCCCTGAACCCCACTGTCCAGACCCATCATAGAACTGCTTTTACTGGCTCTCAGCCCACAGGGATGCAGTGTAATAGGGGTTAAGATCATGGGCTTTGGGGTCAGCCAAACTTGGGTTTGAATCCCAGTGCTGCTACTCACTAACTGTGGCCTTGGACAAGGACATAAGCTCTCTGAGCCCTAGTTTCTTCTTCTGTAAAGTGGGGGATAAAATAGAACCACTGATTGAGTGGATATTGCTGATAAGTTATCAATGCATCATATGATGATGAGCGATGAGAAAATAAAGAGCTTCAACAAGGCTGGTATTAAACGTCCTGGAGAATTGGGGAAGAGGACATGGTCCCTATCATCCACCCAGATGTTCTTCATAGGACACCATGGGAGACACCTCCCTTGAGGATCAACACCAGAAACAAGATCAGCCATGCCTTCTTTGGTGCATACTTACACAGGTGTGAGTGTGTATGTGTTTCCCCATAGCCTTTGAAAATAACGCCACTGGTTGGTTTCTCTTTTTTCATTGACTACTAGGAGGCTCAGAGCCAAATTTTAAGCTGAGCTCTAAAAAATGTACAGGACCTCATGACATGCATTTTGTTTCCTAAAGCCACTTTGAGCACCTTCCTATTTTCCCCATTTTTCTTTTCCCTTCACGCTCATTTCCTCATGTGTTTTGAAAAATCTAGAACAAAAGTTGGCAACCTATACATCTGTGGGCCAAAATCAGCCCACTGCCTGTTTTGTAAATAAAGTTTTATTGAGACAGCCACGCCCATTCACGTGCATGTCATCTCAGGTGTCTCTGGGCTACAACAGCAGAGTCGTTGCCACGGAGACTGTATGGCCCATAGATTCAAAAATACTTACAAACTGGCCCTTTGCCTGAAAGGTTGTCAATTCCTGACCTAGAACAATACAGGTTTTTATAATCTGCCTCAAACCCTTGAAAGACTGGAGACAATGCTGGACATTCGGACAGATGGATGAATCCATGGATGGACAGCTCTAGGTGGTAATTCTGGGGATGGGGTTATCTAGAACCATACCCAGAGCCTTGGGTCTCCTCAAATTCACAAAAGCCAATGCTGGGACTCCGCGGGAAACAGGGCACTAACATTCAAGGGAGATCTGACCTGTGCCAGAATGAGTCATACTCCGAGGGCCAGTGACAATGGCAGCTAGGCAGTGAACATCCTCGCTGGCCAGGCCCTGGTGGGGCATGCACGTGTGCCACTCCAGGAACCCGAGGACAACCCCAAGAAGCAGGGGGAGAGACTCAGGCACAGGAGGGCACAGTGGCTGGCCCAAAGTCCCAGAGGCTGAGCTGGGGTTTGAACCCGGGCAGCTGGCTCCATGGCCCAGGACCCTGATGGCCATATCGTAGGGGATAAACCCCCATGTGAAGATACAGTCCGAGGTGAAGGACTGTACCAACTTACTCCCTGTGACTATCTCTAGAGACTCCTGTTTTATGCTTTATACTTTATTGTCATCTTTCAAGTCATCTACAACAAATGCAGTCATTACTAAGAAAGAAAAGAAAAAAGAATGACGAGGAAAACTGAATGCCTCCTTCTTCCTTTCCCTCCATGGCTTAAAATCAAGAACGGCCAGAGTAGGGGTGATTTAGACCTGGTCCCCGAGTCATGGAAAAGGGCACCTCTCTGAACGAAGATTTCCCATCTCCCAGGACACGAGCCCTCTGCCCTTGGAGGCCCTTCCCCCGCCCCGCACGGCCCCTGGGGACCCTCACCTGGCTGGGGCCACCTTGCTGGACAGCTGCAGCTGAATGGCCAGGGGGGCGCTGAGGACTGCTTGGTGGAGGAGGACGCTCATGTCCCAGCCCCGGCTGCGTCTCTGGGTGTCCTGGCTGGTGTTGGCCTCCAGCAGAACCAGCTCCCGGCTGGACGTGTGCACAGACAGGGAGCCACTGAGGCTGTGGTCTTTGTATCGTTGGGCAGCCACCTGCACCTGAGGGGAGGCAGGAGAGGGCTTAGAAGTGGAGGGATTACTGGAAGGGTCTGTGGGAACCAGCTACGTGGGAGAGCCCTTCCTCCAGGAAGCCTTCCCGAGCCTCTCCAGCTCTGAGAACCACCAAGCCCCACAGACAGCAAGCACACAGGAAGAGAGGAGGCAGAGGGAACAGTGGTGGACTGCCTTCCCTGACCCCAGCTCCTGGCCCAGGGACAGAGTCTTACCTTGTCCTTCCCAGCATGTGTGAAATGGGAATTTCCATCTTACAGATTGGGAGACTGAAACCCAAAGAGAGTCACATATTTAATATGGGCCTGCATGGGCTCTAAAACTCATGCTTGTGCCTGAAGGGAACAGTGGGGGGGCAAGGAGCAGAAGACCCCTGGGCCACTCAGTTACAGAAAAGGATGCCCCCAACAGTCCCCCCCCCCAGGGTCCAGAAGACCCCCAGAAGCTCTGGGACTCAAAGGGGAAGGTGTCTGGTGCACAAGGAGGAGCCATACTGGGGGCCAGGCTTGGTCAGGCCCCCAGGGGTGGGGGTGGAGCAGGGAGGCCTGCTCCTCCACCAACTTTGCAGAACCTGAAGTCCCTTTCCTCATCGGAGCCTCAGTTTCCCCATCTATAGGGCAGAAGTTGCTCCAGCCCTAGGATGTACATTGCAGTCAAGTGGGAAACTTTTTTTTTTTTTTAAAGATTTTATTTATTTATTTGAGACAGAGAGAATGAGAGACAGAGAGCATGAGAGGGAGGAGGGTCAGAGGGAGAAGCAGACTCCCTGCCGAGCAGGGAGCCCGATGCGGAACTCGATCCCAGGACTCCAGGATCATGACCTGAGCCGAAGGCAGTCGCTTAACCAACTGAGCCACCCAGGCGCCCAAGTGGGAAACTTTTAAAAGCATGCCTTATCCCTCCAAAGAGGAGGTGATGAACTGGTCCATCCACACAAGGGAATATTACTTAGTGATAAAAAGAGTTCTCAAGCCACAAAAAAGACTTGAAAAATCCTTAAATGCATCTTACTCAGTGAAAGTGGCCAGCCTGAAAAGGCTACATAGTGGTTCAGTGGTAGCCAGGGGTTAAGGGTAGAAGGGATCCGTAGGTGGAACATGGGGGATTTTTAGGGCAGTAAAACTCTTCTCTGTAATACAGTAAATATGCGTGTATGATATTCTGCGTCTGGCAAAACCCATAGAACTATACACCCCCAAGAGTGAACCTGGATGTAAACTATGGACTTTGGTTAATAATAATATATTAATATCAGCTTGCCTGTTGGAATGTACTACACTAATGTAAGATGTTCGTAGGAGGGAACACAGAGTGGGTCGGGGGGTGGGGACATTACATGGGAACTCTCCATACTTTCTCTGCAACTTTTCTGGAAACCTAAAACTGCTCTGAAATATTAAGTTTATTAGTTTTTTTTAAAGTATGCCTGGGACCCCCTGACCAATCAATTCAGCATCTCCAGGCTGGGGTCCAGGTATGTTCTAAAACCTCCATAAGTGATTCCAACGTGGCTTGGGCTGAGAACTTTTAGGATACACCCGTGTTTTCCTCCAACTGGCCTCTGTGGGCCTGAGGACCCCCAAAGAACATGCATTCTCAACACGGGTAATATTGCCCCCAAATGCAAAACCTGGTTTGTTGGGGGTGTATTAAAAAAAAAAAAAAACTTCTTGTGTGCAAATCACAGATGTGCATACAGCACACAAATACAGGATGTCTATGGGGTTAAAACTTCATAGAGGGGGTGTATGGTATGTGCTGGCTGGCTGGTTTGTGCAAGCATACCCCGAATGACCCTGCTAATCACTGTCTTGAGAATGTATGGATGCTGTGCTCCCTCTATATTCCCATCAAGCAGGATACATAGAAAAAACATGTTCCGCATCCAAGGTCATGGGCTCTGGCGGTGGCCAACCTCGAGCATCTCCTTCGTAACAAAGAATGTCCACATGGCACGTCTTGATCTCCTTGGAGCGCTGGTCATGCAAGGAGGGAGAGGCTACGGATATTTGCTGAGCCAGTTGCTGCACTATAAAATTTGCTGCACGTAGATCCCAGCAACGGATGTTTTCTCCAGTCTGCTACTCCTGGCCTCCCTGTATGTAAGTGCCCCCAAGAAACCTCTGTTTTGATTGCTGTCTCCAGGTCATTTCTTCAGTCTCACTGGGCCATCACCCACCCTTGGCTTAGAGTCTGCCAGGGATCAGCTGCATAACTGGTGAGCTAGCCAGGAAGCTGGAGAAAACCCCATGAGTGCGGAGGTGTTGGAAAGGGGAAAAGGGAAATCTGTGGGGGAAATGCCAACTTGGCCAGGGACCTCTGTGTGGGGGGGAGTGGCCCATAGGTCAGATGCTTGTGGACCACTGCATGAGTACGGGATGCCCCAAAAATGCCAGCAAGTCTAATGCACTTGTTGGAGAAAGTGCATGCTGTGCAGGGAAGGGAAACGAGAGCATGATAGTAAGTTAGAGACCTCAACGCACCGTTTCGCAAAGCCAGAAGGGCACAGGATGCCACTGATTAAGATCCAGGCACTTGACTACTAGGTATTTACCCAAAAGATACAAAAATACTAATTTGGGGATGCCTGAGTGGCTCAGTTGGTGAAGCGTCTGCCTTCGGCTCAGATCATGATCCCAGGGTCCTGGGATCGAGCCCCGCGTCGAGCTCCTTGCTCAATGGGGAGTCTGCTTCTCCCTCTGCCGGCTGCTCCCCCTGCTTGTGCTCGTGCTCTCTCTCTCTTGCAAATAAATAAATAAATCTTTAAAAAAATACTAATTCGAAGGGACATATGCACCCCAATGTTTATAACAGCATTATCTACAACAGCCAAATTATGGAAAGAGCCCAAATGTCCATCAACTGATGAATGGATAAAGAAAATGTGGTATGTATACACAATGGAATATGACTCATGCATCAAAAAGAATGAAATCTTGTCATTTGCAATGACATGGATGGAGCTCCAGAGGATTAGGCTAAGCGAAACAAGTCAATCAGAGAAAGGCAAATACCATATGATTTCACTCATATGTGGAATTTAAGAAACAAAACACATGAACTTAGGGGGGTTAAAAAGAGAGACAAACCAAGAAACAGACTCTTAACTCTAGAGAACACACTGATGGTCACCAGAGGGAGGGGCCGGGGGGGGACAGGTGATGGGGATTAAGGAGCGCACTTGTGATGAGCCCTGGGTTATGTGGAATTATTAAATCACTATGTTGTACACCTGAAACTAACATTACACTGAATTTTAACTGAAATTTAAATATAAACTTGGAAAAGAAAAAAAAGATCCAGGAACTTGTAATAAAGCCTGATTAGGACATTAAGAGGTAGAATCTCTAAAAAGCGGTAAATCAGCCAATCAATCTAGTGATAACTGATGAGGAAACAGACAAAATTTTCCATGTTTTCTAACCCCTACTACAAAGAAAAATGTTAAATAGCAATTATCCTCCTAACTCTTAGGAGAAAAATTAGCATCCTTTCTCTGTCCCTTAAAGTTGTAAATCTTGTCATGTCTTTATAATATGAACACCCCAGGAAATAACCAAAACATCGCCTGCAGAGACTGAAGAAAAAAGAGGGGGGGGAGGCTCTTTAAAATACAGACTGCTGGAAATAATAAGGAAAGCCACACTCTGTCTGTAGGAAAGGCAGGAGATGAGTAAGAAAGGTTTCAGAATGAGAATACATTTTGGTTAAGGGAAAAGAAAACAATTTTTTCCTGAAATGACACTGGTTGTTTAGAGAGAGGGAAGCTTAGGACAAAATCTAGATGAAAAAAGAAAGTTGTAGAAGTTTCGGGAAGGAGAATCTTCAGGAAAGAATTTTATGTGTGGTTAGGGCTAAGATAGAAGGAGTACGTTTGAAAAGTACACCAGTGTAACATTAGAATTTGATTTATCCCTCTGTTAAAAAGACAAAGTTTTCTTGGATATTTGGTCTGCTATTGATTAAAAAAAAAAAGTCAACAAATTTTTTTTTAATCTGCCCAGAAGAACAACGTTTCTACGTTTCACCTTTACCGGGCTGATAAGAAACTCTCATTAGATTTTTAACCACGGCCCTTTTTTTTTTGAGTCTTTGGTAGTTGGCAGAGTTACTGTTTTACTTTGATGCTTTGGCAAAAAGCGTTCCTGCAAAAGTGCTCGTTTTCCAGGAAATTCATCGGAAGGCCTTTGACAAGTAGGAGTTTCTGGGAACAAAGATCAATTTGCCTTCATGTAGGAGGGACAAGGATAAACCTTCCAAGTGGTCCCCCAGGGCCACCTGCGTAGTGTCACACCATGTCACAGGATAGCAACGGCACCGATGAGTACCACCAGGTTTCTGGTCGTGGTTATGGTAAGGAGCTGAGTTGCACTGCAGCCTTTTAGAACAGCATGCCCCACAGCAGGAGAAGACGCGGCTAAGCGGATCCCAGGGACCGTTCCCACTCTGCATCCTATATGGGCTAAGGGACACACTCCAAAAGCCCGAGTCAGACAGTGCCCAGACCATGCCTACTTGCAACAATGCGGTACCTTGACAGACAGCCCCTAGTGCGGAAGAACACTCCACTCGCCGCCCGGTGACTTAGGTCATCCTGAAGGACAGCCATTAACGGAGGCAGCGGAGCCCCGGCCGGTGCCGTCCTCTGGGCCGGAAGGAGACGGACCAATCCCTGAGCATGTGCGGTACCTGATGGGTCCAACCCTCCACAGAGAGGCTCCAGCAGGGACCACAGTAGTCAATGGGCCGAGCCTCAAGCAGCATGGATGGTACGGCTCTGTGAGCCTGTTCCTGCTGATCCTTTTTTTTTTTTTTTTAATGATTTCATTTTTTTAAAGGTTTTATTTATTTATTTGCGAGAGAGCGAGAGAGTAAGAGAAAGAACATGGGTGGGGGGAGGGGCAGAGGGAGAAGCAGACTCCCCACTGAGCAGGGAGACCAACATGGGACTTGATCCCATGACCCTGGGATTGTGACCTGAGTCGAAGGCAGAAGCTTAACCTGAGCCACCCAGGATCCCCTTTAACAATTTTATTTTTAAGTAATCTCTACACCCAACGTGGGGCTCGAACTTACAATCCCGAGAGATCAAGAGTCATGTGCTCTACCGACTGGGCCAGCCAGGCACCCCCTGACCCCACTGTTCTGTGCACAGACAGCTGAGAGCGGGGCAGCCTACAGAGGACTGACCCTGTGGCTGCCCCAGCAGGAGGCACAGGACGGCACGGGGACCGGGCACGCACTCTGGGGCAACGACATACGGAAGGACATACTCTGATGCCTAAGAGGTACGAATATCACCGTTTACCACGTAGATGCACACACAGCACACACCCCAGCCAGAAATCAACAGGGTAATGAGTTGGCCTGCGTCCACCTCCTGGAAGATGTGCCAACAGAAGACATCGCCACCTGGCTCGCCGAGAAGATGAGACATCCAGAACAACAGTCCTGGTGGGCCACTGCTAAGAACTGGGGGTCTACCACTGTGTTACAAAGACATCGCATCCACCTGCCAACAACGCCCAACCTGTGCTGGGAATGACCGTGACCTTTGCCAAGAGACACTGGACAGGTAGCAAGGGGGCAGGTCGACTGCATGGGTCCCTTGCCTCTCTCTGGAGGCTGCCGTTCTGCTCGGATGCGTGTGGACACTTGATGCAGGACGCCTGCAAGCTCGCCCCAGTAAGCATGCTACCCAGTGAGGCCACCATCGGTGGCCTAGAACAGCTGTGCGCAGCTCGCGGGGCGCCCACTGACAGCCACCAAGGCCCCCACTTTGCAGGACGTGAAGTGCAGGAGGGAGCCGAAGCTCAAGACACCCACTGGCATTTCCCCGTACCATCCCCTCCTGCTGCAGCTGGACTGATGCAGGGCACGGATGCACTGCGGCAACAGATGTGATGACAAACCCATCCACCGGCCCTTTGGACACACCACCGGTCAACAGCTCTGTGGACATTAAATGACCATGTACGTTTCAACCGTCCCAGGGCCTATACCCTCCTCACTCACGGACCTGACTTAGAATACAAGCAGACACAGCATGCAGGAAGGATGTTCTCTGCTGCAGGTGGGGACACAAGGTAACCTTTAATGCCCGGACACAAGATCTACCTCCACGGGAAGATATAATTAAATGACCCTGGAAATGGCAGACAAGTCCACCATGGTTTGGAGTTTGGGTCCCAGGGGGGAAGGGACAGAAGGAGACCTATCCACCACCCATTTCTCCACCCCATTCCACCAAAAACAATGGAGGCACACAACCCGGGCCTCATATAAAAAGGGACGCTATCCTAATTGCCTCATGAGGCATCGTTAGGCAGAGGTTCACCCCACTGCGTACCAGAGCGGGGACAAGTCGTGTTGGCAAACATAACCTCAGCCAGGGGTGGTGGCATCTCACGCGTTCAGTTAGACAATCATGACTTGCCTTTTCTGGTGCCTACTCAACAGCGTACTTCTCCCCCTTAGATTGTGCAGGGGAACCTGTTCGCTGATTGGGCAAACCTTGGCTCCTATACAGAATAAGACCGCCTGCTGGGTGGGTCGTGAACCCCCGCAATCAGCAACTGCGGGCCTTGCCTGGTGAATCCAAAGTGCCAATCTCAGCCCTTGGAAACGCCTCTACGCTTAGGAAAACCCCTCTTTGCCCATCTCTGGCCTGACACGTGTTCCCAGGGTGTATGGGCTCCCCCTCCTGGGAAGACACAAAGAAGAAAGTTTTCCAGCTGATACAGGAGCAGATAAATAAGACTCTGCCAATGGGATATACTATTTGGGATGGCCTGGTACGGTCCTAGGTACAAATTATGCAAGTGGCCCCATTGTGCAGACAACAGGACCACAAATGCTATAGGTCATGACATCGGGTAGATACCCACACAACGAGGCGATCACACTGTACTCATGACCACTGGTATCTGGCTAGGGAGACAACACACATCTGTTCCCACAGGTGCTTTCCCCTCTCCCTGGGAATGTACAGATGCTGTGCTCCCTCTATATTCCCATCAGGCAGGATATGTAGAAAAAACATGTTCGGCGTTCAAGGTCAGGGGCTCTAGGGGCGGCCAACCGGGTGCACCTCCTTGATAACAAAGAATGCCCGGATAACAGGCCTTGATCTCCTTGGAGCGCTGGCCGTGCGAGGAGGGGAAGGACTACACATAGTTGCCAGGCAAGTTGCTACAGTATCAAAGTTTGCTGCCTGTGGCTCCAGCAGCGGATGCTTTGCGGGGGGCTACAAGAGGGGGGGCAGAGGCTGACAAGGCTAAGCTCCCCAGCCCCACTTCACCCACAGAGCTAAGGTGAACAAAGGGTCCTGCTGTTTTAGAAAGTAATGATAGGGGCATCTGGGTGGCTCAGTCCGTGAAGCATCTGCCTTCGGCTCAAGTCATGATCCCGGGGTCCTGGGATCGAGTCCTGCTTGGGGCTCCCTGCTCAGCGGGAAGCCTGCTTCTCCCTCTGCCTCTGCCCCTCCCCCTGCTTGTGCGCTCGCTCTCTCTAAAACAAATATATAAATAAAATCTTTTTTTAAAAAAGTGATGATAAAGTCTGAGCCCTTGAGATGACCCAGCATCCAGGTTTTCAGTACATCTGCCCCGTGATAAGCACAGCCAGGGGCATCAGGCTCCCATCCAGGATCCTCCACCTACACGCTCAGTAACTATGTACAAGTCATGTCACCACTCTCTGTGTCAGATTCTCATCTGCAGAATGCTACCAGAGCAGTGTCATGGGGCATCCACGAGATGAGCCACGCAAAGTGTTGCGAACAGAGCCTGGCACGTGGTCAACACTCCAGAGGCATCAGCTCCTAACACCATCGATTAGAGTGATGGCACACCCTCAGATCTGGGATGCCAGGGGCCCTGAGATGCACCGTGATTTTATGGACACCCCCCGCCCCCGCCATGAAAGTGAAAAAGCTGGTAACAAAACAACAAACCGGTGGGAATTTGAAGACATCCTGATTTCAGAGCTGTTGACCGGTGAAAACAGGTGCCTCTGAGGAGGACCAGTTTCCATAATCGAAAGCTCTTCTCAGGCTCCTTTAGAGTTCCCGAAGCCACCAGCACATGGCTGAGCACATGGTAGGCATTTAAAAATTGCTGTCAAGTTCTGGGCCTCATCCCAGGTGGGACTACCCGTCTATGCCTCCAAGTCCCCAGTCCGCTAATTCCTGTGTACAGCACACGAGGCTTGTTCGGTGAAGCAGCTAACATGTGGGGTTTTCTAAGCACCCAGCGCTGGGGCAGCAGAGCACAGCCCTCCTGCCTGGCCCCCCTTTCCTGCCCTTTATTTCCTTGTACAGTTAAACCCTTCAGTGTTTCCACCCCACACTGGGCAAAACACTCCGAGGTCAAAAAAGGATCAGACGGTTTCTCCCAAATACAGAAGAGGGTTGAGAGGACAATTCTGCCTCTCTCCGTTTTCAAGGGTGAACTGTGATCCTTCTATCCCCTCCCCCCCATCCAGGGAGCTCAAACTCCTTCTGGCCTGGACAATCACTTCCAAATGATGGATTTGGAAACCTCCCTGCCATCTGTTCTTGATTCTTGGGCTGGCTGTCTGGCTAAGCCCAACATCCTGGTGTGGCCTCCCCTACCCCACACCCGGGCCTCTATCCTCCCTTCCTTCCGCCCCATCTCCCAGCAAGTTGTCTGCTTCACTCAGAGACAGTACTTGGCAGGCAACTTGAGGTCATCCCAGAGGGACCACATCTGTACCTGTAAGTCTGGAGGAAATGTTGGTCTGTGGGGATGTCTGAGCTGGAGGAGGAACGCCAAGTGGGAGTCAGATCTGTTCAGCTGGACCGAGACCTGTTGACAGGGTGGGGGGTGGAGGAGGAGGGTCAGAGGGAGCAGAGGAGGGAGATGCAGAACTCCAGAAGGTAGCTGGCTGGGCACTCGAAGAGCAACAGGTCATCCCAGAGTATGCCCACAGCCCAAGCCAAGAGCACATGCCAGAAACCACCTTCTGTGATGCTTCTTAGCCCCAATCTTACTCAGGCTGCGTTACTTGGAAGCATGAGAAGTGAGGCCCCAGACATGGAGCTGGGAAGATAACTCTGGGACCTCGGTGCCCCTGTGTCCCCTGCCACGGCGTCTGCTCCTGTCTCCCATGTTCACGGCTGCATTCTATTTGACCCTGACCATGAAGCGGACACTTGACTACTAGCTTTATAACTGTCACCTCATGTAATCCCCACCCCAGCTCTCACAGGCTGGTATCACTATCCCCATTTCACAGCAAGAAAACCGATATTCAGTGGGGTTGAATAATTTACCCAAGGTCGCACAGTCAATCAGCAGTGGAGCTAAGATTTGGACTTGAAAGCTCCCTGGAGATGGAGACAGAGAGAGAAACCGTCGCCCAGGCAACCCCAGTACATAGTGCAGAGCCCGGCATGTGGCAGAGACACAATCCGTGTATGGAACAAGCAAATATATACCTATAGCAGCTCTACTATATATGGTCACCAAGCTGCATTTTCTTTCCCTCCTGGACACACTGCTAAGACTACATTTCCCAGCCCCCCTTGCAGCTGGGTAGGATCATGTAATGAGTTCTGGCCAATGGAATGTGAGCAGGAGTGGCCTGCCCCCCCTTAAGGGGCCGGCCCAAGAAAACCTCCTGCATGATTCCCACTGTCCCCGTCCCCCTGTACAAATGTTAGCAAAGCCACAGAACCACACTGCACTGTGACAGGACTGGGCAGTAAACCTTCACAGGCAAGCAGGCTTTTATTACAACAGCCAATGCATCCTGAGTCATCCCACGCTCACTGCCACGGCCATCCCGCCCCCTCTTCAGCCACCGCACAGGGACACCAGCCCTCTGACCCGAACACCTCCCCTCCCTCAGCGAGGAGGTGGAGCTGAGCCATCTGACCTGGGATGTGATGTTGTGGTTGATGGTGGCCCTTGTGTCCAGGCTGCAGTCAAATGCTCCCCGGGGACCCCGTCTGAAGACGACGTCCCCACCCAAACGCAGGGCCTGGGGGAGCCTCAGCTGGAAAGAAACAGTACCACTTACTCTCTCCAACAGCTGAGGTCCACTCAGAGGCTGCAAACCAGTGTTCGCCCAACCTGGGGACAGGTACCTGGGAGGCGTGAGCTGCGTCCAGGGCCAGGCTGTGCCAGATTTCCCCACGCTGAGATCGGTCACGGTGCAGACCCTTTAAGTGCAGCACGACTTTCTGGTTGACTTTCAAAGTGGCCTCGACCTCCCTGTTCTGAGCCTGGGTGAGCAAGAACCAGTGGCACTGAGAGAGAGGACTTCCCATCTCCAAGTACCTGCAGAAGCCAGCCTTAGAATCCACCAGGTAGAAGAAAACGGCCCCAAGATGGATGGGTTAAAGCTATCCACACTATCCACACACAGGGCAGGAAGTGGGGACAGGTGCACGCGGGTCTTTCAAACAGGGATGCTAAAGTAGGGTTAATGGCATGGGCTTGAGGGGTCAAATCTGAGGACCTGTCTCACTCCAAGGGAGCGCCCTGGTATTAGTCTGTTTTGTTCAATGCGGTATGTCTCATACTTAACACAGGTCTTGGCACATGGCAACTGTTCAATAAATACCTGGAAGGGTGCAGAATCACTCGTGATCGCCTGCAACCCCAAGGCCAAAGCCAGGCTGAAGTGAAAGAATGTTGAATTCATAGTGTGGCAGGAAGGATAATACCCTCCCTCCCAAAGATGCCCACGTCTCGATCCCTGGAACCTATAAATACGTTACCTTACATGGCAAAAGGGACTTTGCAGTTAAGAATCTTCAGATGGGAAGATTATCCTGGATCAGCTGGTGGGCCCAAGGTAATGATAAGCGTTCTTTTAAGAGGGAGGCAGAAGGGTCAGAGAGAGAGAGAAGATGCTACTCCTGCTGGGTTTGAAGATGGAGAAAGGGACCATGACCCAAGAGAACTGGTGGCTTTTAGTAGCTAGAAAAGGCAAGGAAATGGATTCTCTTCTGGAGCCTCCCAAAGGAATGTAACTCTGGCAACACCTGATTTTAGCCAAGTGAAACCCATTTTGGATTTCTTATCTCCAGATCACGTAAGGTGAGTTGCATTGTCTTAAGCCACCAAGTTCATGGTACTGTGATATAACAGCCACAAGATACTAACACACATGGTTCATCACGTATTCTCTCAGCAACTTTGTAGCCTCCCCCACATGCCAAGCCCACAGGAGCAGGGTACACCATCTGTTCCGATCTGTGCTGATGGGGACGTTAAAAATGTCTTGCTGCGGAATTTTATCGTTGGTGTACAACTTTAGAAGAATCCGTGGCTTTATTTTAGAAACAAGATGGAAGAGGGATAAATAAAAGCCCAAGAGGAGAAAAATAAATGTGTGTCATTAAACAAAGACAGGGTTTTTTGAAAGAACAGAAAGCCAAATTCAACTCCGTTGACTTGGGGTCAAGGGTCCCGGTTGACTTGGTTCTCGCCTCTTGTCCGCAGGTGGGATTTTAGGTCCCGTGTGTCCAATCTTCTGATTTCTTTTTAATTAGAAGCAGAAATCTGGGTTTTACCCCGAATCTTCTGATTTTAAATGTGGACAATGTTTTTAAAAATGTGAAGTGCGAAGCAGGCCAAACAAAACACATCTGCAGGCTGGACCTGGCCAATGGCGCCATTCTGCAATCTCCGGTTTGAAAAAAAACACTCAACACCATGGGGAGGTTTTTCTGCAGGTGTGTTGGGCTGCCATTCTGTCCTTTGTTTCGTCTCAGGAGCTCCAAGGACTCTGGCTACCAAGCTCTGAGAGCCATCCACAGCCCTGTTTAACTGGTGGGGCAGATGGGGACCCTCGAAGAAGAGGTCTCAGTGCTCAACAGCTGGCCCCCCTTCACCCTCCTTCAGCAGACCTTTGTATCTCCCACCAGGGAGAAACCCCCACTAACTTCTTCATCCAGGGCTTGACACGTAGTAGGTGCTCAATAAATGCTTGGGGAGAATGGGGCTGGAGAACAGAAAACCCAGGCAAAAATCGTTACTATCTGCTCCTTCTCGGAAAAAGGTTGTCGCCTGTTGCTCTGGGTCAGGTGCACAACAGACTCTCAATAACTCGGGGGTGACAACGATTCAATGAGCGCGGATGATGATGCGCCAGGCCCTGCAGCTCTGATGGTAAACAGAGGCGTACCTTGGAGATATCACGGGTTCGGTTCCAGACCGCCCCGGAAACCAGTGAGCAAGTCTGGCAACAAGCGAGTCAGATGAAATTCTTGCTTTCCCAGTGCGCATACCAGTTATGTTTACACTGTCGTCAATGCAGGAGCATTACGACTAAAGAAAAAAAGTACATACCTTCATCTAAAGAATCCTCATTGCAAAAAAATGCTAACCGTCGTCTGAGCTTTCAGCCAGTTGTAATCACAGATCACAGATCACCATAACCAATGGGATAATAATGAAAAAGTGAAATATTGCCCAAGTCACCAAAATGGAACATGGAGACAGAGTGAGCAAATGCTGTTGGAAAAATGGTACCAACAGCCTTGCTGGATGCAGGGTTGCCACAAGCCTTCAATTTGTATTTAAAAAAATGCAATATCTGCAAAGTGTAATGAAATAAAGTGCCATGACGTGAGGTATGCAGACACAGTATCAATCACGGATCTTATGGACTAGCAGGGGGAACAGTGATTGGTCAGAGAATCACGCCAAAATAGGACTGAGATTTGCGGGAAGTGCTAGAAACAGAAGTGTGGGGTGTGCAGGACACGTAACCAGGGGATGGGAGGTGGTCTGGGGGCCACGAAAAGCTTCCTGGAAGAGAGGACGTGTGAGCTGAACCCTCAGCAGTGAGTACAAGGGAAGGAGGCAAAGCTGAAGGAGTGACAGCTCCAGGCACAGAACACACAAAGGTCCTGGGGCAGGAAAGAGCTGGGTGAGGAACCAAAAGGAGGCTGAGTGAAAGGTGGCAGCAGAAGGGACAGAGTGGTCTCAGGTGGCCTGCAGGGTCAGTAAGACCAGAGGGGCACGGCCAGGGTCTTCGTCCAGAGAGAAGGAGTGGCATGATTCTGCCGGCATACTGGAAAGCCCCCTCTAGCCGTCAGGTAGCCTAGAACAGTGGGGACAGAGTGGAACAGAAAACCCAGGCCAGAGAGCATTCTGCTCGTCCAGTTCAGAGGAGATGGCAGCTTGGATCGGGGACCGCTGGGGTGCCCAGTCCCCGGGCTCTGCTCACTTACGGCGTGCTGGCTCCAAGCAACGGCGCACCCCTCCACGTTCCTGGGGATGGCCTTGCCGTCGTATGGGTGGGTCAGGCCTGCGCAGACCTAGGAGGGAAGGGCACACACGCGCACGCACATACAGAGATGGCTCAGCGGCAGACGGGGGCCTCCCCCTGCTCCCAGGCCCCTCCCCAGCTGCGCCCCGGAGCCCACTCACGTAGGGGTGTCCGGCCTGGTAGCCCAGGACTACGGTCTGCAGGGTCTCCTCTTGGCCATTCAGGACGAGCCTAGTTTCCAGGGAGCATCGCTGGTGTTGCCTATCCGCTGTGAAGCTCTCCTGCAGGAGGAGGCTCTGCGGGATGGGCAGAGGCAAGGTGTGCCTGGCATGGAGAAGGGAGAGTGGGCCAAAGGCATTAAAGCTTCTGGCAGGGTCAGGGGACAACTGGGCCCCAGGAGCTCAGACTGGGCCTGTCACAAGCTTGCAGGGTTAAGACCGTCACAGAGAGGAGAACATCAGGACACACATCAGCCCTGCTTCTCACCAATCTATGTCCATTCACCATGTCGCCATGCCCTCGTAAAAACCCAGTGACCTGGGCACGGCGGGGGTCATTACCAGCCCCTGGCAACAGAGACCCAAGGACAGGCAGCAGCTGGGGTCTGTTACCTTGGGCACTGACTTCTCTGTGCCTCAGTTTTCCCATCTGGGAAATGGGGGCTCAAATACTAGCCCCCGACCTCAATCCCAACCATGGTTGGGATCATAGGAGATAATGTCTGTACAGTGAATGCAAGCTCCCTGAGGGCAGGAGTTCTGTCCTTTTTATTCCCTGTTTTCCCAGAAAAGTGCATCACGGCACATAGGAGGTGCTCAATGAACACAAATGAAATGAACGAAGGAACGAGGTCTGTGCAGATAACAGCCCCTGTTACGTCGTGGTTATTGCTGTTTTTATAGAAGATGACTAAGGCCAGGCAGCTGGTCTGGACACAGGCTGGAGCTGAGGCTAGGTCTGCTGATTCCCCCACCCACCCACCCCCTTACACCCCCAGACCACAAGAACAACCTTTCCAACCAGCTGTGCCTCTAGGAACTAGAAAGATTCCCCAGAGCAGCTTTCAGGCTGGGGTGAGGACAGACTTCTGCTCCCAGATTTCTTAGCATCCTCATGGAAGGGGGCTAGCTGTGCAGGGACTTCTGAGGGAGGCAGGCGGATTGTCTCTGAGCTCTGGGCTCCACCTGGGCCCCGTGGAGCAGCGTGGGCCTCCCAGGTAGCACAGCTTACCCTGCCCCCCCAGGACCCTCCATGCTGCAGACCCTCCTGGCAGATGCTGCACATAAGGGGAAGGGGCCGCACGGACCTGAGGAGGAAGGTCCCCCGCTTCTGGTACCAGCTCCTGTCCCGCATCACCTCCTCCAGCTTGCCCTCCAACTCCAGGCCCCGAGGCTGGCCCCTGGTGCTGGTCACCAGGGCCATCAGCGACACGTGGGTCTTCTGGGGCTGTAACAAGGACCGGACTAATGGAGAGAGATGCCCCAGCGGGGGCCTGGCTCCTTAAACATGGTGCCCAGGGGTCCAAGGGGCAGCTCCCCCTGCCCGCCCATCACCTCGGGAGTGACCACCTGAGAAGAGGTTGTTGAACAGGACCGCAGCCTCACCCCAGAGCAGACTCCAAGATCGCATGGGCGCACCGCCATGCCTGGACCTCCCCAGGTGCCCAGTGGGGAATGGTCTCGGGCTTCTGGCTCCATGAGGCGGAGCTTTGCTCCAGGGTCTGCGCTAATACGGCTGGGGTCCATTTTACAGATAAAGAAACTGAGCTCAGGAAGGCCCAAGGTCATAGGCTGAGCACTAAATGCTTTCCCATCCCAGGTGAGGGATTTGGGGGTCTCTCAACAGCGGAGCCTCCAGCATGGGCCGCCTGGACCCACCTGCTCCATGTGCCTGTAGGCGGCCGTTAGGTTCATCTCCTGCAGGGGGCCCTTCAACCAGCAGTGAAGTATCTTAAGGTCTTGGCTGTTCTCTGCGTGGATCTCGCTCCACACTGCGGCACTCCAGGCTGATTCTACTTCACTCCGGCTGCGGAAGAGGCTCTGGGCCAACGTTGTCACCGTGGATACCTACGGCGAGGCAGGGGAGGGCGACCAAAGCCTTTGCACACCCTATGCACTCCCCCTGGGATGCCCTTTCTCCCCATTCCCCCTTGGGGAACTCCTACTCATCCTTCAAAACCCCTCCGACACCATCTCTGTGAGGCCTTTCCCGATGGGTCCAGGCAGAAATTGCTGTTCCCTACAGGGTCTTGAGGAAAGAGGACAAACTTCCCTCCATCCCTCAGCCCTGAGCAGAGAGAGAATCTGAAGTATCGGTTATGAGAGAAGATAACTCCCTTCCCCCTCTCTCCTCTTTGGCTCGGAAAGGGAGTATGATCTCACTGGGCCACTATTATTAGCAGGCAGGGTCTCTGTGTCCCGAGGGGCACACACCCACAGGTGGCCTTCTCTTCCTGCACCATTGCTATGGTCTTCAGAGCCCTGGGAAGAGCTGGGGGAGTCTCTGAGGTCGACAAGTGGTGCCCGAACAGGGACCTGAAGCCCCCGTTGAGGAGTGATCGGGGACCTGGGGTGGCAAAGGAACAGGGGAGGTAAAGCACCATAGTTCTGTGCAGGGCTGTGCACCCCAGCCCACTGCCCCTGGCACAAGCCCCATCAGGAATAGCACGGGGCCGTACCCCCTTGGCCACGACCCCTGTTCACACGGCTCAGGGCCTCCCAAGTGGAGGTGATGGGGTCAAAATGGGGTTTAGGCATGACTGAGGCCCCTGCCACATACTAGAACTCCATAACACCTTGTCCCATAGGTCACTGACCTTGGGTCTCCCCCCAGAACCTACAGGACCCCCATCGCCAGCTTACCATTTCAGGGAAGGGCCCCTCCTCCTACCCAGCTGTTTGGGCCAAAACCTTGGGGCCATTCAGGTCTTGTCTTGCGCTCCCTCCCACTGCCCATCCACCAGCAAATCTGTCAGCAAATCTATCGGTTCCACCTGCAAACTAGTTCCAGAATCTAGACACCTGCTACACCTGCTACCATCTCTGCTGCCAAACACCCCGCCCCCCCGCCCCGCCCAGGACAGGCCACTGTCGGGCCCCTGGCTGGGGTGTCTGCAGGAGCTGGTTAGCTGACCCCACCCTGCTACCACTCAGCCCCTGCCTCAGAGGGACTCTGCTGTCCCGAGGTGGGCCCACAGAGCTGCCTCTTTCTGGGTCCAAGTCAGGCCCGGACCTCCTGCTGTGTCCCACTTGTCATCCCAACACAGGAAGAGGCTATGTGCCAGGCTCCCTCGGGGGACACCTGGGGCATCTTTCACGGGTTGGTTTTCTTCCCAACTGTTATGCTTCAGAGATCAAACAGGTGCAAAGAAGCATATTCAATTACACACAGCAGCTGGTATGAAACTGACCTACGACCTTAAAGTTTTCATTCTGGTTTTTGGCAAAGGCCTGATGTCTACTTGTTTCCGAGTACCCTTCAACCTGCTTTCATGTTTTAACCTATCAGCGGCTAAGCAAGACTACGGGAAACTGAGATGGAGGGGGTGGGGCGGTCCACTCTCCCAAATTCACTTGGCAACTAATTCTGAAGACTATAAATGCTGGGCCATCCAAACTGCCCACATCTGTGACCTGGTATCAGGCTTGGGTGCTGTTCTCCCTCTGCATGCAAGAAGTTCTGGATGGCAGGGAACCAGGTTCCTGGGCCATGAGTCCAATGGCAGGGAGGGGAGCAGAGGACGTAACCGAGCATGCGCACCCGGAGGTAAGTGGTAGCCGGGGTGTAGATGTGGATCTTGCCCTCCCTGTCAAGGCCCTGTTTCCTGTAGGCCACGTTCATCACCAGGTTCTTGAGGGTCCAGGCCTTGCCCAGTGTCAGCTCCAGGACAGCCTGGAACATGGGTCGGCGTGACCAGTCCAGCCTGTGAGCCACGGAGACCATCAGCCATGGACTATCCATGTTCAAGGCTCCTGCAAGAGGTAGAGAGGGAGAAGCAGGTACGACCAATATGAAGAGAGCTACTGGCAGATACCAAGAGGTCCCCGTAGCCTCATCACAGCCCCTGCGGGCATGTCTCAGAACTGAGGATGACTGGGATGGGACAGGAGGGAACTTTACAGAATGCTGTTCATGTTCTGAGTCTTGACAGGGGCGACACCGGTGTGCGCACCTGTCAAAACGCATTAAATGGTACCCTGGAGTGCATTCCACTCTAGTTAAGGCGTGAAATGTACAGAGGTCTACTGCTTACTTCGACCTGCACCAACAAATAACTCGGATGGTAAGGGGGGTAGATATGGGGGGGTAAAATGTTAACGGTGGAATCTTGGGCTGAAAGTATGTTGGTGTTAACGATACAATCCATTGCACTTTTCTGTAGGTTTGACAAGTTTTCATAGAGACATGGTGGGCAAAAGAAATGCATGAAGAAGTTGGAGAGACGGCACAGGTGTGTGATAATAAAGGTAATAAAGAACGTGGCCTTTACTTTCCAAGCTGTAACCTCTTTAAGCTTGTGCTGCCATCATCTATGAAATGGATACAGTAAGATTGCTCACTGGGTACTGGGACAGAGGAAGCACTCATTAAGAAGAGTAAATACTGGGGCGCTTGTGTGGCTCAGTGGGTTAAGCATCTGCCTTCAGCTCAGATCATGATCCCAGGGTCCTGGGATCGAGCCCCTCATCGGGCTCCCTGCTCCGCGGGGAGTCTGCTTCTCCCTCTCCCTCTGCCTTCTCCCTCCTGCTCATGTGCTCTCTCTCCCTCTCAAATAAATAAATAAAATCTTTAAAAAAAAAAAAAAAGGAAGAGTCATCACTCTCACCACCATCATCAAAAAGGTGACATTCAATATAACCTTTTGCCTGTCCATGATTCACTGAAAGCAGGTCTCGTATTTTGTCATGAATAGCCTAATCCATTCAAGGACTAATTCAGCCAGTATTGCTCGGGACACTGGGGATGCGCAGTAAACAAGCAGGCACAGCTCCTGCCATCATGGAACTAGCAGTCCAGAGGCCGTGGATGGCAGGAGGGACAGATCTTGAACAAATAAACATATAACGAGACCTAAGTAAAAAATGCTGAGTGCCATGGAGGAAAATAAAGGGGGGGGGGGTTGATGAGGATCGGCCCAGGACAGCTAAGGTTCCCATGAGAAAGTGACAGTTGAGCAGAGACCTAAATGAAAAGCAGTGGGAGTCTGTCAAAGGGGAGAGCGACCTCCCACCTGCTGGTGATTTACTGTCTGGGCAAACTGAGGCAGAGAAGCCTGGATGTAGGGAAACGAGACACAATGAGGACAGAGGGTGAGCTGCCCATGTGAGAACAGGGAGATGCTGAAGAGAATAGCCCAGGGCCCTGCCCCGCTGCACACGTCCCACAGGCATGGGAAAACTGCTCCGTGAAAGAACAGAATGAAAAAGAAAGATCCACAGATACAAACCCCAGGGCTCCCCATTCAACTGCTTGACAGAGAAGCCCATCAAAGTGTACCCCCCAAACACATGTAGAGCTTCTTCCAAATAAGCTCTGAGTGGCCAGTCCTTAAACACAGCACATACCTAAGTCTTGCCTGACATTTGAGGCAATTCAGAAAAAAAGTTAAGAGAAACTCAAGGAGAACAGATCAAAGTCCCCCAGTTCTGTAACGTATCCGCTCAGAGAAGTAAGAAGAGTTGTGTTCGCAGAGCAGGACACTATAAGAAAAGAACTCTTGGGAACAAAAAAGAGCTCTTGGAAATACAAGATAGCCAAAATTAAAATGTAGTAGAAGGGCTGGCAGATGGAGTTAAGGAAATAGGTCCTCAAAACAGAACAAAAAAAGATAAGGAGATGGAACCAAGGAGAGAAAAGAAAGAAAATTAGAGGCTCAGTTTCTGAGGACCAACATCTGACCAACAGGAATTCCAGAAGCCAGAAAGAAGGAGATTATCAAAGAAACTGTACAAGCACATTACCCAGACCCAAATGACGTTTCCAAGTTGAAAGGGTCTAAGTGAAGTGCCCAGTACAATGGATGAAAGTCACTGTACACCAGGGCACATCATAATAAGATCTGAAGACACTCGGAATACAAAGAAGTTCCTAAAAGCTTCCAGAGAGTGAGAAAGTGGGCACATACAAAGGATGATGGCCCAGAAATAGCATCCTATTTGAAATGACACTGGAGCGATGTCCTCAAAATCCAAAGAGGAAAACTAAAATTCTCTACTTGGCCAAATTACCCAGGTACAATGAAGACAATTTAAACATTCAGGGGTGCAAAATGTTTACATCCCATTATGGGTTGAATTGTGTCTCTCAAAAATATACAAAATCCCAACCCCCCGGTATATCCCAGAATGTGACCTTATTTGGGAAATGAGGTCATCACAGATATAAGTAGTTATGATGAGGTCATACTAGAGTAGGGTGGGCCCTAAAACCAATAGGACTGGTGTCCTTTTAAGAAGAGGGAAGGGGCGCCTGGGTGGCTCAGTCGGTTAAGTGTCTGCCTTCGGCTCAGGTCGTGATCCCGGGGTCCTGGGATCGAGCCCCACATCAGGCTCCCTGCTCAGCGGGAAGCCTGTTTCTCCCACTCCCAGTCCCCCTGCTTGTGTTCCCTCTCTCGCTGTCTCCCTCTCTCTCTCTGTGTCAAATACATAAATAAATAATTAAAAAAAAAAAAAAAGAAGAGGGAAGTCTAAACACAGACACACACATACCAGGAGAAAGCCAAGTGACAACAGAGACAGAGATGAGAGCAATGTCACTATGTGCCAAGGAACCCCAAGTAGCAACGGCCACCATCAGGAGCTAGGAAAAGGCAGGGAAGAATTCTATCCAGGTTACAGAGGGAGCATGGCCCTGACGACACCTTGAACTCAGAATTCTAGTCTCTAGAACTGGTGAGAGAATACATTTCTGTTGTTTTAAGCTACTCAGTTTGTGGTCATTTGTTAAACCAGCCCTAGGACACTAATACACTTCTCTCAGGAAGCTGCTGGAAGATGTGCTCCATCAAAACAAAAGAGTAAACCAAGAAAGACGACCACATGAGTGCAAGAAACAGGGCTGTGACCCAGAGAAGTGGAAGGAATTCCCAGGATGACAGGGAAGGGATGCCCCAGAACCAAAGCTGTGCAACCGGTCTACATTGGAGCAGAAAGACAGAGGATCCAGGAAGAAGGTCTCCAAGAAACATATAAGAACTAATTGAAACTGATACATAATCTGATGTGTCTGACCATCTGGAAAAAGTTTTGTACTTACACTAAAAATTCTGGGAATAATTATAAAGAGGAAAATAGAAAACTGGTCAAACGGGAAAAAGACAATTATAACTCCAGGAAAAACATAAAATTAGAATCATAGTATACCATGTATCTCAGCTATGAAGGACACATACAGAGTCACAATTAAGTAAATATTGAATATTCACTGACCAACTCTTTTAGGGGGATGAAGGGAAATAGATATCTGAAAAGGGTTTAAGAGTTAAATTCTCATCCTCTCTGGTTAGAAATATATGGAGAAGGCCTAAAAAAGAAAAATCAAGAAATAACAGTATAATTATAGTGTTTTAAGAGCCAAAGAGCTTAACAAGAAAGAGCTAACACAGTTTACAGTGGTTGCTGTTTTAAGCAAAACTTGGGATAGGAAGACATGAAGCAGAGGATTACTGTATTTATTATACACTAGCTTTAAAAAATAAACTTTAAAAGAATTATTTCAGGTACGTACATGAGTAGAGAACATAATATGATGAGCCCCTATGTAATACTCACCACCTTCAACAATTACCAACTCATAGTTTCTACTTTACTTTTCAACCTATGTATTACTGCAGTAAAAATAAAATTAATTCAAGGATAAACTATGGCAAATCCATTTCTTAAAAGCGAGAGAGTGTTCTGGGGAGAAGAAACAGCAACTGCAAAGGCCCTGAGGTATGTTTGGAGAAATGGAAAAGAGGCCAGTGGGGCTGCAGGATAATGGGCAACAGGTAAACTGGGGTAAGAGAAGCCTGGAGAATCAGGCAAGGGACAGTCATGTAGAGCTCTGTTGATGAGGGGAAGGAATCAGGATATAATTGTAAGTGTCATGGGACACATTAAAGGTCTGAGTCTTGACATCCAGACCAACACAAAGGAAAGGTTACTCCAGGTAATGGGCACAGTCCGGGCAAAGGCCCGGGGTCCAGAGATCTTAACTCCTAGCCGAAGAGTCTAGAGATGACACTCACCTTCCCACTTCCGCAGGGTAGCTCGAGACGTGTCCTTCCACTGCAGGCCTGCCACAAAGGGCAGCTGCCCGTTGTACTGCACCTTCAGGTATGTGCTGCTCTCCACGTGTGGCTGGCGAAGGCTTGAGTGATACAGCTGCATACGGAAATCCACCTGCCTCTCAGGCACCTGCAGCACAAACTGGAGGAGACCCGTGCTCAAGATGCTAATCCGATGACTCCACTCCCAACCTAGCACATTCCACCGGCTCACCACGACAGCCAGGGGTTGGACTGAGTTCCCTGGTTATCAGGAACTGCCCAGCCCACTCCCAAAGAAACCCTGTGCCCATTAGCAGTCGCTCCCTGTTGCCCCCTGGGAACCATGAATCTACTTTCTGTTACTATGGATTTGCCTATTCTGGACATTTCGTATAAGTGGAATCATATAATACGTGGCCTTCTGCGTCTGGCTTCTTTCACTTAGCATGATGATTTCAAGACTCATGCATGGTGTATTATAGCATGTATCAGAACTTTATTCCTTTTTATTGCTGAACAATATTCTATTGTATGGATAAATCCTATTTTATTTATCCATTCATTGTTGAAGAGCATTTGTGTTGTTTCTCCTTTTTGGCTATTATGAATAATACTCTATAACTATTCCATACAGGTTTGTGTGAACACAGGTTTTCAATTCTCTCTAGTTCCTAGGAGTAGAATTGTTACATCATTTGGGAACTCTGTTCTTAACATTTTAAAGATACGCCAAACTGTTTTTCCATACTATCATACCATTTGGTGATTCCAACCAGTATACGAGAGGTCTAACATCTCCATATTCTCACCAACACTTAAGTGTCTTTTTTGTTTTTACCCTTGCTCGTGGGTTTGTAGTACTATCTCACTGTGATTCTGATTTCCCTAATCACACTGAGCATCGTTCCATGTGCTTATTGACCACGTGTATACCTTTTGTGAAGAAATATCTATTCAAATCCCTTGTCTTTTTCTTGTTGAGTTGTAAGAGTTATCTATATATTTGGGGGGAAAAATCCCTTATCAGACATAAAACTTGTAGATGTTTTCTTCCATCCTGTGGGTTACTTCTCTTTCTCGATGGAGTCTTTGGAAGCATAAACTTTTTAAATTTTGATGAAGCCCAATGTATCAGTTTTTGTTGTTGTTAATACACTTTTAGTGTCAAAGCTCAGAAACCCTTGCCTATTCTAAGGTTGTAAAGATTCACTTTTATGTTTTCTTCCAAGAGTTTTATAGTTCTTCAATTTAGGTCTACGATTTGGTTTGCATTAGTTTTTATATATGGTATTAGGTAAGCGTCCAACTTCATTCTTTTTGCACATGGATATCCAGTGGTACCAGCACTCATTGGTGAAAAGACTATTCTTTCCCCTCTTCAGTGGTCTTGGCAGTCTTGTCAAAAATCAACCGACTGTAAATATAAGGCTTTACTTCAGGACTCCCAATTCTACTCCATTGGTCTGTCTGTCTACCCTTACACCACTACCATACTACCTTAGTTACCAGAGCTTTGTAGTAAGTTTTGAAATTGGAAAGAATGAGTTCTCCAACTTTGTCCTTCTTTTTCAAGGTGGTTTGGGCTATTCTGTGTCCCTTGCAATTCCATATGAATTTTAGGATCAGCTTGTCAATTTCAGCAAAAAGAGATCACGTGGTTTTGGATAGGCATAGATAGGGACTATCAAATCTGTAGATGAATTTAGGAAATGTTGCATCTTAAGATTCGTTTTACGATCCAAGAACATGGGATGTCTTCCCATTTATTTCAGCTTTCCTTAATTTCTTTCAACAACGTTTTGTGGTTTTCAGAGTATTAGTTTTACTTTCTTTTGTTACGTTGGTGCTGAAGTATTTGTCCTTTTTTTGACACTATTGCAAATGGAATTCTTAATTTAATTTTCACAGTTTTCATCGCTAGTGTAGAGAAATACAACTGACTTTCGTATATTTATCTTGTCTGCTGCAACTTCGAGGAACTCATTTATTAGGTCTAATAGATCTTTTCATGGATTCATTAGGGTCTTCTACATATAACAGTGCCATCTGTGAGCAGAAATAGTTTTACTTCTTCCTTTCCAATCTGGATGCATTTCATTTTTTTTTTCTTGCCTAACTGCCCCGGCTAAAACCTCCAGTACAATGTTGAAGAGAGGTGGTGAGAGCAGACATCCTAGCTTCTTCCTGATCTTAGAGGGAAAGCAGTTAGGCTTTTACCATTAAGTTTGATGCTGGCGGTGGATTTTTCATTGATGGCCTTTATCAGGTTGAGGAAGTGCTCTTCCATTGCTAATTGTGTGTTTTTATCATGAAAGGGTATGGGGTTTTGCCAAATACTTTTTCTGCCTCTCTTCAGATGATCATGTGGTTTCCATCCTTCACTCCATGAATATGGTATATTACCTTGATTGATTTTTCAAATGTGAAACCAACCTTGAATTCTGGGGATAAAGCCCCTTTGGTCATGTTGTGTAATTCTATTTATATATTGCTGAATTCAGTTTGGTAGTGTTTTCTTGAGGATTTTGTATCTGTATTTATAAGAGGTCTTTCGTTTTTCTTTTCTCATGATGTCCTGGTCTGGTCTGGGCATCAGGATGATACTGGCCTCATAGAATGAACTGGGAAGTCTTTTCCCCTCTTGACTAATCATTTAGTAAATTATTTTCTAGTCAATTAATTCTGGCACAATCCAGTCCAGCCAAGAGGTTAAGAGCCTAAGGTATGCAATGAAGCCTACTGGAATTTCAATTCCAATCCTGCCACATAATAGCTGTGAGACCCCAGACAAGTCTGTTTACGCAATTTCTCCTCGGCAGAATGAGGATAGTGGTTACTTCACAAGGGTTAAATGAAATAATACAAACAACACATCTGAAACATAGCCTGGCAATAATAAGTGGCTCAGCACTGCTCACTTTGCCCTTCCCTCTTCTGTTCACTGTCAGCTTCTTAAGGATAAATAGTATCTTACGCATGTCTCCCCAGAACCTAGCATGGTGTCTGCCACATTTGAGAAGGCTTGCAGAAACAAGCACTCTTTTAATCTCTTCACTAAAATTTTTGGGACCAGATGCTTTCCAGAAATAAGAAATTTCCACAATTTAGAATAGTAACATAACACATGTACTGCAATTATATAAAGAACTCCTACCAATCAAGTCAAAATTCTAGTTTTTTTCAAATGTCAATACAAAAATGCCATCCCCAGAAAGGGTAATGCAATGGTAGAAAAAATACAGAAAAGGTGGTGCTCAGCATTATTAAGTGGTCGGGGAAATGCAAATTCAAACGAGATATCCTTTCCATCCAGATCAGCAAAGTTTTTCAAATGTTAAAAGTCAAGTATTGGTCGGAGTATGGAAATTGCTCCTTGTGGACATGGCTGGAGGGAAGGGTGATCGGTTCGAACATTTTGGAGGGCAAACTGTCACAAGACAGCAAATTAAAAATAGGCAAATTCCAAAACCCAGAAATTATGTATTATGACGTATGCCCCAGAGACTCTGGCACACATGTACCCAGGGATGGGTGCCCAAGGATGTTCAGGCTTGCATCACCAGAAACCACAAGCATGCAATGGCCAAATAAGATGGAACATAGCTACGGATGGAGCATGATGCAGGAGTTTAAAAGAATAGAGTAGATCTCTACAAAGTAACAAGAAAGTCCAACACCCATAGCTGAAGGATGCACACAGCAAGACTCACCAAACAAAACCAAGTGCCTGTGACCGGCACATAGAGCAAAGGAACAGAAAGAGATCTCCCTCCCAGCACCCTAGAATGTAACTGCTCTTTCTTCCAGGTAACTGAGGAGGGGGCCGGGATGGAAGACAGAGACTGAGAAAGGAATTTTAGCTTTATTTCAAGTGTGACTTTTTTTTCACAAGGAGAATTTATTCAGACAGTATTGGTATTTAAAAGCAATTTAGTACTTGGGAATAAAGTTAACCAAGGAGGCCAAAGACTTTACAAAATGTTTTTGGAAGTTACAAAATGTTACTGGAAGAAATTAAAGATGCAACTACATGGAAAGATGTCCTGTGTTCGTAGATGGAAAGACTAAATATTGGTAAGATGTCAGTACTCCCCAGAGCATCCTATAGATCGAACCCGATCCCTATTAAAATCACAATGGCATTTTCGTGTGTGTGGCAGAAACTGAAAAATCCGTCTTAAAATTCAGATGGGATCTCAAGGGACCCTGAACAGCCCAAACAATCTTGAAAAAGAGCACAAAGTTGGAGGTCTCACAAAGCTACAGTAATCAAAACAGTATGGCAGGGACACACAGACAGACATACAGACCAATGGAATAGAATAGGGCCCCCCCCCAAATAAACTCTCACATTTGTGATCAAGTCATTTTTCCACAAGCATGACAAGCACACTCCACGGGGGAAAGCACAGTCTGTCCGACACACAGTGCTGGGACCAGTGGATATCCACATGCAAGAGAATGCAGCTGGACGCTCACCTCACACCACGCACAAAAACTAATTCAAAATGGATCAAAGACCTAAATGTTAAGAGCTGAAACTAGAAGACGTTTAGAAGAAAGCATAGAGGGAAAACTATTGGATGTGGCGAGGATTTCCTAGATAGGACACTCAAAACCCAGGCCACAAAAGTAAAAAGAGACCAATCAGACCACCTGCACAGGTAAAACTTTTATGGACCAAAGGATGCTGTCAAAGAATGGAAAAGGCAATGGGTGGAATGAGAGAACATATCTGCAAACTATGTATCTGATCAGTAGTTAATATCCAGAATGTATCAAGAACTCTAACAATGCAGTAACAACAAAGCAAACAACCTGACTCAAAAATGGGCCGAGGACTTAAATAGACATTTCTCCAAAGAAGATAAACCAACGGCTGACAGGGGTGTGGAAAAGATCTCAACATCACTCAGCGTTAGGGAAATGCCCATCAAAACCACAATGGGGTACTCCCTCACCCCCATTAGCATGGCTACCATCCAAAACAACAGGAAATAGCAAGTGTCAGGGAGAGTGGGGAGTAGGGGGTTATTCCTGAACGGGGACAGAGTTTCACGCTTACAAGATGAAAAAGTTCTGGGGACAGGTGATGGGGACGGCCGCACAACACTGTGAACGTAACTAATGACACCGAACCATACACCTAAAAATGGCAGAAATGGTCAATTTTAGGTTATATGTATTTTACCACAACTAAAAAAATTTTTAAACAATTTAAAGACAAACACACTTAGTGTGTGCCTTACAAGAGCCCATCGCCTATTCAGTGGCTAAGCACTCACATATATTTTACTTACCAGAAACAGATAACCCTCTGGTAAAACCTGAAAGTGAAGCCGTTTCCCAAATGCACGTATAGTTGGAAATCTGTGCTTCCCAAGCCCCCTTGCAGACAACCCATTGCAAATATCCTTGCAGATGAGCGTCCCTCCCCCACCCACCCCTGCACGCCGTGCAGATATTACACTCTTAAGACTCCCCCAGGGACACGGGGACTAGAGGTGGGAAAGGGGTAAGGGCGCTAAGCTGAGTTTTAGCCTGCAGCATCCTTGCAACCAAGCCTGAAGGGACATGTGGGGGGCCAGGGATGGGGGGGATGCTCAGCTGCCATGCCACCATGCAAGTTAAAGCTCTGCAAGGTTGGGCTCACCTCCATGAAGTAATTGCTCAGGGCTGGACCCGAGTCGTTCTGGAAGGTCTGGCTGATGCGGAGCTTCCTCTTATTGCTGCTTTCATTCCAGCGCATCCCGTAGCTGGCCTCCAGTTGTGAGTGCAGGGAGCCCAAGCCCTCCTCGTGCCGCAGCTGAACCTGGGGACACACCGCACCAGGGAGATCCCCGAGAAAGCCTTGTCTGCCCTGTCCCCAGGCCTCCTTGCCACCACCCACCCTGGGGGAGGCAAGCTTGCTTCTCCGGGAAGACAGTTCTGTAGGAGAATGGTCTTTGCATTGATTTTGATTTTGCAGGACAGCGCATCTGAATATGGTTCACCTACCTGACTGGGCTGTTGGTACCCCTTAAATGCTGAGCCTGAGGCGAGTGGCTCATGGGCCTCACCCTGGTCCATGCCCCAATAAGGGGCTGAAAGAGCCAGCTGCCGTGGGAAAATGGCTCCAACCCCACGGCTCTCTGCCCCCTACTCTCCCACAGTGGCCTCTGGCTCCCTGGATAGACTCGAAGCGGACCAGGGTTTTACACCTGCCATCCTGTGGCCCTCTCCTATCTCCGAACCACAGGTCAAGGCAATATGGGCTCATTCATTTATTCCTTCACTGAACACATCTTTCCCGAGTACCAAGTAATATGATGCCCAGCACCAGACATCAGATACCCAAGAATAAAGAATCAAGAAGACCCTGCACTCACGGGGGCAAGAATCCAGGGGGAGAGGCAAACGTGAACTAAGTAAATTAAACAAAGGCACAGCTGCTTGCTTCTCCCTTTTGCTCACCCTGCCAGCCACTCTGGTGAACTGTGAGATCCTGACCTTCCATTTCTCCCTCCTGTCCCAGGACCTTTGCACTTGCCATTCCCCCTGTGTGCAGCATGCTTCCATAGGAACAGAACTGTTGCATGCTTTCATTTTCCGCTTACAATTTCTTTTTTCTGAAGACTTCCCCATTGCCCCATTCAAACCAGACTGCCTGTCCTGTTTGCTCAGCCTCTGCCCTACCACCCACATCACTTACGGCTCTCTTGGTTTGGTCTGTCTCTCTCTCTCTCTCTGCCCCTGCCCAGCAATGGGATGGCACAGACCAACTGTTGCCATGCACACAAGTCTCCCCCGAGTGGTACACATACAGCAGGTGTTCAATAAAGACCAACGGAACCAACGCACAGAAGCCTGAGACCAAAGCTCCGATTCCAGCTCCGTTCCCATACGTGACCTTGAGCAAACCCTTCTCTGTGAGGATGAGCTCCCAGCTCTCTCCAGACCCCTGCCCAGCCAGGGCACCCACCTTGTGGCTGAGTGCTGGGGCCTGCGTGCAGTGGAGCTCATGGTCCAGCTCCAGCTCATAGGTCACCTCTGAGCCACTATGCGCCCGCAGCTTCTGGATGGTGCTGCACTCCTGGGCCAGCCGCCTCGCCTGACCTGTGCAGGGCAACCCAGAGACACCTGCCCGTCCTCGGCCAGCAGCCCTCCATCCCCATTCCAGGGAGAGGAGCATCCAGCCTGGTCTCAGCCACCCCCCACCCCTGCTCCGATCTGCTCCACTTAATGTCACTCATTGGAACCTATGGAGGGAGAGGTTTTAAAAGACAGTCTTATGTTCCCCCAAACACACACACAGCTTTTTTTTTTTTTTAACTGCAGGTGTTCAGTGGCTAAGGAAGAGTGTGGTGAGGGCAAGACAAGGTGACAAGGTGGCACCTTGGCCCTCAGAGCCAGAGCCCTGGAGATGCTGCGGGTCCTGCCCCCTCCCACCTTGCCCCCAGCCTGGCATGCGGCGCCGTACCCAGAAGGCCGTACTTGATCCTCAGGGAGCTGGTCCAGAGGCGGCTGTGCCTCTGTAGGAGGCCCACGAGGTGCAGTCCCACGAAACCGGGCACAGAGAGCTCGCCGCCCAGGGCCACCACCTGCAGCCCATCCTCCACCGCCTTCTCCAGCAGCACTGCGTGGGGGGTAGGCGGTGAGAGGGGCAGGTGTGGAGTGGTCGTGGCCCACACCCCGGGACTGACACCCCACCCCAGCACCAGGCAAGGCAAGGAAATGGGAACTGCCCAGGGGGCCCGGGGATGGGGGGTCCTGGTGGAACCCGTGCCCGAGTCTCTGCCAAGGAACCTTGGTGTCCGAGTGCTCACAGTGTTACTTGGTGGCCACTGTCGGTGGCCCAAAAGTCACTTTTGTGGGTTCAGGCCAAAACGTTTAAATAAAGTAGAACAAAACAAGATAGAACAGAAGGGAAATGAGTGCCTTCTAGGCCATCTGGTAAACCTCACCTTCTGAAAGTTGCTCCTGCCACATGGACATTCAGCCAGGTCACACAGGTATAGCAGGGCCCGCGACAATACCCAAAGTGCCCACACTAGGTGGCCAGCAGCCCCAGCCCCTGACATCGTTCCCTTGGAATCTCCCAGAACACCCCACAAGGAGCATAGCTAGGGGGCCACACCCCAGCTCTAGTGTCCGGGCGGGCATCTGCCAGACCGGCCAGGCTCAGGCCAGGCGATGTGTTTAAGGTTTAAACTGTGCCCTGTGCAACTTAGGCAGTCAGTGTTGGGGGGTGCCTCTGGGGGACCAAAGGGAAGTTGTGAGCAGATATGGAGCCTGGATTTTTCCCTGGGGTGGGATGTTAATACAGCCAGGTAGAGGGGACAGAGACTCCATGTGGGCTACTCAGCCCTCCCCCTCCAGTAGCCTTGCCCACTGAAAAGAGGGAGTGGCAGCAGGGGGTCCCCCTTCCTACCTGACAGGTGGGCCTGGTCGCTCAGCAGGTTGCTCAGTGACACGGAGAAGGCCAACTTGCTGCCGGTCTGCTGGCTGAGGTTCCCCATGAGGACCACAGGACTCCCTGCTGTCACGAGTTTCACCTCCAGCTGGACCTCACACCGCTGGGCCTCGCCCCCAGCTGCTGGCCACAGGTCACTCCGGCCCTGAAAAGACCCCAGCATCACCTGGGGGCGGTGGGGGGGCTCGGCCAGCGGGCCTGGCTCTGCCCATAAGAACGGAGACTGGACAGAGGACAGAGCTTAACTAATGGCCTTCTTGGCTGGTCCTTCTCCAATTTCTTCAACTTGACCTTTTTCAAAGTAGGTAGTCCCTGTTATAAGTTCAGATGTAAACGTGAAGGACACCCCCCGCCCCTCTCGTCAGCCAGCTCTGGGCCAGTTCTCTCTGCAGAATATTCTGGGATCTGACCACGTGGGCCATCAGCACCTGTGTCACCCCCACATCCTCGTCCCGGCTGTCCCGGCTCCCCCCACCCCCGGGGCCCTGATGTCTGTTCCCCACCAGAGTGACCCCTTTGAGACACATAGGATCATACACACTCGTCTACCTCAGGGTAAAAGTCAAAGTCCTTGCAAAGGCCAACAAGGCTGAGACTTTCTCTGGAAGTGAGCAGTGCAGACCTGGCCGAAGGGACTGCCCGTGGGAGGATACTGGCAGGCAGGACACACGGACAGCCCAAAACACACGCTACACATCACGGTGCTGGAGATTTTCTGGAGAACCCATAAGCGACTGCAACTGTCATCGCTGACTGCCGCTGCCAACTGTAGACCAATCCAACAGACCTCTCTGCTAACTGCCTGCTGATGCACTCACCCCAAAGATGTAAAACTGACCCCACCATTCCCAGACTGTCCACTATTTTAGGCACTCTCGAAATCCCGTTTTTGCCTTTGTTTCTTGGCAGTCACGATTTGCTCTCTTCTGATTCCTCTTTTGGAAGGCCTTACGTGATCTATCCCCCCATCTTTCTGTCCCCTCTCCTATTCTGCTCCAAACACATGAGCCTGAGACTGTGCTATTAACCCTCTGGGCAAATTATCACCTCAGGACCTTTGCACATGCTGCATCCTTTACCCGAAATCCTTTCCCCCAAAGAACCCATGGCTCTCTTCTGCACATCCTCTCCATCAGGCTTCCTTTCCCATCCTATTTAAAACCGAAGCCAACCCCCAGACCCTTCTCACATAACCTCAGACCCCTGTGCCCAGCTCAAAGATTTCCTTTTCCTACAGCACATATACCCACCTATCACCATACAATTTGCTCATTTATTTCATTTATTGTCTCTCCCATTACAGCGTAAGCTCCAAGAGGAGAAAATTGTCTCTTTCACTGAGCTCTCTTCCCAGTACCTGGCACACTCTAGGTACTAGATAAATAGTTGAAAAAAAAAAAAAACGAAGACACTGAAAAATATAGGTTTCAATCCCGTCCTTAGTCTCCCCATCTCCCTCAGGGGCAGCCACTGTGCCCAGCTTCTTGTGCATCCTCCAGAAAGCTGGGGCTCTAAGAGGAAGGCGTTCTCAGAATCCCTGACATTTGGTCTTCCCTGCACCTGGGGAAGGAAGGACGTATACGACTGTGTGTGTGTGTATGTGTGTGCATGTTCATGTGCATTCAGGCACATGTGTGCACAGAAGCATAGACTTATAAGCTCCCTCCTGCTTTTCACAAAAACAGATGTAGGCTCTCCATTCTGCCCTGCTTCTCTCACTTTAAGGGGTGTCTTGGTGATGGTTTTACATTGTCAATATCAGAGGCTGCCTGGCGTTAGCCAAGTGCAGCCCATGAAGAGAATGATTATGGAATATTTCATCCAAACCAGGCCCCTTAGCAGGTGAAGAGTGCACTAGTCACATTGAGCCAGGTTGACGGGAAACCGGGGCTCCCCGGACAGCCTGGGACTTCCCTGCACACCGGGAGGAAGCACTGAAAGCCACACGCTCCCGCACGCCATTCCTAAGCCTCACAGGCTTTGAGCTGGGTTGAACCCAGATCTGCTGCTTTGTATTTCCAAGCTGCTCTGCCTGGGTGTCTTCATCTCATACGGGCTTGCTGAGAGGACTGAAGGTGGGCCTCTGAGCCCAAGGCTATCCATGCCCCCCTGAGAACAGGCTTTGGAAATTTCCAGAACCCCGCTGTTCCCACTGCTGTCATGCATCTGAGGCAGCTGAAACTGGAAGGTGTCTAAAAGCAAATGTTTGCAGGCTGCAGACAGCCCTCTGGAGAGCGGCGGGAAGGTCTGCCGGAAAATGGAAGCAATTAGCACTTGGGCATTTAGCAAACAACCAGAGGAGGCTGGCGGGCTCCTGGGAGTTTGGCAATGATCTGTAGCCTCAGGAGTCAAGCAGCTGGGGCTTTAGGAGGAAGGCGCTCTCCCCAGACACTTGGTGTTCTCCCCACCCAGGGGAAGGAAGTGGATCTGAGGGTGGAGAGTGTGTTTGTGCAGCAAAATCCCAGCCCTGGCTGTGGAGTCTCAAAGGCAGACCTGAGAAGCCCCCGGAGACCCAGGTGGACAGGCCAGACCCAACGCCACCGGTGCCTGGATGTCCTGCTTGGTGGGAGCAAGGCTAAAACTGCCGTTTTCATCCAGACCAGGTTGAACATCAGATGGGAGGGCTGAAGCCTCTCTCCAGCAGGGCAGACAGACAGACACAAAACTTGCACACAATTGTAGGGACCTCAACAGCCCCGCTGAGTCCCATCCAGGGACCCCTGGTGAAGAACCTTCAAAAGTAGCTTCTAAGAGAAAAATGCATGCACCCTTTGCTCTGGGAATTCCACTGCTAAGAATGTCCCTCTGAGAAGAGTCACACACACTAAAACCAAACAGTGGTTGGCTCTGGGGGAGAGTTTTCAATCTAGATCTATGCTGACCAACAGACCTTTCTGCAAGGATGGAAACGTTCTTGGCAAGTGGTTAGTGCCACTGGGGAATGGCGTGTTTCTCTTTAATCCTTATTTAAATAGCCACGTGCTCTACTATTCGGGTGGGACACTCGGTTCTATACCTTTTCATATCCTTTGAACTTAATTATTTAAACGTATCACTTATTTTTTTTAACGCAATAAAATTTAAGTTGTACTCGCAATTTGTGTTGTCACAAAAAGTTTGTCAAGGTAGATTTTCAAGTAGGGAAAAAAGTGCCAACAAAGAAAAGGTTGTGATCTTTTCGTGTAAAACAAATACCCACAAAAAACAAAACTCAAAAGTAAAAGGTATGTCAAATCTATAGCATCATGGGTTGTATCATGTCCCCTCAAAAGATGTTGAAGACCTAACCCCTAGTATCTATGAATGGGACCTTATTTGGAAATAGGGTCTTTGCAAATGATCAAGACGAGACAAGGTTGTGGGGGCGCCTGGATGGCTCAGTCGTTAAGCGTCTGCCTTCGGCTTGGGTCATGATCCCAGGGTCCTGGGATCGAGCCCCGCATCAGGATCCTTGCTCGGCGGGGAGCCTGCTTCTCCCTCTCCCACTCCCCCTGCTTGTGTTCCTGCTCTTGCTATCTCTCTCTCTGTCAAATAAATAAATAAATAATCTTAAAAAAAAGACAAGGTTGTGAAGGTGGGTCCTGGTCCGGTATGACTGGTGTCCTTAAAGAAACAGGCAATCTGGACCCAGAAAGAGGAAGACAATGTGAAGACATAGGGAAAAGATGCTAGAGGCCAAGGAACGCCCGAGGCACACAACAGTGTCTCCCTCCCCGCCTCCCAAGGAACCACCCCTGCCAACACCTTGATTTGGGACTTCTGGCCTCCAGGGCTGTGCAGGAGAAATTTCTGGTGTTTCAGCCACCCAATTTGGGGTACTCTGTTAGAGCAGCCCCGAGGTACTAACACAGATTACGTGGGACATACACAGCCATTTCTTCTGGAAAATTGGGGAGTACTGTGCTTTAACTTGCCCGTTTCCACTGAGTTTCATGCATGCTCCTGTATTACTAATATCGTCAATTTTTCACCTAAATGGTAGTGAGGTTCGAGCCCACTTTTTCCTTCTTTATACATTTCTGAGCACCAAGAGGTCACAAATGTTACGGTAGGAGGAAGGGTAAGAACCACTAACACACCAATAGTGATGTTGACTATTTTAAGCAGGGACCGTGGGACTGAGGCTGAAAGAGGCTGGAAGGTGGCAGGTGCCACCACAGGAGGCCTGAGGATATGCGACAAACCTTAATGTAGTAGACGTCCCTGTCATCCAGTATCAGCTCCAGGTGACCCACCCGGGCACTCTGAAGAGTCTCAATCTTTCCTGGGGAACAAAACAAGAGTTAAGGACCAGGGTTTAACCTCCGCCCGTCTTCCCCACGGGACGACCTCCCACCAGGTTTCTTATCTCTGAGCCCCAGCGGCCGTGAAGGGGACACTCGTTACCATCCAGCTGCATTTTCTTCTTGGGATGTAGAAGCTTGAGCCGGAGCTTCCCCTGGGGCAAGCTGTACCTGATGTCCACCCCAACATCCCTGGGCACCTCTGACTTGGGGGTGCCCATGAAGAGGTGAATCAAAGCTTCCTGAGGGAGCCAGCTGTCCTTCTGAAAACAGAGCAGACTTCTCAGTCTCGAGAACCTCATCAGCTCCAAAAGTTCTCCCTCTTCCCAGGAGAAGACCCTCAGCCCCACCATTCAAAAACGTGAGGTCTTAGGCTCCTCCTTGGCCTCACAAGACAAGAACCAAACCGGGAATTTGGAGATCTCAGGCAGTACCTGGAGAAGAGCAAAGCCCTGTAGGACAACTCAGGACCACATCTACAGGGTCTCATTTTGTCCGGCAAATAGCCTGGGGAGACGCAAGGCATGGCATGCACCACGGGCACCCTGCAGAGACCCCCTCGGAACCCTTAGCCAGCTCTGCGTGCCTATGTCTCAGCCTTCGCATGCTTTGCTGGTAACACCTGGCACCTGGGCCTCCAGAACATTGCCCTTCTCTGTGTTTCACAGGAGTAAAAACTAGCCCAGCTCCTCAGCCTCAAGGGGACCACACTCTGAGACGTAACCTATGCTCCAGGGCCACCCCCGCCCCGGGATTGGGCAGAGGCTGCCACTTCACCTGACATCACCCCCCCCAACTCAGTTCTTCCCCTTCCTTATCCTAACTTCTCCACCCTCTTATACTGGGCCCTCCTGGAGACTTTTCTTAACCAATCACTTTTACCCAAATCCTTAGCTCAGGTCCGCTTCAAGGAAAACACAGCCTAAGACACAAGCCCCCTTTAAGACCCTGCATTGATGAGCATTCTTACACCACCAGGAAAGGTTCACTGCTCTGTGCGAGGCTAGTTGTAGGCACAGGGAGTGCGACTGAGCGTTAGATGCACAAATATGTGAACCCTCATGGCACCTACATCCTAGAGGGGAAGCACAGAACCACCAGACGCAACTGTAGATAGCATAGCACCTGGGGATGGGTACTCTGCTAATAAACTCAGTGGGAGTAAGGGGTCAGACAGGGTAGTCAGGGAAGGCTGCCTCTGAGGAGGTGGTATTTCAGAAAGCGAAGGAAGCGAGAGAGAGAGCCAAGGGGGTGTCTGGGAAAGTGTTCCAAGCAGAGGAAACAGCCAGTGCAAAGGTCCTGGAGCAGCAATGTGCTTGGCATTAAAAAAAAAAAAAAAAAGACATCAGTGTGTGGAGAGCGGTAAGCCTCGTAAAGAATCAGGAGACGGGGAGGACAGCCCAGCAGGTCAGGGTGTCCAGCTCCTACTCAGAGTGATAGAAGCCACCGGAGAACTCGGAGCAGAGGTGGGACAAGATCCTTTTAGGATTTAGGAAGACCTGTCTGGCTGCTGGGGGACAACAGATGGCAAGGAGAGGAGCAGAAACTGGGAGATCAGATAGGAGGGTGTCGAATGCCCGTTCTGTGCCAGATGCTGAGGACACAGGAGTGAGAAACACAGGTGCTAAAGCTCTTCCTGGGAAGTGAGTGACCAGGAGGGAAGACTGATAGTCAAGCAGCTTTAAGTAACAAACATAAGAGGAGCGCCTGGGTGGCTCAGTTGGTTAAGCGACTGCCTTCGGCTCAGGTCATGATCCTGGAGTCCCAGGATCGAGTCCTGCATCGGGCTCCCTGCTCTGCAGGGAGTCTACTTCTCCCTCTGACCCTCCCCCCTCTCCTGCTCTCTCTCTCTCATTCTCTCTCTCAAATAAATAAATAAAATCTTTAAAAAAAAAAAACAAACATAAGAGTGATCAGGGCGCCTGGGTGGTTCAGTCGGTTAAGCCTCTGACTCTTAATTTCGGCTCAGGTCATGATCTCAGAGTTGTGAGATTGAGCCCTGCATCGGGCTCCATGCTGGGCATCAAGCCTGGTTAAGAATCTCTCCCTCTGCCCCCACCCCTTCTCTCTCTCCTGCTCTAAAACAAAACAAAACAAAAACAAAAAACCCCAAAAACAAAAACACATAAAAGTGATCTAAAGGGAAAAAACATGGTCCTATTAGAGCAAGTAACAAAAAAACATGACCACTTTGGGATAATCAAGGCAGGCTTCCCTGAGCAGCAGACTCCTGAACTGAGATTTGAAGACTGATTCAGACTTAACAAGTCACAGAGCCAGAGCCAGAGGATGGGCATGTGCAAGGGTCCTGAGGCAGGAAGGAGACCACAGCAGGACCCACCCAGCCCAACAGCTCCAGAGAGGAGCCCCACATCCGTATGAGGCTGATGCCAGAGTAGAAGACCTAGGGAGACCCACAGCTCAGCTGGGAAAGAAGGGGCCATTCCACAGGGCCTACCCGGGAATGGAAGGTATAGGCAGCTTCCAGCAGATACTGTCGGAGGCCCCGGTCCTTCTTCGTCAGTGTCACAGCCACGAACACAGGCGCCGAGAGCAGGTAGGGCTGACCAGCTGCCGGCCAGGTGACTTCTGTACATAGCTGCCAGCCCCAGGTGTGGGATGCTGTGGAGAAAGCGGGGCGGGCCGCTCTGGTCAGCAGAGAGCCAGAGAATTCCAGGCGGGAAGAGTGTGGACCAGAGTCCCTCAACCCCCGCACCACTGACATTCTGGGCTGGATAAGGCTTTGTGGTGGGAGCCGTCCTGTAGGATGGTGAGCCGCTCTGCTCCACTCACTGCAGGTCAGTAGCCACCCCAACAACAGTTAGGAGAACCCAAATGTCTCCACACATGGCCAAATGGCCCCTGTAGGGGGGCAGGTAAAACCACCTCTGCTTGAGGACCACTGGTGTAGACTTTAAGAGCATGAGTGTATAGAATGCAGGCTCCAGAGTAAGACCACCTGGGTCCAAATTCCAGCTCTGCCACTTGCCAGCTGTGTGACCTTGGGCAGATTGCTTAACATCTCTGTGCCTCAGTGCTGCTCATCTGTAAACTGGGATGGGTAACAGTTCCTGCCTCAAGGTGTAGCTGTGAGGACTGACACGTCCGACGTGTTTAGGACGGTGCCCCAACTAAAGGAGTCCATTCATTGAGAGCGGCCCCTCCTCGACCTTACTCAAAAAAATGACCCGCAGGACCCACCACGGTTTGGTGTATTTCCTTCCCAATCTCGTGTCAATTTTGTTGCCTTTCCCCCGACGTTACTATCAAAGAATTTTCTAGTGTTATCAAAATATCTCCTTCACTATGGGGTTTTAAAGTTACAGGATATCTCAGGGGGTTCACTAAACTAGAAGTTGGAGAATTTTTCTTCTATCCGTGGCCAGACAGTAAATATCTGAGGCTTCGCTAATCACAGGATCCGTCGCAACCACTCAGCTCTGCTGTTGACTGTCGAGAGCAGGCAAAGACGTTAGGTAAACAAATGGGCATGGCCATGTGCCAATAAAACTTTATTTCTGGCCATTGTAACATCAATTTCACAAATTTTTCACATATGAAATATTCTTTGATGACTTTCCAACCATCTGAAAATGTAACAACCTGTTGCAAGCTCATGTAATGAGCCATTCACCTATGACTGTGCCCTTGTAAATAACAATGCAGTGAACATCTTTGTGCACAGCGCATTTTTTTTTTTTTTTAGATTTTATTTATTTGAGAGAGAGAGACAGAGATAGTGAGATAGAGAGCACAAGTGGGGAGGAGAGGGAGAAGCGGGCTCCCCACAGAGCAGGGAGCCTGATGCGGGGCTCGATCCCAGGACCCTGGGATCATGACCTGAGCCGAAGGCAGACACTTAACCGACTGAGCCACCCAGGCACCCTGTGCACAGCGCATTTTAAAATGATTTTGGTTTATTTTCATAGGGTAAAGTGCTAGAAGCAGAATCAAAGAATTAAGGAATATAAATACTTTTAGGGCAGAAGAGCAACTCCAGCATTTGGAGCTGGCACTGCTCCCCTCGGCTCCCAGACGCCCAACCTGGGACAGCAAAGGCAAAGACCCCATGGCCTACCTTTCTTGTCCGTACAGGATTGGGCCTCAGAAGGGCGGTGGACATTCCCGAGGCTCCTCACGTCATCCCCGGTGACGAGATACAGCTTAGAGCTGGGTGAGGAAAGAGGAACGTCCCAGACAAGTCATTTTCATTGATTCATTGGACAAATATGGCTTGAGCTGCCACAGTTTGGTGCTGGGGCGAATTCCACCACGAACAGGATGGGCCTTTGGGGAACTCACCCACAGCACTCGGTGACAAGTGCCACGACAAACCTGAATGGGGGTGGCACAGGGTCTGTCTTGGGGACAGGGCAAGGCCTCCTTTACCTGGGGGGGGAGGGGAGTCTCTGCAGAGGGTAACACGTGCAGAGACTCAAAGGATAAGAAGGAGCCAGCATTCTAGACAGAGGGAACAGCAGGTGCAAAGGTCCTGTGGTGGGAATAAAGTGGTCTCTTTAGGAGAACAAAAAGAAGGGTGGTTCAAGGGGGTTAGGGTGGAGGGAGAGGGAGTGAGTGAAGGGCAGGAGGTAGTGGAAGGAAACAGGTGAGAGGTGGGCAGGACCCCTATGAGGAGGGACAATCACGAAGACCTGGGTTATCCTAGAAACAAGTAGAGGGTTTTAAAGAGGTGGGGGGGGGGCAGGGAGTGACATGATTTGACATTTTAAAGGACCCCACTGGCTGCTGCTGGGAGAAGGGCCTAGAGGACAGCAAGAGGACAGAGTGCCCCTGGCTAGGGTGGGACAACAGAGACAAAGCAGGTGTGACTGAGGGCAGCCTGGCTTCACTCTTATTTCATCTGAAATAACTCATTCTCCAACTCTCACCTTTCTGGGAGGCTGGGAACAACCAAGAGGGACCCCTGTAAAGAGCTGGGGAATACGGGAGGTCCCCCCTCCAACTCTCAGCCACCCCACAGTCCCTGTCACAGACACTCCCCCACTGACACACACACACACACACACACACACTTATATGCACAGACACACGAGGTCACATATACTCATACAAAGCTCACGCTCACACATGGGCGATCATGCACATATCTCACAGATACACACACTCACAGACACACGTGCACAAGCCCTCGGGCCACACCCACGCCCGCACCCGCCCTCACCCTCGCTTGCACACGCACGCTCACACTGGCTCCCTCTCACGTGTGCAGGACGCCCACCTGAAGCTGAGCAGCTCCACGGCCTCCTCGGGAGTGTTCAGATGCACCTTGAGGTCCCGGCCCTTCCTCGCGTGGATCCCACCATCCAGGCTGGCGGTGCCACGGATGCCGGTCACCCACCTCAGCCCGGCTTGGCCCAGGGCGCCCACCGCGCCCATCTGCACCGAGACCTGGAGCAGGGCACTGAGGGGAGAGCCGCGCGCTGGCTGCAGCCTGCAGGCCCAGGGGCCGCACACACGGCACCCCCATGCTCACCGCCCCGGCCGCTCTCGGCTGTTCTCCGCAGGCCCGAGCCAGTCCCGAGTCACCGCGGACCACGCCCTCCAGCGCACCAGCCATGCCATCCGGTCCATCCGACCTCGCCATCATCGGCCTGAACTTACAGACGCAGACACAGGCTGGGAGCAGCGAAACCACCTGCTCGGGTCCCCTGGCCGGGATGGGGGCGGCAGGGCTGGGACCGGGGGCTGCCTGAGCCCCAGCCGGGGTCTTCGTGCCAAAGAGCAGCCAGCATAGGGTGCCCACGCTCCCCACATCGGACCCAGAAACCACAGCCTGGCCAACTGAGTGGGGGACAGTCGCCCAGCAGGCCCCGGACCCGCCCCATTAGACGGAGCCCTGAACCCACTCTGCCCACGCTGGGTGGCCTGGAGCCTGTTTTCTCAGCCACTCATGGGAATACGAGGAGTGTCTGCCTCATCGGTAGTTATGCGGGTAAGAAGGAGTCACAGCCTGTTCATCTTAAATGGTCCTCCCTCCCTCCCTCCTCCCCTCCCCTCGGAGGCCAAGTGGAACAGAGGGAAGCATGGCTCGTGGCAAGACACTAGAGTCCCAGCTGCCTGGCACTGCTGTGCATCTTGGGCACAGGATGTCACTTCACTGAGCCTCAGTCTTCTCACCTGTCAAGTGGGCACAGCTGCCTAGCATCTCCTCACAGTCTCTTGGCACAAAAAACACTCAATCAAAGGATGGATGGTACCACGGTACCATGGATGGTCTGCAGAGCAGGAATCCCCTCCAGCCCGTGCTGACGGCCCAGCTCCCTGTGGCCCTCTGTAGGGGGAGGCCCCCGCCCACCCACCTCCCTCCTCCAGCTCCAAGAAGCCAGCCAGCTACCTGGGCTTGATGTAGCCATGCACAGAGAAATCCAGATGCTGCTGGAAGTCGGCAGTCCCTCGGACTCGGACGCTGATGGCGGCCGAGACATTGAGGCTCAGCCGGGCTGGAAGGCCGGATATGGTAGGAAAGGTGAGCTCTTGCACTGCCAGGTTCAGCCTCCGGGTCACCTGTACCTCCTGCCCCTGCGGCCAGAGAACTGTCATGACGCAGGTGACAGCCCCTGGCGTGGGCCAGGCGCGCACTGAGCACACACAACCTTATTTGATCCTCACACCGGGGTGGTTGGAGAGGAAGGGAAAGCGTCATTATGCCCTGTTTCTAGATGAGAAAACGGAGCCCACAGATGACATCACCTGGCCAAACCTACGTAGGTAGAAACAGGTAGAGCGGAGTTCAAACCCAGGCAGTTTACTGCGGAAAAAGGTCAGAGGTCAGGGATCCAGGGTGAGTCAGGTAAGGAGGAATGTGGGCCTTGCCCACGATGCAGAGCACTGAGTACGTGCCAGGTGCATTTTAAAGGCTTTGTTGCATTTTTACTGCATTAGCTCATTTAACACAACAGCCCCATAAAGTAGCTGCTTTTATTGCTACCATTATTGTTATGCTATCATGCCCATTTCATAGACACACAAACCGAGGCCATGACAAGTTAATGCTCCCAAGGAGGTAAGAAGTGGAGCCGCGGGTTGAACTTGGGCAGCCTGGCTCGAAATACCATGGTCTTAAGTGTGAAACGTTCTTTAGTACTTTCCCCCCAAAGCATCAAAGGAAACAATATGGGGCCAGCAGGGTGGGGAGGGGCCGAGCCCAGCCTGAGTACCTTCAGGAGCTTGACTGATAGCTCGGCCAGGTTCAAGGACTGGCGTGTCACGTGGCTCCCCAGGACGCCACAGTTCATGAAGCTCAGCTCGTGCCCGAACACCTTCACACTCAGCTCACACTGCAGCGCCCGCCGCTCCGTGCGCCTCTGGGCCACCTGAGGTAGAGCCCAGACCGGTGACCAGAAGCAGGTCTGGTGCCTGGACACAGGTGGGGGCCCGGGGGAGCAGAAGGCAAGGGCAAGGGCTTTTGGTGTCTGGAACATGGCTTGCAAAACTCATGGCCCTCAGGCAGAATCCACGGATGTGTTTTCTTTGGTCTGCACGCTACTGCCCAAATGCCCAGGGCAGTGTGTGTGGGTGTGCGTGTTCTCATCAACATCTTATTTGGGAATATTCTTAGATTTACAGAAAAGTTGCAAAGATGGTACAGAGAGCTCCCGCACACCCCTCGCTCTGTCTCTATCGGCAGCATCTTTCCTGGCCAGGGCACAGGGAAAGCAAAGAAGCCAGCAAGGACATGTACTATTAACAAAACTCCAGACATTCAGATTTCACGTTTCCCCATTCCAATTCTCCCTCTGTTCCAGGAGCCAATCCAGGGACCACACTGCATTAACGTGTCCTGTCTCTCCTGTCTCCTCTGGTCTGTGACCATTTGTCCTTCTTCGTATTTTTCACAGTGCGTATTTTTAAAGATTTTATTTATTTATTGGAGAGACAGAGAAAGCACGAGCAGTGGGGAGGGGTAGAGGGAGAGGCAGACTCCCCACTGAACGGGGAGCCCAACACGGGGCTTGATCCCAGGACCCCAAGATCAGGACCCAAGCCGAAGGCAGATGGTTCCACCAACTGAGCCACCTAGGAGTCCCTCACAGTGCATATTTTTTAAAATTTGAATTTGTGGGCACCTGGGTGGCTCAGTCGTTAAGCGTCTGCCTTTGGTTCAGGTCATGGTCCCAGGGTCCTGGGATCAAGCCCCGCATCAGACTCCCTGCTCCGCGGGAAGCCTGCTTCTCCCTCTCCCACACCCCTGCCTGTGTTCCCTCTCTCACTGTGTCTCTCACTGTTAAATAAATACATAAAATCTTTTTTAAAAATAATATACAATAAAATTTGAATTTGTTTCCAATGTTTAATAATTAGGTGACTACATATAAAATCCAGATTGTCTGGCTTCTCGAAAAAGAGAAGTACTGGCCTGCCTTCCCCACCACCACAAGGGGCAGCAAGAAACCAGAGCTGGATGGTGGCTGCCACATGCATTTCCCACCGGCCACAGTCCCCACCGCTCCCTATTGCCCCTCCAACACTGAGACCAAGCACTGTCACCGCTATTGCTGTGCTTGTGCTAAATATATCTTGGGATAGGACTCTCCATTCCAGGTGTGAAAATAACAGACAAAAAGGATGCAGATTCTAAAAAAAAGTCTTCAGACCCCGCCCACCACCTCATTCTCGTTGCTGGCCAGCCCCAGCTCTAGCCCAAGAGGCTTTAAGGGCACAGACCATGTCCTGACCATCTTTGTGGACTTGGGCCTATGGGTTCACACCTGACGATTGGTAAAGGTGTGAACACGTCAGCAAATGCCCTGCCACTCTCCTCGATCCCCCTCAGATGTACATAGCAATGACTTCTTACAAGAGTCAAAGGATGCCAACAGGGCGCCTGGGTGGCTCAGTTGGTTAAGCGACTGCCTTCGGCTCAGGTCATGATCCTGGAGTCCCGGGATCGAGTCCCGCATCGGGCTCCCTGCTCAGCAGGGAGTCTGCTTCTCCCTCTGACCCTCCTCCCTCTCATGCTCTCTGTCTCTCATTCTCTCTCTCTCAAATAAATAAATAAAATCTTTAAAAAATAAATAAATAAATAAATAAATAAATAAATAAATAAAAATTAAAAAAAAAAAAAAAAAAAGGATGCCAACAACCTAAACGTCCATCAATGGAAGAATAATCACGTAAAATAGAACTCCCCACCCAGAGAATGGATATTCAAGGACCCCACGACCCACTAACTCCATTCCTGGGCATATGCCCAGCCGAAACGCATACACGCCTTCACCAGAAAGACATGTGCAAGAATATTCATAGGGCTACCTGCTATAAGCCAGAAACTGGAAATTATCCAAAAGTCCACCAAAAGTAGGACGGACAAAGAAATTCTGGTATGTTCATACCATGGAATGCTGCATAGCAGGGAGCATGAACAAAGCAGGAATATAGACAGCCGCATAGATGGATCGTCACCAACAAAATTTAAGCCAAAGAAGCCAGACACACACGAACAAAACGACACGAGTAGCATCATTCACACTCGCCAAAAGGTGGAAACAACACGAATGTCCATCAGCAGGTGAGTGGATAAACACAATGGAGTCTATCCATACCATGGAATGTTATTCAGTCCTCCAGAGGGGTGGAGGACCGATCCACGCTACACGGATGAGTCTCAAAACATCATGCTCAGTGAGAGACACCGGACACAACAGGTCACATGTTGTCTGATTCCATTTATATGAAATATCCAGAACAGGTCAATCCATAGAGACCCAAAGCAGATTAGTGGTTGCCAGGGGCTGGGGGAGGACAGGATGGGGACTGACTGTTAATGGGGACAGGGTCTCCTTTGGGGTGATGAGAATGTTTTAGAATTAGATAGAAGTGGTGGTTGCTCATCATTATGAATGTGCATACATATGTCCAAACTTATCAAACTGTATACTTCAAACTCACACTGCTTATTAAAAGTAGACCATACCTCTACAAAGCTGATTTTTACAAAGTAGAACTAAATCAGTGCAGTTAGGAGGCAGATTAGTGATCATCCTTGGTTGGGGTGGGTAGACTAGAAGAGGGAGGGGCAGGGGGCCTCTGGGGTGCTGATAATGGTCGGGGCATTGATTATAAGGAGGCGTTCTGTTGGTGGAAATGCACTTAGCACTTGGACGCTTTTCTAATTGTCTGTGATGCTTTGATCAATACGTTCTCACGATAAGGCAGGTGACTACTCAGCTCTGGACCAGCTACTTGTTTCTATGAGCACCGGGGGGAGGGAGGGCGGGCAGGGTCAGAGTTGATTAATGCCTGAGTCCTCAGGCCAAAAGCTCAGGCTGGTGAGGGGTGGGAGCAGGGTGGGTGCAGGTACCCCCCTCCTCTTACCTTCTGCTGCAGGTCTCTCATCTTTCTGGACCTTTCTCCTGGACAGTCAGGGCTGGCTGCCTGTGGTGTGGGCCCTGCTTCTGGCTCTGGGGATTTCTCTGGCTGGGCCTCTCTCTCCTCTTCCTGCCCCCAGAATGACTTCCAGCCAAACAGCCTGTGGACGATTTTCTCTGCATTTTCCAGCCGGAGGCCAAGCTGGGAAGAAAAGCCAGGGCTCACTGAGGAGCAGCTCGGTCCCATGGGTGATCCAAAGCTGCAGAGCTGGGGACTCAAAGTGCGGGGAGGGGGTAGCAGGCTTGGGCAGGGTACTCTGGGCTCCCCAGGGTCCACCTGGGCCCAAACAAAGGGGCACCACCTTTTCAGATCATCAAGTTCCACATTTGCTGAGCAAATGTTGCACAGCAAAAATCTTTACTGATTCTTTAGGGCCTGGTTCACATGTCACCACCTCTGGGAAGTCTTCCCTGAATTCCCATATCCCTCCCTTCCCACATTCCCCACCCCCAGACCAAATCTATCACTCCTTCCTCTGAGAGACCAGCACAAAACTTCTAGGTCACACTCAGATGCTATAATCTGTGTGTCTCCCTTGCAAGATCCCGAGCTCCCTGAGAGCAGGGACCCATGTCTCATTCACTAGGCATGCTGAAGGCCTGGTGGATGGGTCATTTGGTGTTGATTTGACTGGGCTGAGGGATGCTGAGATATTTCATCTCACATAATTGTGGGTGTTTCTGTGCGTGTTTCTGGATGAATTTAACATTTTTTTAGATTTATTTATTTTAGAAAGAGAGAGAGAGAGAGCGGGGGAGGGGGGTGGGGGAAAGGGAGAGAGAATCTTAAGCAGACTCCATGCTGAGCGCAGAGCCTGACGCGGGGCTCAATCCCACAACTGCGAGTTCACGACCTGAGCCAAAACCAAGAGTTTGATGCTTAACTGACTGAGCCACCCTGACACCCCTGAATTTAACATTTAAGATTTTTTTTTTTTATTAGACAGAGAGAGTACAAGCAGGGGGAGTGGCAGGCAGAGGGAGAGGGAGAAGCAGGCTCCCTGCTCAGCAGGGAGCCGACATGGGGCTCGATCCCAAGACCCCGGGATCATGACCTGAGCTGAAGGCAGACGCTTAACCGTCTGAGCCACCCAGGCGCCCCTAACATTTAAATCAATAAACTGAGTCAGGCAGAGTGCCCTCCATAATATAGGTGGGCCACATCCAATCAGTCGAAGGCATGAATCAAACAAAAGGCAGACTCTCCCCCAACCACAGGGTAATTCCTCCTGACTGTCTCTGAGCTGGGACATCACCTTTTTTCCTGCCTTCAGCCTAAACTGAAATGTCAGGTCTTTCCAGGTCTCAGACCTCAGACTGAAACTATACTCTTGGCTCTCAGTCCTTCAGACTCAGACTCAGATTCAAACTATACCATCAGCTTTCCTGGTCTCCAGCTTGCTGACCACAGATCTTGGAACCTGTCAGTCTCCATAATTGTATGAGCCAATTCCTTACAATAAATCTCTTTCTAGATATAATACACGTTACTGGTTCTCTTTCTCTGGAGACCCTGAATAATACACCTGGCCTGGTTGGTTCTCAAAATTTGATGGATAAATGAATGAGTCCTTTCTGTCCCTCCTTCCTCCCATCTGCCCAGCCATCCAGGCATTTGTTCAGTCACTCTTTGATCCTTCCCATCCAACTGTCCATCCATCCATCTATCCATCTACCCATCCATCTGTCCATCCATCCGTCCATCCATCTGTCCATCCATCCGTCCATCCATCCATCCATCTGTCCATCCATCCGTCCATCCATCTGTCCATCCGTCCATCCATCCATCCATCTATCCATCCATCCATCCATCCATCCGTCTATCCATCTGTCCATCCATCCATCCATCCGTCTGTCCATCCATCCATCCATCCATCCTTTTATCCTTCCAGCCACCTTCCCTTCTTTCCATCTATTGTGCTTTCCATTGTTCCTCCCAGATATCTCCAAGAGCATTTGTACAGAAATCACCAGGCACCCAGATGGCAATGTTTGGACAAGCTCCCTGTTCTCCAAAAATTAGAAGGGCTCAGGACAGGGCACAGAGCACCCTCTCTTGGACAAGCCACAGGGGCCTGGGGGAAGGAGATGGAAGGGCGCCAAGGTAACCCACTACTCTTAAGTTTGCTGGACATAGGACCTCACAGATATTCCCTCTTCTGTTGCTGCACCCCACAATCCATTCTCCACACAACAGCCAGAATGTTCAAATCATGTCACATCACTCTCTAGCTTAAAACCCTTCCATGATGTGCCCCTGCTTCTCTCTGCCCTCCCTGATCTACTTCTGCTCTTTTGACACATCAAGTCCTTTCTTGTCTCAGGACCTTGGCACATTCTTGTGCCCCTGCCTGGAAGGCTCTGACCACAGCTCTTCACTAGGCTGCTCATGGTCCTTCAGGTGGCAGCTCAAACTTCACCTTCCTGAACACAATACTTAAAGTTGCTATTGTTTTATCCGTGTGTTTACTAATTTTTTATCTGTCTACCTCTCTGGGCAGAGATCACGTCTCTCTGGTTGATTGTCATATTCTCAGAGCCCAGCATAGCACATGGCACAGTCAGGTTAGAAAACAGATATTTGTGCAATGGATGACAGGTGGGTGGGTAGATAAATGTGGATATATGGATGGATGGATGGATGGATGGATGTGGCAGAGGGTAGATGGAGAGAGGGGTATAATGGCACATTAATGAATAGATAGAGGAGATGGGTGGATGGATGGAAGGAAGGAAGGAAGGAAGGAAGGAAGGAAGGAAGGAAGGAAGGACAGATGTATAGATGATATAGGGGTGGATATGTGGATAGATGCGTGAGTGGGTGGGTACATAGCAGTGTATGGATGACTAGGAGAACAGATGAAGAGATGTAGGGGTGAGAGGCTGATGGAGAAATGGGTGGGAGGCTACATAAATGGATGGGTGAGAGGGATGGATGGATGACGCATGAAGGTAGAGGGATATATAGCTGTATGGCTGGGTGGGTGGCTGGCTGACTGAGAGAATAGGTGAATGGATAAGTGAGAGGGCAGATGGAGAGATGAGTGGGAAGGTACAGAGATGAATGAGATAAAAGAGATGGATGTGTTGGTAGATGGATGGAAGGAGCTGGGGGTACAAGATGGAGGAGTGGATCAATACAGACAAGAGGCGATACATGGAAAGATGGATGGATGGGATCATTTCTGGCCCTGAGTCTAGAAGAGGCCCCAAGAGCTACAGCAGCCCCCTCCCCTTACCTCCAGGAGGTTGAAGGCATGACCTAGGGCGTGGATGGTCAGGTTAGTCATGGCAGAACGGGGGAGAAAGGAGGCTGGAGAAAAGAGAAGGGTCCCCTCCAGGTTGGCTCCCAGGCTGCCAGACACTAGGAGGAGAGAGAGAGGATCAGTACACTCCCCACCCCTCACAGAGCAGGGTCTGGCCACTGAGGCACCATAGTCTGAGACAGCGCAAGATGTGGTGCGTGCTCTCCAGCAGGACACGTGCCTCAGCCGTAAGCCTCACCAAGGGCATAGGGAAGGCCAGAAGGGTCACAAATATACCCACACCTGCTGACACACAGAGAGGGGGCAGCCAGAGCACCCCCTCTCCACCCCCAGACCTCCGGAGCTGCCAAGGTAGTTTAGGTGACTAAGCTAGAACAGGGTGCTTCTCAAGGCTCTGTTTCATTGTGATAAGGAGGTGACAGCCTCAGCTTGGTGCTAATCTCCTTGTAACACAGGGGAAAAAGTTCTCCAATTCATAGGCAGGCAACAGAATCAATGCCAATTTACATATAAAGAGATGACATTTGGGAAAGAGTGTCTTTGATCCACGTGTCCTCAAGGGTTAGAGTTCCCAGGTCCCCAGGGCTTTGTGGCCCCAGAGCAGGAAAGCGGCTGCCCAGGATGGCCATACCTGAGCGGAACGTGACATCAGAATAGGACGAGTGTTTCCAGGCCTCCGGCTGGAACTCCCGACTCAGGATGTCCTCAGGGAGGGCCTCCTGGAGAGCTTGCTTCAGGGGGTCGCTGGTCTCCAGCAGCTGCATCAGGTGACTCCACACAAAGGAGCCCACTGGAGTCCCGCCACAGTCAGCAGGGAGGGGAAGGAAGAGGAGGGAGGGGAAGGATGAACCTGGAGCTGACACAGCCCAGAGAAAAGAGCCCCCGATCCCCTATCCTGAGTCCTGCTATTTCCACATGCCAGGGGCTTCCCAGGAGCTTAGTTATCCATGTTTTCTTTCCAGAAATAGTGGCAAACAGCAGTTCCTTAATGGAACTTGGAAATCTGGCCTGTGCACAGCATTCTGACATGCCTTCCTGAAGGGAAAAGGAGGCATTGTGGGAAAAGCTCTGGCTTGACAGTCAGACCCCAGTCTGAATCTCAGTTCCACCACTCATAAGCTACGTGACCTCAGGCTCGTTACTCTCCCTCCCCTTGGCTTAGTTTCCTCATTTGTAAAATGAAATAACAGCCCATCTCCCAGGGCTGTTTGTGCAGAGAAGTCAAGAGGAAGCCAAAGAACTGAGTATCTTTCAGGGTTGGGAAAGGGATGACATGCAATTCATGATGGGGACCCTCTCAGGCTCTCTGGAGGAGTAAAAATCAAATGAGAGCAGTAATGGGAGAGTCCAACAAGGGATATTAGAGTCTAACTGGGAACCCTGAATCCTCTTGGTTGTCCCAGGCTCTCAGAATGCCCACCAGGGAGCTTCTAGAACAATCCACCAAGGAACAGAGTGGAGTCTGCCTCTTGTTCCCATTGGGTAACACACAGGCTTGGTACCCCAGGGCCTTCATCGAGGCTGAGCCCTTTGGCTGATCCCCTGGTGATGGGGCTTGGCTCAGTGGCTTCTCCCCCCATCCCACACATATCTCATCCCATCCCTGAAACCGCCAACAAACAGTTGCATCTTCCAGCAGTACCATTTCTTTAGAAGGTAATTCAGCAGTATCACAGACTTTTAAATGTGTGCACCCTGTAACTTGGCTATCTGTCCTCTGGGAAATTATTCTATGGCTAGATGAGCACAAGGTCCCAAAGATGGATGTGCAGAGAGGTTCATTTTGCTGGTTGTTTCTCTTGGCAAAAACCCAGAAATGACCAAAATGCCCATCAGTGGGGACTGGTAAAATGGATTATGGTGCAAGCTCCTAGTAGGATATTATGAAGCAGTGATAAGAGTCCACATGCCCTGATGTGGAAAGAGCCCCCAGAAACAACAAAGGCAAAAAGCAAGGAGCACAACAGCAAGTATAACATGATCCTGAGTTGATACTGTTTAGGAGATACATGGACATACTCGACCATACACTCCAAGTTCTGTTGGGATATAGAAGAGAACTGTTCACAGTGAATGCCTTCAGGAAATGGGATTTGAAGGCCAAGGGAAGAAGAAGGTAGGCTTTAGTTTTCCATTTCTACTTTCCTGTCTGCTTTGAAACTTTAAATGGCCACACATACAGCACTTAAAATGTTCTAAAAGTCTTTGTGTTTTGACTCAGTTTATGCTCCCTTTATGAGGGAGGTAGTATTATCATCCCCACTTCACAGATGTAGAAACAGAGGCTCAGAAAGGTTTGTGACTTGTCCAAAGGCACACAGGTAGGAAGTGACTGAGCTGGGATTTGAACCCAGGCTGTTGGGCTCTAGGCACTCAATTCACTGTCCGTCATGGAAAAGATTTTTGAAAATCAGCTGAACTTATTTTTTGAAGTTTCACTTTTAGGTTTAGGAACTATGGCCAGAGGCCCCTGTTTAAAGGAACCTCTCTGACCCCAGAAGGGATCTGTGACTCGCAGATACCATCCCTCCTCAGTCTTGGGTCTCCCTTCCAGGTACTAGGTCATGAACTGTCCAGAGCTACAAGGGAAGCCAGTGACTCCCATCCCTTTTTAGAGATGAGGAAACGGAGGACCAGAGAGGACAAGCAACTTGTCCAAGGTTGTCCAACTGCCATACATGTGAGGTGGGGGCACACAAGGCCACTTGGCCAGGTGGTGTGGCAAGAGAAGGAAAACAGGAAGCAGTTAGGAGAGCACCTGAGGGGCGGAGGAGGAGGATGCTCCCAAAACCCTGCACCCACCAGGAGACTCTGGGCCAGCCCCAGCACCCCTTCCCCCAGCTGCCACTGCTCACCCTGGGTGGACCGCTCTGCTGCCTGGGTCCGCCGCACCTGTGCAAACACCTCCTCACCAGGGCATCTCATCAGGGCCAGGTAGGCGTTGATGCGGATCTCAGCATCCTCCTCTGGGTTTTGGTACAGACGGGAGAGCGCGGATCGCTGGCTTGGGTAGAGCGAAAGCCATCACCTGGGGTCCATCTACCACCACCCCCCTCCACCCAGGAGCACGACATCCCCCGAGCTGCTCTGGCTCAGCAGGTGGCCCTGCTGCCTGGTGCCAGCTCTCACAAAGTCACAAAGTCTCCACTGCAGGAGGCCTCCCCTACACGCTCCCCTGCGGGCGGGTTGTGGGAGGTGGTAGGGCCACCACCGCTAAGCCCACCCTCCCCCAGCCCCAGTCCAGAGGCTCGCCAATTTCCACAGGTCCCAAAGGTAAATAGATGGGTATGGCTGCATTCCAATAAAAATTTATAAAAATAGCTCTGTGCCTGACACACAGGAGATATTTCCTAAAGTGCTTGGCTTACCCTGGCCCCCTCCCAAAGCAAGCCACCTCCCTCACCCTGTGCCCTGGTTTCCTTCATAGCACAGCCACCCACCCACATCCACTCTTACAGAACTATTTACTGAGCACCTACTATGTGCCTGGCAAGGAGCTAGGTGCTTGCTAGGTGACGGGAGCCACCTGAAGCTTACGTTCTAGTGCAGGAAGACTGACAGCAAACAAGGATAAGATGTGAAATATAGAACACATGAGGTGCTACATACTAAAGAGGGAAAAATTAAGTGGGGTTGCAATTTCAGGTGAAATAGCCAAGGAGGACCCCACGGTGAAAGTGGGTTTTAAACAAAGACCTGTAGGACGTGAAGAAGCGAAGCCTGGGGATGTCCAGGGGAAGAGCATCCCAGGAAGGGGGAACAGCACATCCAAAGGGCCTGTGGCAGAAGTGGGCCTGGAGTGTTTGAGGAACAACAGGCAGGTCGGTGTGGCTGGAGAGCAGTGGGGAGTGAGGGAAGTAGGAGATGACGCCATGGGGTGCTAAGCGGGCCCGTGGTCAGAGCACATAGGCCCTGCTCGGTTGCTGTAAAGACTTTGGTTTTGACTCACAACGAGAGGGGAGCTACTGGTCCAAGGGTCAGCAAACTTTCTGGCGAAGGGACAGATGGTAAATTTTTCTGGCTTTGTGGGCCACACGGTCTCTCCTGCCACTGCTCAACTCTGCAGCGATAGCAAGACGGCAGCCGGAGACAACACACAGATGAGCCGGCAGCAAGCGAGGATGGGGCCCGTGGTCCAGAGCTTGCCGCCCCCTGAACAAGAGGGTTTGCAGCACAGGATGCCTTCTGTATGGTCTATAATCATACACTTGTTTGTGTGTTTATTGGACAAGCATCTGCCTCCCACCAGGCACAGGCTCCATGAGGACAGAGCCCTGGACACGTATTCACACCAGGGCCCAGCACGTGCTCAGTAAACATGTGATGAATGAATGACCAAACAGAGAGGAATTAACAAACGGTGGTTCAAGACCCACTGCCACCCCATCATCACCCCAGCCGATGACACTCAGGAGCTCACGTCTGCAGAGCAGGGGACCCTCCGGAAGGCCTGGATGGCCCCCAGCCGGACCTCAAGGGGGCAGCTCCTCTGGGATGCACAGGTGCTCAGTGTGGGGGTAAGAGCTGTGACCGCCAGGCCTGCGTTGCCAATCGCCTTCAGCACGAGCTGGAGCTGAAACGAGATTGTGGTGGGGCCTTGAGGCCTGGTGGGGGTGCTCGCCCCACCCACCCGCGCAGCCTAGGGCTCCCCTGCGTGGGTCAGGCCCCACCAAGGGGCTGCGCCCGGGATGCCGCTTGTCCTCACCTGCTCAGCGTCCGACGGCTCCTGGAAGGTGCAGTTGGCACCCAAGGCCTCTCCCAGGATCCTCACGAGGGAGCCGACGCCAGGCAGGTGTTCACAGGGCCCATCCAGGGAGGCACAGAGGTTGTGCGCCAGGGCCGAGATACCAAGGAAGGCACTGGGGCTAGTCCCCGAGGTCTGCAGGAGTGGCTGGGGACAGAAACCGGCCCCCACCCGAGCCGAGAAGGCTGGTGAGTGGTCCTTCACAGGCCTCGCCACGTACAGATGGGCCCCCACCCTGGCTGCACACAGATTCCTAAAAAGCCAGAGGCCTGGGCCCCCCACCCTGCCTTCCCCCAGCAACACCCAAGATTCTCTGGGCTTAGACATGCATGCTTTTAAGTCCTCCAGCGGGCAAAGACCAGGGCTGCTGCCGAAGGCCCTCTACTACACAGGACAGCCCCCACGATGGAGAAGTGCCCACTCCCACCGTCAACAGTGCTGAGGCTGAGAACTCCTGGGCTCGGTCACCAGTTTGGAAGAGCGAGGTGGGGGTGGTGAGGTCGTCTGAGCAGAACGCGGTGGAATAGCCAGAGGTGTTAGGGTAAGTGGTTAGCAAGCATGCCACCCACCCACCCAATCAGGGGAAAACGCGAGTCCTCACGTGTGGCGTTTGCCAGTTTCCGCGGTGTAAACGCTCCCACCACGTGCTCTCCGCTGACTCACTGCAGCGGGGCGGCAAAAACCGAGCAGGGCGCTGGGGCCACGGGGCAGGTGCCCGCACACGGCCAGCATGCCGAAGCCCAAGGGCAGGGATGCGGTGCAGGAACAGAATTGGGAAGTCAGTCTCTATTACTTTCGCACGTGTGAACTCATCTGGGTGGTATGTGTGAGCGTGTGTATTCCCAGATGGGTGTGCACGTGCATCCCAGCACACACGTATATCCTGGTGCGCGCGTCCCAGTGCACGTGGATGCACATGCTTGAGAGGGTCCAAGTGTGTGTGTGTGCACGTGCCAACATCAGTGTGTGCCTTGTGTGTATACATGCGTATACATGTGCGTCCTAATGTGTGTATGTGTGCACCCAATGTATCCTGGGGTGCATGTCCCCACTTGTCCCTGTGAGTATCCTGGGGGGGGTGTACATATATGATATGTCTGGGTGTGGACATCTACACGTTCAGGTATGTGTGCGTACGTCTTGGGTGTATGTCTCCATACGTCTCAGCGTGCGGGTGTGTGTGGCTCCGTATGGCCTCAGGTGAGTGTCCTCAGGGCATGTGAGTCTGTGTGTGTGTTTTCTTCACGAAAGGAAGGGGGTGTGTGGCTTGGAAAAGCACATCCACCGTTCTTCTAGATTGGGCAAATGAAAACAAACGCTCCCAGTTTTCTGCATACAGGGGAGGGAGCGCGGCGGTTATGAAAAGTGCAGAGAAGCCACTCAAGCACGCGGGAGGAGGGTTCCCGCCTGCCGGAGGCCCCCGCCTCCTCCAGTCCTGTGGACGGTAAGCGGGGTGGACTCGGGCCCTCCTGGGACCCGGATGGAGCCAGGGGCACAGCGGAGCGCTGTGGGGAAGGCTGGGCGGCTGGAGCCCCTGGGCTCACCTCCCCGGGACCCGCAGGACCAGGCTCAGGCCAGGGCTCCGGGAGCAGCCCGGACAGTAATGACCCTGTTGGCTGGATGGCTGCCCGGGGGGCTGCCCCGAACTGTCAGCCTTCCTTGACTTCACAGGAATCAGAACACCAGCTCCTAAAGCAAAAATCTCTCACTTAGGAAAGCTTTGGTTATGCTTCAGTGAAAACAAGTCTGCTTAACATGTTCTCACTCGCTTTTTTGATGTTTAAAGATGAAAAGATAAAATTACCCCCAAGTCTGGGACCCTCCTACAACCGATTTCCCTTTTCCACTGGACTTGAACGCTCACTCATGCTGCCCCAAACCAACCTTCCCCAAAAGGCCAAACCACAAAGCTGGTAGAAAACGAAACAAAAACAGGAAGTGACAGCACGCTGGGGAGGTGAAGCGCTAGCTCAGACAGACGGCTAGGCTGCATTTCCCAAACCAGAACCTTCTAACTCCAGCTCTTCAAGAGACACCATTCAGAGAAGAAATGGCAAAGAGGTAGAACGCCGCCCAGAAATGGAACAGAGTCCGCACACGCACGCGCATGCACATGCACGCACAGCATTGACGCGTATCACAGAGAAAACGCGAGAAAGAAGCCGGACTCCAGGGGCACGTTGAGTTCACAGTGTGAAGGTCAAGAGCAGGCAAAACTGAGTGATGGCCAAAAAAGGTCAGCATCCCCGTGACCTTTGGGGTCACGGATGGAGAGGGGCATGAAAAGTGGGGGGAAGCAGGAAATGTCCTCCAATCTTCTTCTAGGAGTGGTTGCGCGGGTGTAAAACCATCAAACGGAACACTTTAGCACAGTCTCCTTATTGTGTAGTTTAATGTGTAATTTAAAACACGCCCTCCCCCCTGCAATGGGGTACCCTGGTTGGGACTGTGCAACAGACAGGACATTGTGGGGAAAGTGGTGGGATCTGAACAGCTGGGGTTTGGTCAATAACAACATACTAATGTCAGTTTCTCAGATGTGACAAATACATCCCGGTGACGTTGTATGTTAACATTGGGGACCCTGAGCCACGGACACACAGGAACTCTGTATGAGCTTTGCAACTCTTCTGAACACCTAAAATCACTCCACAATAAAAAGTATATTAAAATACTCTCTTGCCTGCCTCCCATCTCCCTCCTCCACCCCTCTCTTCGCCCCTCCCTCTTTTCCCTGGCCCCTCATCCCTTCCTCTCCCCACCCGTCAGGCTGCAAAAAGTAAGCACGCACCCCCGGCCCAGGCCCTGCACGCGCCCAGCACATGTGCATCCTTGTGGACCGGACAAGACAACGAGCAAACCCGTCCAGAGAGGTGCCAGTTCTGGTCTGGAGGACAGGTGAGGCAGGTGACAAAGATCCTGGGCTCTGTGAGCCGAGGGACGCTGCCAGCTCTGCTCACTGCATATCCCTGACAAGGGGTCACAGCATTGACACCTGCTGCATGCATGACATTTGGCACACATCACAACTCCTTCATCTACAGAGTCTCCCTACGCATTGCCCCCACCCCATGATGGGGAAACTGAGGCACAGAAAAGTTTAGTGCCTGGCTGGAGATCATCATGGTAAGGGATAGAGCTGGGATCCGAATCTGGGTCACCCCTGCTCCCTGCTGGTGTCCTTTAAATCCTTGCCCACTACCAGCCTGGCCCAGCAGGGTGAGGGGTGACAAGTGATGGTGCCCCCAGGACAAGTGAGGACACACACCCTGTGGAGAAAGAGGGGACCAGCTGCCCCACCTCAGGCAAGCTGCCAGCCTCCTGGGACCTCACTTTCCGGCCATCTGGGCGCCATCAAAGCACCTACCTCCCAGAGGCTTCATCAGGGTTAACTAAGACCCCCGGGTTGTTACAAACCCTCGGCCCACCTTCACACATGCTTCTTGGTTTCAAGACTCAGTAGACATATTTGTCTACAATAACAAGAGCCGCTCTCATTTAAAGTGCTCAGACTCTGGGAGAATCGATTTACGCGCATCACCCTGTGTCTTACCACCAGCCCACGAGGGAGGTACTTGTTCTATCCCCGTCTTCCAGATCAGAAAACAGGCTCAGAGAGGTTAGGTCACTTGCTCAGAATCACACAGCTGGGGGGGGAACACTGTTGAGACTCGAACCCAAGATCTCTCTGGTCTGTCCCCACGGGTACCAGGAGGGGTTGGTACAAGGCCCCGACAGAAGGACACCCTGTGTCCAATCAGCAGCCAATTGGGGGAAGGATGAGGGGGGGCCGGGTGGGGGAACAGGGGCTCACCAGCAGCGTGTGGACCATGGCATCCGTGGGCTGTGGGACAAGGGCCAGCGACCAGAGCCACGCCTCCATCTCGTCCACCTCCACCTCCCCGGACACGATGAGGTCCTTCATGAGGCCCACACAGGGCTCGGTGCCACAGGAGGGCAGGGCATCCACCAGCGGCTGCCTGAGATCGAGAGACACCGAGGGATGTCACAGAGGTGGCCCACATCTGCCGCGCGCCTTCCAGGCCTCACGTCGAGGCTGACTCCAGTCATGTGGGGAACACTTTGAGGCCCCAGGAAATGCGATGGGCACGTGTCCAGGATCACACACCTTGGAAGGGGCCAAGGCGGGCCTGGGGCCTTGGCTTTTAGGGTCCACAGGGACAAGAGCAGCCCAGTCCAAACCCTGGCAGGTCTGCCCCCCACCAGGAAACAGCGGCTTCATGCAACACGAGTCTAGCCCACTTGCAAAAAGCTGCCACAATCACCAAGGAGCAAGCACCCCTGCCATCCAACAGGAACCAACAGCCAACAGGTTGCCACTCGTGTTCTCTGCCCAAGGTCACCATCAGGATTCTTCTTTTCTTTTTTGAGATTGCAGAAAGGTTCAGAAGCTCAGAAAAGATTTTTAACTTTTATGCAATGGTGGCTCTGAGTAGGGACGTGACCGAATGGGAGGAGGGTCCCCAGGGCACAGCAGAAATGGGAGGCACCGTGTGCCAGCAGGGTGCACAGCTGTGGGTGGACAGGGTCCCCCACCACCCTGATGAGTGACACCCGCGACGGCAGAGGACCTGACACCCCACCCGACCCATATGCCCACTCTCTGCTGTAAACGGTCTCTGGCCTCAGTTTGCTCATCTGGAAAATGGGAATGCTGATGAATGAGGCTGCCCCGACATGCCCAGGAGTCCTTGGGAACACAGACGTCACTTCATCTGAGTAACAACCTACCTGTTCTTCCCACCTCCCACCCTTGCAACTCCTCTTTTCCCTATAGATGTGGGCCCTGGGAAACCACACCTGGCCAGAAGTGGAGGCGGCAGGAGAAGCAAGAGAATTTCAAGAGGATCCATCTTGTCAGAAACTCCTAGATTTGGGATGGGTCTCCCGCCTCCCTGACTCCCAACATCTACATGGGCACGGGAGACACGGGCTTCTAGGAAAATCCAGAACAGCAAACAGGGTATATGTCACCGCAGAAACAGGCAGTTCCTCCCGAAGACCCCAGGCCCTTGCCTACACCAGACATAATTTAAAATGGTGCCTCAGTCAAACATCACTTCTATTTAAGCCCATAGGTACTGGATGAAGAAGCCCAGACCACCTGGGTTCAAATCCCAACTCTGCTGTGTGATTTTGGGCCAGTTTCCTAACTCCTCTGTGCCTTGGATTTCTTCTGCAAACATAAAGTAGGAAATACAATAAAGCCACCTACCCTACGGGGGTCCTTGTGGGGGTTAAATGAGGGAATACAGGGGTATCCGACTCTTGATTTCAGCTCAGGTCATGCTCTCAGGGTCATGAGATCAAGCCCCGCATTGGGCTCCGTGCTCAGCATGAAGCCTGCCTAAGATTCTCTCTCTCCCTCTCCTTCTGCACTTCCCCCTCCCCCCAAAACACTCTCTCTCTCAAATAAATAATCTTTAAAAAAATAAAAATAATTGAGAGAATACAGAGAGAAGGCTTCAGAAGGTGACTATGCATTAGCCATTTGGTTTTGCAGTCATTCAGTTAGACATTTGGTAATGCTCATTTTGCAGGGGTTTTTTTTCCTTTTCATATCTTGGAGCTGCTAACCCTTTAGAGATCTTTTCGAAAGCCTTTGAGAAAGTCCCAGACGTCTGGATCTCAGGGGCCTGGAGAGCGGCTGGACTTTGGGAAGGAGCCCCACGCTTCCCCCCCTGCACAGCCCCGAGTTCACAGAGCTCCTCGGAGACCCCCCTTGGCACCCGGGGTCTCTATACACCCCCTTGCTGGCCCCACATCAGTAGGATCCAGGTGGTGGGATCCCAGCCTGGCCGGCACCCCCACTCACAGGCAGAGGGGTACCCAAGGCACATTGGAATGCTAATTCCAGCTCTCAGCAAGAGGGTCCCAGTCTGGGGAGAGAACAAAGCCTGTATTTATTCTGCCAGGCCCTTCAGCTTTAGTCCCAAGAGGGCTCGGCCCGTGGGAACCTCCAAGCTCCCCGCTTAATCACCTTCTTGGCAGCCATCCCCAGACTGAAGGACAAGTCAATATCCCAGGGATGAGAGGAAAGGAGATATCACCATCCATCCCTCAGTGGGGACATGGGACAGTGTCAAGACCAGCCAGCCCCCACCCCCACCCCCAGGACCGCCAGCCAGCTCCTGCCCCCCCTCCCCCGCAGAAAGGTCCTTACCAGTTGTCCCGGCATTTAAAGGAAGACTGTTGCCAGAGTGCCATCAGCTCATCTGGGGAGAGGCCCTGGAGCTCGGACACCAGCGTCAGGAACAGTTCTGCGGCCTGGGAATCAGGGTGGGGGGGCAGCATGAGAGACCGGGCAACCCGGGGGAGGAGGGGAGCCCCAGGCTCATCTCAGCCATTCCCCTGCCTTCAGGCAGGACTGCAAAGAAAGTGGGAAATGCATTAGCATCTTCCACCTAAGGTGTCCTGAGACCCAATGGAATGCAGCCACATGTCTGGGCTCCTCTCCAGGGAATCCCTGGAACATGGGCTGGGCCATTTTTATTCTTTAACAAGCATTTATTAGGTACCTATTATGTGTCGGCCCTGCACTAGGGACACGGTGGGGAGAAAAACAGACATGCTATCTTCATTTGTGGGCTTTACGCTCTGATAAAAGCTCAGTAAGTGTTCACCATGACCACGATCTAGTTGTTCTAAGGAGTCTTAGCAGATTTCATATAGTGAGGTGGCAATCTTTTCTAATATTTTAAGTGAAAAAAATACAATAAACAAGAAAAAGAAATACAAGAACGTTTTTTCAGAATTACGAGCAGAGATGGCTAAGAACGGTTTTGCAGGTTCTGTCCCTTGTCTGCAGGCCTGACCAGCACAGCTGCTGAGGGTCCAAATACACCCAAGGAAATAAAGAACTGTATTCAGAGCACGCACTCCCTAGGTTTCAGGAGATACATGGCTTGGTCCTCGCTCTCTGCTGGCAGCTCCCACGCTTTACCCAGGCTTGGCCAAGGCCAGGAATGAGCCCCCCCGACACATCCGGCCAGCCAGGGGGTCTGCTGGGGCTGGGAGCGGCGTGCCTAGCCTCGGGCCTCCCGTGCTGTGAGTGGTGGGGACCCAGTTCCCATGCACACAGCTTGTTTCAGCAAGACACAGGCTGCAAACCAGGCCCCTCACTGGCCAGCTCAGCCCACTCACCTCTCTGCCAGCATGCCTGCCTCCACCCCAGGGTCCACGCAGCATTCCCATAACATGTCTTCTCTTGGCAGAGCCGGTGGCTACCCTAAGCTCTGCCTTTGTTCCCTTGTGCAGAACACCCAAGCCAGGCCCTTGTTGGGGGGTGACTGCCACCATCACGGCTGGCCCTGACTGCTGTCGGCCTTAAAGACTCTCTGTCCCCGCAGCTTGGGCCAGCTACCCTGGGGCCTCTTGATTCCAGGCCTGCTGCCTGCCTTCTGGATGGGTCAGATCTGTTTCCTTCCAGCTTTCCCCAGCAGAACCCAAGATTCTCTGGGCTTAGACACGCATGCTTTTATGTCTTCCAGCAAGGATGCACACCGCTGTGCCTGGCTGGGCAGGCATCTTCCCACCTGGGGGGGGGGAGGGGGGGCAGGTGTCCACCCGGGTGTGCTCCTCCTCCTCCAGGCAGGCCTCCAGCCCCAAGTGTTGGCATCAGGACTAGCTTTCCAGAGCCAGGCATGGCAGGAAGGATCTCGGCAGCTCATTCCGGTTTCCCCTCCAGCAGGGAGAGAAGGGAGAAGCCTATCCACTAAGAACAAGGACACACAATACTACCACCACCACCAACCCCAGTCACTTTGTACAGAGTGTGTGCCAGGCACTATTCTAGGCCATGTGCATGCATCATCCCATTTGACCTTCACAACGCCCTATGGGGAGCAGCTGTCACTGTCCCCACTTAACAGAGAAGATTCGCGACTCTCTGAGCACCTAAGTCAGGTGTTAGTAGTCTCAGCCCTGAGTCAAGAACTGAACCCAAGCCACTTAGCTCCTAAACCCACACTCTTAACCAGTGTCTTCCGGGCTGGCGGGGCGTGGGGGTGTTTGGGGGGAATGACAAAACAAACAAAAAGAAAACACCCAAAAAAACACAAGAAAAAGGAAAGCCCTGATCTGTAGCACCTGCTGATTTCCAGGGTGCCACGACTCCCGCTGTGGCCCCTCTCCAGCTGTCCGTGTGCTGGCACGGCATGCAGACTCGGGAAGAGCCGCACGGACGCACCAGAGCACATCCGATTTCCACGACAGCAGGTGCAAACGACCTTGAGAGTGGAGGTCCCGGGCAGGCGACGGTTTTGAGTACTCACCACCTTTGTTTCTAACGGGACTTATTTCTAACCCAATCGATAATAATGGCTGCATTTAGCAACCAGCCTGCTGGATTCCCACCATCAGCTCTGATACACCACGGTCTACACAGTCTCTCAAACCCTTGGCTGTATACAATCGGTGTTTTAATAAAGACCCGAGACTTGGGCTCCTTATTCCTAGAATACCAGACAGTAACCGTGAGCTGTGCCCTCTCCCTGGCATCCTCCCTGCTTCTCTTCGGGCCTCCCCCCGCATAGCCCACTGATGCTCGTGGCTACGCAGCCCGCTGCCCCCCACATCGAAGCTCCTGGGCCCCTCTGCGGAGGGTCAAGCTGGGGAATTTGCTCTCAACTGAACAGACTCCTGGTTTTGTTTCCAGATCGAAAAACGAATCTTGTCTCCTGCCCACCAATAATGGGGAGGGGCAAGGGCATTCCACGCTGCAGCCAGGGAGGTCGGTCCCCTGAGCAACCAAGGGGGGTGCCCTCAGCCCTCCGGGAGGCCGAGGAGCTGCTTGGTGTGCACTGAGGCATCCCTGAAAAGCCATTTTCAGGAACAAGGTCCTCAGCAACTCACCCCCAGCCCGGGGGACGTCCCCAGTGGGAACAATTCACTTCCTTTCTCAAGCTATAAATACAGAGCAGCTGTCCTGTGCCCTCTGGGGCCGGTGCTGCCAATCTCCGGGAGGGAAGGGGCAGGCCTGCGGCAGGGGGTCAGAGCGTGCTCTGGGGGCCAGACGAGAGGAAGCGGGCCTGTCCTGGGGCTTCCCAGTGTGTCAGGAGGTTCAGCAAATAAAGCGGCTGTTCTCAAAGGGGGATACCGGGCACCACCTAGAGATGCTTTCGGTGGTCACAACGGGGGAAGGGGTGCTGCTAACATCCTACAATGCACAGGACGACCCCCACAATAAAGAATGATCTGGCCCAAGGGGCCAGTCGTGTCAAGGTAGGAACCCTGCTGTGGGGTCAGGCTGCCTGGCTTGACAGTTGGCCCGGTCACTTACTGGCTGGAGGACCACCTTGTGAGGCAGATGGCCCCTTTCCTTTGGGCTGCTCTCTGACTCCCGCAAAAGCCCCAAGTGAGGCCCATGGATCAGCAAGCTGGGAGCCCGGCTCCCACTTCCCGAAATAGTGAAGACCCAGCTGCAGGTGTCTCCGCTATATATCCATACGTACACAAAATGTACAGTGTCTGTGTGTGCATGCAATATGCACTCAGTATATACATATATAATATAGTCTGTGTATTCTATACCTTTTACTATATATTTAATATGTAGTCAATAAATACAATCAACATAGTCTCCCTACATATTCAATATATTATGAAAAATATATATTTTCTCAGTGTTTTTCTGATTCTGATCCTTCTCTCCCCCACCTCCCACCTGCCCCCCAGCCCACCGTCCTTCATGTCATGTCTCCCCGCGTTACTGCAATAGCCTCTTAGCTGGGCTCCCAGCCTCCCACCTGGCCCTCAGTCTGTTCTGCAGCCCTGGTCAGTGTGTGAGCGTTAAAACACACATCAGATTGTGACCTCCCTCCTCTGCACAATACCCTCCAAGTCTCCCCACTACCCCGAGAAAAAGTGATCTGTGTGCTCTGCCAAAGGCCCCCTCTTGCGCCTCCCCACCAGGCTCCAGCCAAACCAGCCCCCCTGCCACTCAGCCTTGAACTCCCCCAGCAGCAGCTCCCGCCCTGGAGTGTATGTGCTCTGCCCCCGCCCCCAACTCTTGCCCTACATCCACACAGCCCACTCTGCAGGTCCTTCAGACCCCTGCTCAAGGTCACCTCCCCAGGAAGGCCTCCCAGGCCATCCATCATTTCAAATTGCAGCCCATGCCAGAGCCTCCTTGCCCCTCCCCCTCTTCCCCTGCTCTACCTGTCCCCCAAGCCCTCGGGGCCCAGCATATTTGGTTCACAGGTATGTGGGTGTCCCCACTCAAGCACTCCAGGCACTCCTGAAGCCGAGCAGGACACAGGGGTCTGCTCATCTCAGCCCCACCCCTGGATATGAAGGCCAACCCACCCCCGCCTGGATGCTTCTGGCCCAGTCTCCACAAACTCCCGAAGAAATGCTTCACCTCACCAAGGCAGGGCACCCAGGAGGGCCTTTGGTGCAAAGAATTCCAGCCTAAGGGTGCTCCTGGCTCTGAGGGCTATGGCTGGCTGGTCACTGGCCTCCCAACATCATCCTGTACCCTACTCTGCCAGAGAAACAGAGACACCCAGAGCTGCGCACCCAGATGCCAGTTCCCAGCCCACACCTGCCAGGTCAGAATATCGAGGCTCGGGGTCTGGGCACCTGTGTATTTGAGAAGCCCCCACGCCCAAGTGCTGCCAGGAAAGCTGAGCTTTGGAGGGCGAGGGTGTGCCTGGAACACTCGGCACCATGCTTACGGCTGGAGACGGGGCCCCAGTTCTGCTCATCCCCTGAATGACCGATTTCGGTTTCCCAAATCCTGGGTCCTGGGTAAGCAGCCAATGAAACGGGTATTATCCGGAATAAACAAACAAGGATAGTGTGAGCCCTCCCAGGCTGTTACGGGACCAGAGGAAAAACACCCCTTTCTGTTCTTCTCAGCACACAGGCACTGGGGCCTAAGTCAGAAAAATCCCCCTATCTCTCACACCTTCCAGGAGAAGCCCTGGCTTCCACGCTAAGTCAGCAGCAACTCTGAGATGGGGCAGAATCGTCGCTGCGGTGGAAGTCGTCCAAACTGTCACTGGTGGGGGCACCCAGAGCTGTGAATGGTAGGGATGGTGGGACAAAGATCGCTATGTGCCTGGAACATTCTAGAAATCATCCTGACCATGAGACCCTGTGGGAGCCGGCCCCACTGGTCCTCACTGTCCAACTCCAGCGAGGCTGGGCGGCCTGCTCCCCAGACCTATCCTCAGGGCTCAGACTCCAGACTTTGCTCCTTTCCAAGCTCTTTTCAGAGCTCCTTCCCCCTAGATTTCAAAGAGACCACCCCAGGTCTCAACTCCAGTGTCTTCTGCTTGAGACCCCTAGTCTGAAGTGGTTACTCAGCCACATCCCTACTGCGTTCAGAATGCCAGCCTGAGAGCCCAACAGGAGATGAAAGAAAGGCCTCCTCTTTGCTCATCTCCTACCTGTATTGGGGCACAAGTTTTGGCACACACCAGCTAGATCTCTTCCCCTTCTTTTGCTTTTGTAACCAGGAACAGCTGTGCAGTGCACAACCTGCGCAACTGTACGTAGCAGCCCTGATCCTGAACATCTAGGAGGATAGACCATAAAGGATTTGGCAAAAAAGAACAGGGTGTCTCAGGGACCCAGGCCAGATTCTGGCTTAGGGCTGGAGAAAGCACTTACCTCAAAGCTCGTGGTCTGAGCCAGGCACAGTTTCCTCAGTGATGCGGCCACTGTGACCACCGTAGCCTGAGACTGTGTTTCCTCCCATTCGTACAACAGGCTGCTTGGAGTTACATCTCCATCGTCCGGATCTGATATGGGAAGCGCTAGATGGGGAGGACCATATGGGGGAACGCCAGAATAAGAAGGAGGTCCCATGAGAGCCGCCCCCAACCCTACCAATGCTTCCTTCTGTATGTTTCCAACAAGGGGTGTGGGGGTGTGGCGGTGGGTACATGCACAAGGAAAATCATGGCAGCATTGTTGCTATCAGCAAAAGATGGGAAAGAAACAACCTTTATACCCATCTGTGAGCAATAGTCAAATAGGCTACCTCCAAAGCCCTCTTCGGATTGAGAGAGAAAACACGAAAAGTCCATCCACTCAATCAAAGATTAATCAGAAATAAAAAGGTCGGACACCAGCTACAATGTGGACAAACCTTGAAACATACTAAGTGAAAGGAGCTAGTCCTAGAAGGTTACATACTATATGATTCTATCTACCTGGTATGTCCAGATTGGGCAAATCCAGTGGTTGCCCGGGGCTCGGGGAGACAGGGGGTGATGACAGACGGGTGTGAAATTTGTGGAGTCACGAAAACGTTGCAAAATTGGTTGCCATGGTAGGTGTATGACTCTGTGACTATACTAGAAGCCATCGAATTGTTCACTTTAAATGGACTAACAGTACAGCACACAAATTAAAATTTTTTTAATTTAAAAATAAAAATAAAACCATGTACGGGGCGCCTGGGTATCTCAGTCGGTTGAGCGTCCAACTCTTGGTTTCGGCTCAGGTCATGATCTCAGGGTGATGAGATCGAGCCTCACGTGGGGCTCTGTGCTCAGCATGGAATCTGCTTGAGATTCCCTCTCTCTCCCTCTTCCCCTCCCCCCTGCTCACACACTCTCTGTCTCTTTCTCAAAATAAATAAATCTTTAGGGGCGCCTGGGTGGCTCAGTCAGCTAAGCATCTGCCTTTGGCTCAGGTGATGATCCCGAGGTCCTGGGATTGAGCCCCACATCGGGGTCCTTGCTCAGTGGGGAGCCTGCTTCTCCCTCTCCCACTCCCCCTGCTTGTGTTCCCTCTCTGTCTGTCAAATAAATAAATAAAAGCTTTAAGAAATAAATTTTAAAAAATCTTTAAAAAAAACCAAAACCACTTGTATCTTAGTGAAGATCCAACTAGACACAACTAGATGCCCCGTCACGGCTAGCAAGGTGCCTGAGGGAGAGCTCAGGAGGCAGGTCAGGCTGGGATCTCAGCCAGTGTTCCATAGAGCCAGAGAGGATGCTGGGAAGCCGCAGGGCTCTGGTCCCACCTGCCAGGTTCTCCCAAAGGTGGAGCAGTGAGCCTGGGCTCAGAAGCACAGGGCTCCCAGCCAGGGCTACAGAACAGAGCTGGGGGCTCGAGTCTTGGCTCTGCCCCTCTCTAGCCATGTGACTTCAGACAAGTCCTCTTATCCCTTGGAGGCACAGTTCCTTATTTGAAAATGTAACCAATAACAGTACCTTCCTAATGGGCTCATAATAAAAACCAAATTAAATAATCCACATAAAACACTCAGCACAGCTCCTGGCCCAAGTAAATCCTTCCCAAGTGTTAGCAGTAAGAAGCATTTTTATTATGCAGAGAAACAGTTTTCAATCATGAAAAATCATCTTTTTCCCTCAGATGCATGCCTTGCTTCTTTCTTTCCATGCAAAATTGGAGGAGAGAGTCAAGCTCCAGGGAATTTCATGTGTTGGCAGAGACTTTCCAGAAAACCAGGAAAGCTGAGTCAGCTTGCCCCCCAAAATGGTCAGGTCATCAGATGGAAGGTAGAATTCTCTCACAAAAGCAGGGAACCACAAGATTCTATCTCCACTGAAAACACCCTGGGAGAAGGTCAAGACCAAGCCTGAGCCAGCTGAGCCAGCAGAAACTTCTAGAGAAAGAGACTGACTCTCCTGATGATAGCCATTTTCAGAAACGGTTCAAGACAGCCAGGGACAGAGGGATAGAGCCTAGGCCTGCTTAAGCCCCCCACCAAAGGAGGTCTCAAGGCTCCTCTGAGGGTCCTCATATCCACGCTTGGTCACCTGTGACGGCCGGATCCAGGGACATCTCACGCAGCAGGGTGAGCGAGGAAAGCGTCTGCATCTGCACCCCACTTGCCTTCTCAGAGAGGGGCCGCACGGTGTCCAGCTCCGTGCAAGAGGCCACACTCAGCACGCCAGCCTGGAAACTCTGGAAGCAGGTCAGGTGGGAGGCCAGGCCAGCCTGCTGGACCACAGGGGCGGGGAGAGGCAGGGGCTCAGGGGAGGCCCAGGCTGTGAAGGAACCTAGCTGATGGGGCCCCTGGAGGGCTGGAGGGAGTGCGGTGGGAAGCACTGGGGGCTTCAACACGGGACCTCAGTACCCTCCCCCCAACCTGGGTTGTAGTACCCACAGCCCAAGCAAAGGATGACGGGGGCAGGGCGAGCACAAGGGAAGCAAGAAAGTCCCAGGAACAGGTCATGAAACCTCAGTTGGAAAATGAAAAACAGCAGAGGTAGCTGCATGGGATGCCAGATATCAAGACTTTGTCTAATAGTAGTTACGGGCACCGAGGATCACCTCTTATCCTTCCCCAGAAAGGTGCTATTTACAAAACACGTTCTCTGCAGGGAGCTGTGGACAGGAGGGGAGGAGAAGAAGTGGGGGGCCAGGCAGCAGAGAGGAGCTGTGGGGAAGGGAGAAGGGAGGACGAAGGGGGAGGAGAGATGGAGGAGGGGTGGGAGCAGAGGAGTTTGGAGGGAAGCAGAGAGAAAGGGACTGATGGTGTAGACGGGACAGGGAGCAGTTGAAGAGGGAGGAGGGGAAGGAAGATGGGACTGGGGGAGCGGACGGGAGGACCTGGGGGCACTTACCTCCTCCCAGGGCAGGGCCTGGGAGCGCAGGGAGGAGCGCACTCTGCGCAGGGAGCAACGGGCCAGGTCCTTGGTCTTGCGCAGCCCCGCACCATGTGGCTGGTACGTGGTGGGACACCTGCCCAGGACGTCCACCTGGGCGGGCGGGACCCCATCAGCCCCATGTCAGCCCCCTGTCAGCCCCCTGCCCCCACCCCCTCCAGGCTCCCCCCGGCCTCACCTCTTCGAGGGTCTGGGGGCCGTGGGCATCCGGGCGCCCCTGCAGGAGGCTCAGCACCGCGCGCTTCACGTTCAGCGCCCAGCGAGGCTCTGCGCGGCGGGGACACAGGCGGGCCACGCGCCCTGCCTGCAGGATGAAGCGCAGCGGGTGGCGGCCCAGGGCAGCGCTGGGGACAGGCAGGCGGGAGTCAGGCAGAGGCCCTCCAAGGCACCAGGCCACCTCTTCACTGTGGGGGCCATGGTATCCCTGCTCCTCCTGCTCTAGGTCGGCCCGCCAAGGAAGCCCCCCCAACCCCCCGCATCTTCCCAAATAGCCTTGCTTCCCTCTTCAGCTGGGTTCCCCAGCAACTTCTGAATCAAACACAAGGGGCAGCCAACTCTTTGCTCAAAGCTGCCCGCGGACTTATTAACACTTGCCCCAAAAGTACCTGTGTGTGCCCAGCCTCAGATAATAGAAAACTGCACTTCCAAGACCTTTCTGAACTCCAAAGATTCTCATTTTCCCAGCCCACCGGGGAGGTACCTAGCATCCCCCCCCCCCCCCACACACACACCCACACCCCCACACCCACATTACAGAGGAGGAAATGGAAGCTCAGGACCAGAATGTGACTTGTTCGGGACAGCAGCTGGGATTCGAACCCAGGCAGGTGGGCTCCAGTGTCATGGGTCTCAAACTGCCCCCCAACCCCAGGACTTGAGACTCCATCACTGTGCAGATGAGGAAAAGAGGCCCAGAGAGGGGGAGCTACTCGGGGGGATCATACAGCAAGTTAGGGAGGAGCTGGGACCAGAATTCGGCCCAATGCTCATCCGGCCACCCCTCATCTGGCCGAAAGGAGCCTGTGTCCTGCATCTGCCAGGTGAGGGGATGAGAGGGGGGAGGTGATGGGTGGTGAAGTCCCCACAGTTGTGTGTGGGGACAGAACAGAGCCAAACTTGAGCAGTGAGCCAGCAGGGCAGAATTTTGAGGGACAGAAGTGTCCCTACTTGTACCTCCCCGGGAGGTCACTGCCCCTTCTCCAGCTCCAACTGGAGACCCCCTGGGTCTCAGGCCTGGCCCTAGAGAAATGCTAATGGTGCCCGCCCCTTCCAGAATAGCAAATGTCAGTCTGGCCTCAAGGATCTGACAACCCCCAGCCCTCTGACTTAGCATTTCTGATGAGGAGCCCAAGGACAATAGCCCACACTGCTCCCGTGGAGGAGACCACCCTAAGCCTTTCAGGGGGATCCATCTGCCCCTCGGCAGCATCCCCCATCCCTGCACCCCAGCACAAAGGCTTTATTTTTTTAAACAAATGAATTTGCAATAAAAAAGGAAGAGGAATCTGCAGAGATGGGCTTGTCTTCAGTCTGGCGGGTGGACTGAGCTTTGAGGCCACGGAGGCCACTGTCAGGGAGTCCTGGGAAACAAGCCGGAGAGAGAATTCCAGGCTTGGCCAGGTCACAAAGGGAGGCTTAGCTTGGGACAGGAAAGGCCATGGGTCTCTAAGAAAACCCCCATCTCAGCAGAGACAGGGAAGAGAGGGGTGGGCTTTAACGGAATACACCCAGTGTCTTCCAGAATGCACTCAAGGAAAATGCCCGGAGAGTGCTTGGCAAACATAAAATCTAGACATGCTGGGAGTGATGGGCAGGGAAATAGGAGGTGAGTTCCGTCCACCAGGTAAGGGAAGGCCACCCGAGGCTACTCAGAGTTGCTCAAGGATCCTACATCAGTCCTCATCAGTGATCTGGTCTGGGTACCTACAAGGTCAAAACCTAAGGCGGGGTTGGGGGGGGTCATTCTTCCAATCTAACTTGGTGCATCCAGCACCTGGCAGCTGTGGGGAGGAGGGTACGGGACTCGCATGTCTGGTCCCATGAGGAGCAAGGCCTAGTGTCTTACCTCAAGTTCTCCGAGTCCTTCAGAACTGCCACCTTGGACCCCAGGATAGATGTCACCTGGAAATCTTGGAGCTGAAGCAGAAAGCACCCGTGAGTCAGTGACCTCTCCTGGGGTACCCCAGAACCTCACCAGTACCCCCCACACAAAGCAGTTCTGGGGCCCAGCATGATACTTGGCCCCATGTGGGAGGCAGGCAGAAAGATCCTTCCCTTGAGCAGAAGGTTCTATTTCTAGGTGGTGGATGCCAAATATCTCCAAGGGGTAAATAGTTAAAGCAACCAGGACCTACCGCTCGCTGATAAATGTTCAGAAAGTTCTCACTAGTTTCTCATTTTGCCCAAAAGGCCCTGGAAGTTTGGGTAAAAGATTCATACAGCTATCCAGTAAAAATAGGTTAGGATTGCAAAGCAAACAAACAAACAAAAAAAAGACTTTGCCCACCATGAATAAAACACTTGGATGTCCCAAAAGCACCGTGGGCGTATGCATGCATACGTGTGCATGTGTTTGTGCGCGTGCATGTGTGCGCGCATGTGTGTGCGCGCGCATGCGTACTTATTGCCAAAGAAGATGGACTCCCTAAAGATGAAAAATAAGACCACCCCTAAAAACTGCCTCCCTAACACGACCGATACCACTTTTAAAAGAACAGACTCTTCCTAGAGCAGTTTTAGATTGATAGCAATATTGAGAAGAATGTACAGCGATTTCCCACATACCTCATATATATTCATACCCACATCCCACATCCTCCCCCATTTCCAACATCCCCAGCAGCATGGCACAATTTGTTACAATCAGTGAACCCGCACAAACACATCGTCATCACCCGAAGCCCATAGTTTACACCAGCGGTCACTCTTGGTGGTGTGCACTCTATGGGTTTGCACACACGTACCGTGACACGTATCCACCATTATGTACCATACAGAACGGTTTCCCTGCCCTTGGATTTCACTTTTTCAAAGTGGCTCATCTTCACTCACCTTGTCTAAAACCTATTTCCTCGCTCTCCTGAAAACCAGCCCCGCTCCCCCAGCAGAAGGTCTGTCATCTCCCCAGTCACCCAGGCTTGAAATGTCGGGGTGAAATCCAGTCCCCCTTGGCACCAAAAGGCTGTCCGGGACAGTGGATCCCTCAGCCACGGAAATGATAAACACTTATTGACTGACCACTTGCTTGAAATGCCACCCATTATAACTGCATTCCATATGCTCTAAATTGTCCATAGAGTCATGGAAGATAGTTTTGCAAACCCACTGAACTTAAAAATACTTAACTTAAAATTACTTAAAAATGGTTAAAGAGGGGGCACCTGGGTGACTCAGTTGGTGAAGCATCTGACTCGATTTCAGCTCAGGTCATGATCTCAGGGTTGTGAGACTGAGCCCCACAACGGACTCCCCGATCAGCAGGGAGTCTACTTCTCTCTCTCTCGCCCACTTTCCCTCTGCCCCTCCCCCCTCTAAAATAAATAAGTAAATCTTTAAACAAATATATTTTTTAAAAATGAAGATCTGATAGATGCTATGATGTGGATAAACCTTGAGAACATTATACTAAGTGAAAGAACCCAGGCACAGAAGTTTACATATTGGGCACCTGGGTGGCTCAGTCGGTTAAGTGACTGCCTTCAGCTCAGGTCATGATCCCAGGGTCCTGGGATTTAGTCCTGCATCAGGCTTCTTGCTCTGTGGGGAGCCTGCTTCTCCCTCTCCCACTCCCCCTGCTTGTGTTCCCTCTCTCGCCGTGTCTCTCTCTGTCAAAAAAAAAAAAAAAAAAAAGTTTACATATTGACTGTGATAAGTGAATCCACTTCTTGGAGTACCTCACTAGCAAATTCCTAGAGGCAGGAAGTAGAATAGAGATCCAGGGGGCTGGTGGGGAGGAGGGAAGGGGTGTTATTGTGTAAGGGGGAAAGCACTTCTGTTTGGGATGATGAACAATCATCTGGAGACAATAGTCGTAATTGTGTATGTAATTTGTACATATGTACACATTTATGTAACATTGTAAATGCATTTGTTGCCACTGAATTATACACTTAAAATAGTTATTAAAATAGTTAATAAAATAGTAGGGGCGCCTGGGTGGCTCAGTCAGTTAAGTGTCTGACTCTTGATCTCAGCTCAGGTCTTGATCTCCGGGTTGTGAGTTCAAGCCCTGCATTGGGCTCCATGCTGGGCATGGAGCCTACTTAAAAAAATTAATTTAATTAAATAGTAAACCTTATGATATATATTTTACCACAATTAAAAAAAAAATTATGGGCGCCTGGGTGGCTCAGTCAGTTAAGCGTTTACCTTTGGCTCAGGTCATGATCTCGGGGTCCTGGGATCGAGCCCTGTGTCAGGCTCACTCCTCAGCGGAGAGTCTGCTTGTCCCTCTCCCTCTTCCCCTCCCTACTGCTAATTCTCTCTCACTCTCTCTCTCAAATAAATAAATATCTTTAAAAAAAGAATAAAGAGAAGCCAGACACGCAAGAGAAAGAATATCCTGCCTAATGCCATCAGGGAAAAGTCCAAAGGCAGGCAAAACTCATCCATGGTATTAGAACTCAGGGGGCCTTTGGAAAAGTGACCAGAAGGGAGAATGGGGGAGGTTGGGGGGGGGGGGGCGTTTCATCTCATGATCTGGTGGTGAGTACACACACATGTTCTGTTTGTGAAAATTCATTTTTCTGAAAACTTATTTTCACACTTTAACTGATTGCCTCTTGAGTGGCTTTAACTTTCCGTTTTTGCCAAAAATCTTTGATGTAAGCCAGTTTTTTCTATTCTTTTTTTTTTTTTTTTTAGATTTTTTTATTTATTTATTTGACAGAGAGAGACACAGCGAGAGAGGGAACACAAGTAGGGGGAGTGGGAGAGGGAGAAGCAGGCTTCCCGCAGAGCAGGGAGCCCGATGCGGGGCTCGATCCCAGGACCCTGGGATCATGACCTGAGCCGAAGGCAGACGCTTAACGACTGAGCCACCCAGGCGCCCCAGTTTTTTCTATTCTTGACAACATTGGACATTATCTTTTTTTTTTATTATTTCTTAGAGAGTGCAGAAGGGGGAGGTGCAGAAAGAGAGAGAGAATCTTAAGCAGCCTCCATGTCCAGTGTGGAGCCCAACAAAGGCTCCATCCCACGACCCTGAGATCCTGACCTGAGCCGAAATCAAGAGTCAGACGCTCAACCGACTGAGTAGCCAGGGTTCCATCAACTTTTTTTTTTAATGCTAAAAATAAAGCAACTGACTCATTCAGTTTGCAACACACCATTTGCTTTGTGAAAACTAGCCCTGTAGAGGGACGCCTGGGTGGCTCAGTCGGTTGGGCGTCTGCCTTCAGTTCAGGTCATGATCCCAGGGTCCTGGGATCGAGTCCCACATTGGGCACCTTGCTCGGCGGGGCGCCTGCTTCTCCCTCTGCCTGTCTCTCTCTCTGATAAATAAAATCTTAAAAAAAAAAAAAAAAAACTAGCCCTGTAGAAAAAAAAACAAATGCTGTTGGTATTTTGATGGACATGAGCAGACAAAGACTCCACCGAAGAGGCAGGTCTGAGCCAAACAGACATTTTGGATGGTTTAAGAATTCAGAGGCAGGGGTGCCCGGGTGGCTCAGTCGGTTAAGCGTCTGCCTTCGGCTCAGTTCATGATCTCAGGGTCCTGGGATCCAGCCCCACATCGGACTCCCTGCTCAGAGGGGAGTCTGTCCCTCTCCCCTCCCCACTTGTGTGCTCTCTTGCTTGCTCTCTCTCATAAATAAAATCTTTAAAAAAATAAAGAATTCGGAGGCAGCTCAGAGCCACCCCGTAAAAGACCCCATCCTGTGATCTACATGAAACATTAAAAAAAAATTTTTTTTTTTTTTTGAGAAACTCTTGTCAGCAAGCACTCCAGCCAGTTCAAAAATGCTTCTTAATGGGGCGCCTGGGTGGCTCAGTCGTTGGGCGTCTGCCTTCAGCTCAGGTCATGATCCCGGGGTCCTGGGATCGAGCCCCACATCGGGCTCCCTGCTCCGCGGGAAATCTGCTTCTCCCTCTCCCACTCCCCCGCTTGTGTTCCCTCTTTCGCTGTGTCTCTCTCTGTCAAATAAATAAATACAATCTTTTGAAAGAAAAAAAAATGCTTCTTAAGCATGAGGGAAGACTCCAGTGAAACCAAGAGGCCATTTATGCAGGGTGGAAGGGTCTGTCCAGGAAACAGAGGAGAATCATCAGGAAGGAGATAGGAAAGAATAGGCAGGCACTTCCACTTGCAAGAACACAAGGGAACTCTGGGGAAAATCTTGATAAAAGGAAATCTATGACCACCAAGTATAGCTCATAATTCTGCCTCAACTGAACCCAGAATAAATACCACCCCACGCCGCCTTACCATTTGCCTTTAACCCGAGCCATGGACCCAGGCACAGCAAGGCCCAGTGTCCAATATAAAGTTGCCCAGGGCAGGCCTGGGGGCCCCATCCAGGCCTTGGATATCCACTCCAGTGTGTTCATTTGTCTACAAGGCTCTTGACTTGGTTTGGCTTTGTTCACTCCTGGGACCTGCAGGTTCCCGAGCTTTGACCCTCTTTCCTACCAAAGACACAGCTTGTCCCCATCCCATGGCTCTACTTGTTCCAAGGAATACCCTTACTCTTTTTTTTTTAAACACTGCTATTCCCCCACTGGGCACCTCCTATAACCAAAATGACATGTGCCCATGTCACCCCCTGGAGTCCTGACTTGTTGATTTTTGAGATTCCTCAGAAATCTCCTCTTTATTGCAAAGCTGGGAGTCTGTGGCTTCCCCTGGGCCTTCCCCAGCATCACTGTGACCTCTCTGTTACCCAAAGACACTCACCCATAAGGCCATCTGGCACGGGCCAAGCACATCAACGATGGCCAAGCCTTGGAGGCCAAGGCCACTTCCTTCCACTGGGTCTCCCTGCAGGCCAGTACTGGTGTTGGTAGAAAAGTGATAGGTGTATCTGGTGCCCACAGGGAGGTGGGGATCAGCTGACCCTGGAGAGCAGACAGAGGGCACAGTGTCACCTTGACAACCCATCACCCTCTGGGACCCAACTGCATGGAGACTATTTGGACATCCTGTTCCCACCTCCCTCCCTCTATCTGGGCCATGAGCTGCCTGCTCCTGGTGCAGGGGAAGGCTGGGGGGCTACACACTCCTATGAGGGTCAAGAAGAAAATTACAATATTAATAGTTAGTGCTTAGTAAACCGGTGTTCTCAGATGCTAAGGCCCCCTTCTAAGAGCTTTATATGTCATCTTTGGCCTCTACCCACTTGATGGGACACCCAGTTGCCATAACCAAAACTATCTCTAGACATCGCAAAATATCCCTGAGAGGTACCATCATCCTGGTTCAGAACTAATGATCTACACTTACGTGAACCCATTTAGGCCTCTTACCCAACTTTGAGGTGGGTGCTCTTAGTTTCCCCATTTTACAGAGGTAGAAACGGAGGCCCAGAGAGGTTAACTAACTCACCCAAGGTCACACAGCTGGGATGCCAACCTTGGAAGTCTGACTCCTCACCTTGAGGACTATAGCGTGTGCGAGGAAGGTGTTGCCCTGATCCCTTATGGGGGCAGAACTGTCAAGCTGACGGGACTCAGGAGCACTGAGGTGGCGGAAAGGGCTGATTTAGGGAGCAGACAGCTCTGTACTTTTCTAACCCTCTATTTAGGCCAGGGGACAGATTGCAAAACTGTGACACCCCACCCTTCTCTGGGGCTTGCAAGTGAATTAACATGTTCATGTGCTCAAACAGAGCCACGCCTTTCACTCCCAGGATGCTTCTCTCCCTCCAAAGAATTTGCCCTGAGGTTCTTTCATCTACTCCACCTCAAAATGCAAATAGAATCACCCAGCACAGATGTTTATTCCACCTGGGGACCACAAGGTATGAGGCCAAAGCCCATGGGCGCTTTACCTTGGGTGTGTTGTTTGCTTCTCTAACTGCTGATGACCAGATGGCTTTTCCAGAACTGGCCTCGCTCCACCCAACCGGCCTCCCCTGGGAACGGGGATATGCCCTTCGAGGCTGTCCTGAATCACACCCAGCAGCTGGTCAGCCTTGTTCCCACAACCACCCCCACCCCATCCTGTCTCCTGGTCACCAGAGGTGTGATAAGGTCTCCTGGGAGACTTACTCACCTGTGCACGCCATCATGCAGGAGGCCGCCTGTCTCACCAGCGAATCTGGAATTTCTGAAATCACAGATCAGATGGAACGAGCGCAAGGCCAGAGGAAGGAGAGGCTCAACCCATGGGCTACTGACCTACTTGTGAATGGGACGGTTAAGGGTTCAAGGGGATAAGAGAGAACGCCAGCTCTCCTGTCTCCCATAGGGCTGGGAGTGACCTCCCCAGCCCTTACCCAACCTGATCTTCCCCATCTTGCTTGCCCACACCACTGTCCCGATTGCTTAAGCTGGTGACCTGGGAGTCATCTGTACTTCTACTCCTTTCCCTTATTGCCACCCCAAATCCAGTACATCAGCACGCTCTGCCAATTCCATCGACAAATGCAGGTCTCCCTCCCTCCCTCCATCTCTCCATCCCTCCCTCCTCCCCTCCCTCCCTCCATCTCTCCATCTTTCCCTCCCCTCCCCTCCCCCCCATCTCTCTCTCCATCTTTTCAAACTGCCTCCCTCTTCTCCTCCCTCCCTCCTGTGTGTCTCCATCTCCCTGGCCATCACTCTAGACAAAGCCGCACCTTCTCTTGCCTAGATGATGGAAGTAGCCTCCTAACTATTCCCCCATGTCCACAATTCATCGTCCACAGCTAGAGTCATCTTAAAAACCTAAACCTGATCCCATCACTCCTGGTTTAATAGCTCCTCAGTCTCCTGCCCACCACTCCCGAGCCACATGCACTCATAAGGACATCCTGACCACGAGAGCTGGCCTTACTCTGCCCTCTGGCCACATCTCATCCTGCCCTCACCCTCCAGCCACACTGGCTCTTCTTCAGCTCAAGGCCTCTGCACATGCTGTTCCCTCCTGCCCGAACACTCTTCCTTCTGCTCTTCACACCCCCGGCTCCTTCAGGTCTCGCCCCAGTAGGGCCCTCCCTGACCACTACGAACCAACAAAGCCAGACCAAGGGGCTGCAGCAGTGAATGCTGGACCCTAGCGCTGCTCCCTGGTGGGTCTCAGGACACCTCATCCCCACCCCCACCACCTTCTCAGCTGCAGAAGACAACCACAGCATGAACAGCCTGGGCTCCCGACCTCCTTAGACCTCCTTAGCCCCTACCTTGGGCCACTGAGGTCCCTCTGCAGGGAACCTCCCAGCCCCCCTCCCCAGCAGCTCTCCCTCTGCCCATCCCAGCCTGAGGCCTTCCCACTTCCACCTTCTGTCATTCTCATTTATCCTTCCTTTCAGCCACTTGCCTGCATATTTCTGGCCATCATTGGCCCTCCTGGGACAGCCTCAGCCAGGTAGCCATCCATCTGCAGCCATTTTCATACAACGGCTTTTCAGTAATACCATTTCTATCCTCAAAACCACCCCACCAGGGGCGCCTGGGTGGCTCAGTCATTAAGTCATTAAGTCGACCTGCCTTTGGCTCAGGTCAGGATCCCAGGGTCCTGGGATCGAGCCCCGAATCAGGCTCCCTGCTTGGCAGGAAGCCTCCTTCTTCCTCTCCCACTCCCCCTGCTTGTGTTCCCTCTCTTGCTGTGTCTCTCTCTGTCAAGTAAATAAATAAAATCTTAAAAAAAAAAACAAAACCACCCCACTATGCCCCAAATGCTAACCATTACCCACGCCAGCCTGTTCAATCCCTTGAAAGACAAAGCACTTCCCCCAAACAGGGGAAAGTGCATTTTACACCATTTTGTATAGACCCTTTGCAACAAAAGAACATGGTAGGATGTTCCCACCTCCCAAATGTTGTGTCTCATCTAACAAAATGCTCTTTGCATTCAAGTAGAGTATCGATGGATAAAACTACATTTCAAAGACATTTAACTCAATGGATTTTCCCTCCCAATTTTCCTCCAACTCTTTGACAATATGTACTCTGGGCACCAAATTAAACCTGTTTATGTATAATCATTAATTTATGCATAATAATTAAACTCCAGATTGGGCACAGATCCAGCATTCTGCTTGCTTGCTCATCCAACAACCTGCTTTACCCACCAGCTACTCTGCAAAGCAGCCGAGCCCACAAGCCCCCATCCACCATGAGCTCCAGAAACGAGATGCGTGCAAAGAACATTAGTGCTCAAACTGAGTCTTATTCCCTTCCACTTCTCAAGCACTTAAAAAAAATATTTAAATTAAAAATAAGTTTCAAAATGATTCAATAATCATACTCAAAAGATCAACAAAGGAGGGGGGGGGACACGGAGTCTTGGGAGGTAAGAAATCTTCCCATAGGATCCTATTCATTTCTAGGGAGAGATCTGAAAGGGACTGAAATTGAGGTTATCTCTACAGCCTAGAAATGAAATCAGGACTCATTTCAGCTTTCTCAGATGTCAGTTCTGGTCCCTGTTGATTCATTTATCCAGCACAGATTTACTGAGTACTTACTGTGCACCAGGCAAATAAGTGCTAAAAATGTAGCCAAAAAACCCAAAAAACGAAAACAGCTGTAATCTGACCTGCACCATCCAGGGCAATAGACAGATGCCAGCCACGTGTGGCTATCGGGCATCTGAAATGTGGCTGGTGTTATGGAGGAGCTTTTCATTTTGTAATTTGTTAACATAATTTTTTTGTTATTCATTTAATTTTAAATTAAAAACCGATACTAAAGTCAGCCACTGGAAAATTTAAGTACGTTTAGAACAACTTAGTATACAAAATTCCTTTTTCAACTCTAAATCTTAGGAAATCGAAACACACATTAAGTATTTGCAATGAAAATTTAGTATCCAAACTGGAATATGGGGGCACCTGGCTGGCTCACTTGGTAGCGTGCACGATTCCTGCTCTCGGGGTTGTAAGTTCGAGCCCCACATTGGGTGTAGAGATGACTTAAAAATAAAATCTTAAAAAAATTGAAATACACTCCCAGTATAAAATACACACTGGATCTCAGAGAACGGAAAATAAATCTCATTAATACTTTTTTACATTGATTACATTTTCTAATGAGATTTTGGCTATACTGGGTCCAGTAAAATATATTCTTAAAATTAATGTCACCCGTTCCTTTTTAACATTTTTTAAACATGGCTGCTAGAAACTTTCAAATTACACATTGGCCCCCATTCTGTTTTATTGGATAGAGCTGCCCTAGACCCTTCTGCAGTAAACAGACAACACATAAAAGCTCATTTCACCCAGTTACCCTGCATCAGAGAGCTACTTAGTATCTTCAAGCTCACCACCTCATATACCCCGGCAGACAGCTAAGCATCCCCGCACACGGGCTCAAGAGTCCAAGGTCAGCATTTCATCGCTCGGGGTTACAGATCTGGTCTCGGGTTTCAGAGGATGTTGGTGGAAGACAGGAGCAAGAAATGAGGGATCCACCCGTAAGCTCGCTCTCCTTTTCCCCATGAAAGGCCAAACCAAGGGAGGCAGAGGAACAGGTGAACAGGCATCTAGCTGCTAAAATACTGTCCCAGGTGGATGAGTTGCTGGCCCAGCTCCGCCCCAGAGAGAACCAGCACCACGCCAGCTTTACTTACTCCCCGAAGTCACTGCCACCAGAGCCCAGAGCAGGACCAGACCGAGGAGCCCCATGGGCACCAGCATCGCCACCAGCCCAAGGGAGCCCCACACCATCAGCCTCTCTGATGGCACAGAGCACCCTGAAAGGAATTTTCTTTCCCAAAGAGGCGGGCTCAGCCTGGATCAACTCTCCATTCCCAGGGCTGATGGGGAGGGGGAGGAGGGGGCTTCCAGAGCAAAGATCCAGCCAATCAGAAGCGTCCGATAAAGTTCTTAGCACTCTACCCAGGAGGAGGGGTGGGGGGGCTTCTGACCAATGAGGGGGAAAATCCCTTTTCAGTATAGAGGAAAGAAAGGTTTGCCTCTTCAAGCCTTGTAAATGGAGCTCTCGGGGCAGAAGGCAAACATGGCCATGGTTTGATTTCTTTTTCTTTTAACGGGGTCTAATCAAATTTACCATTTTATCCATTTTTAAATGGTACTTTGGTGGCACTGAGTGCATTCACAATGTCGTGAAACCATCATCACCGTTAGGTCGGGCTTGTCTGTCCCACTGCTCTGGGTAGGCGAAGCCAGGCCTTAGCCATGGCTTGTCACCAAACAGGACAGCTGCAGGGTCTCTCAGAGCTCAGGCCCAAGGCCTCCCTCCTTGACACATTAGGACCAGCAGTTAAGAAGAGGGGGGAGGGGCGCCTGGGTGACTCAGTCGTTAAGCGTCTGCCTTCGGGTCAGGTCATGATCCCAGGGTCCTGGGATCGAGCCCCCGCATCGGGCTCCTTGCTCAGCAGGAAGCCTGCTTCTCCCTCTCCCTCTGCTGCTCCCCCTGCTTCTGCTCTCTCTCTGCTAGATAAATAAAATCTTAAAAGGGCGCCTGGGTGGCTCAGATGGTTAAGCCATCTGCCTTCGGCTCAGGTCATGATCTCAGGGTCCTGTGATCGAGTCCCGCATCAGGCTCCCTGCTTCTTGGGAACCTGCTTCTCCCTCTGCCTCTCTCTCTCGCTCTGTCTCTCATGAATAAATAAATAAAATCTTTAAAAAAAAAAAAAGAGGGGGAGGTCTGCTCAGCTGTGCTCTGTGGCCTTTCCCAGACCCCACCTCCTCTTCCTCAGCTCAAACTGACCTCCACCCGCACCTTTGGTTTTAGGCTCCAGGCAGCCAACCTCCTAGGCCACCACCTCCTTCAGCCCTGCGGGCCCAGCACCTCTTCATTGGCACCTACCTCCCACAATAAATCTGCTTTTTATAAACTACTTTATTACGATATAATACAGATCCAACAATTCTCCCATTGAAAGTGCACAACCCAGTGGTTTTCGGCCCAACCAGAGTCGTGCAACCATCACCACACACAATTTTAGAACGTTTTCATCACCACGAAAGGAAACCCCATCACCAGGAGCCTCCTCATTCCCTGCCACCCCAGTCCCTGATTACCACTGATCTGCGTTCAGTCTCCATGGATTTGCCTACTGTGGACATTTCACAGGAATGGAATCATTTGCTATGTGGCCTTTAGTGACTGGTCTCCTTCACCAAGTGTCCTGTTTTCCAGGCTCACGTGCCATGTAGCAGGCTGTCCCCGTTTCCCTCCTTTTTGTGGCTGTGTACTATTCCACAGGACGGATAAACCACAGATTGCTTATTCATTCATCCCCTGATGGACAGTGAAGTGTACATTCAATGTTACTTTCTTAGAGTTAAACTGAGACACAGTTGACTGGTTGACACATGATGTTTTCGGGAAACCATCCATTATACTCTTATACTTGGTCCACTTTCTTCTCCTATTTTGAAACCAGGAATTTTGCCGGCTCAAACGTGTTCACTGGCCCCCAACCTGTAGGGCTGAAGGTTGAAAAGTCCCCGTACAGCTGCCTGGAGGCCCACAACGTGTTCTGGGTGGTGCCAAATGCTATAAAGAAAAGAAGAAAATACATCGAACGGGCAGGCCCATAGGAGCTAAAATCCCAGTGGGGAAATGGGATGGATGCACACATAGATGTGAAGCGTACCAAGGAGAGCCTTACTTCTGAGAAAGGAATGGTTTTTATGCCAGAGGATCACTGGGAGTTTATGAAGGAGAGATTGCCTTGAAACCTCAAAAACAAAACAAAACAAAACAACAGATAATAATGCTATTAGAAAATTGTATACTTGGGTGCCTGGGTGGCTCAGATGGTTAAGCGTCTGCCTTCGGCTCAGGTCATGATCCCAGGGTCCTGGGATCGAGTCCCACATCGGGCTCCTGGCTCAGCGGGGAGCCTGCTTCTCCCTCTGACCCTCTCCCCTCTCATGCTGTTTCTCGCTCGCTCGCTCTCTAAAAAATAAATAAAATCTTAAAAAAAAAAAAAAAAGAAAATTGTATACTTGCAACTAGTAGATAAGAGAGTCCTAGAGACCTAATACACAGTACAGTGATCACAGACCAGAAAACTGGATTATAAACATTAAACTTGCTAAGAGATTAGATCTGAGTTGCCCCCCATACTAGAAGAAATGATGGCTACGGGACACCACAGTGGTGTTAGCTAATGCTACAATGGTAATCATGTTGCAATATAAATATCAAGTCAAGACGTTGTGTACCTCCAACTTATACATTGTTGTGTGTCAAATAAATCTCAATTTAAAAAAATCGTATCAGGCACGGGGCAAAGCCCTCACTGAATATTAACTCATTCAGTCAAACCTCCCCCTCACCCCACCACCAAAAACCACCAGTGAGGTGCAACTAATATCCTAGGGTACAGACAAGGAAGTGGGGCACAGAGAGGTTAAGTCATTTGTCCCAAGTCACACAGCTGGACTCCCCCTGGCTCCAGAGTCTCCTCTCCCTCAACTCTGCAGCTTAGCTCAATGGTTATCACTTCTTGCATCTTCTCCAGGAGACTCTGGTCTCTGTCCACAGTCCTAGAATCCTCCCCTGTTCACGGTCAGGAATTTGAGAGAAAACCCTGCCATGTTTCACATGGTGGTTCCCAGTCAACACAGCACATTCTAGGCCTGGAAAATCAGAACCACGGTGGGGGCGTGGGTGGGGATGACTCCCTCCAGACCATTCTGTTGACTAGCTGAATGTGCCATCACCCTATTCTACCGGAGCTGGCCAGAGTAAGGCTCCCTGCATCTCTGATCCCACTTCTCCTTGTTTCTATCATTACTGGACAAAAAGCTGATGAACCTGCTGGACAGAGCACCAGGACTCAAGGACTTGATTTGAAGAAAGACCCTCCTAGACAAGCCTTCCCAGCCCCTCATGCTCCCACCAAAATTAAGTCCAGCTTCCTCCTTGAAAAAAGATGGCAGGGCTGGGCTTGCCAATAACTGGGGATTGAGCTCCCAGTTCTGAATTAAGGCAGAGGATAAATTAAGGCCTATTGCACCCAAGTCAGACTTATGAAAATTAACCAGCCTCCATGTTAATCCATCAAAAGATGGCATTATTTTGCATAGGTAGGGCAAGAGATATCCCATTCTAGAGAACTAACCAGTAGGGGGCGCAATGAGCTCTTCTTACTTGGGTAGAGCATTTCACAAAAGATCTTGTCCTTAATGAACCACACCAGCCATATTTTTTAAGACCTCATTTTTTAGAGCAGTTTTAGATTCATAGCAAAATTGAGAAGAAGGCATAGATATTTCCCATATACCCGCTGTCCCCACACATGCAGAGCCTCCCCTGTTATCAAATGATCCCAGCACAGTGGGACATTTGATGCAATTGAAGAACCTACATTGACACATTGTTACCATCCAAAGTTCATACTTTGCCTTAGGGTTCACTCTTGGGGCTGTACATTCTGTGGGTTTGGACACATGTATAATGATCTATATCTCCCACCATAGTAGCATACAAAGTATTTCACTGCCATAAAAATCCTCCGCAAGTCACCTATTCATTCTTCCCTCTCCCAGTCCCTGGAAATCACTGACCTCTTTATTGTCTCCATACTTTTGTCTTTTCCAGAATGTCATATACATAGCATGTACATACACATCGCATGTAGCCTTCTCACGTTGGCTTCTTTTACTCAGGAATATGCATTTAAATTTCCTCCCATCTTTTCATGGCTGGATAGGTCATTTCTCTTTAGAACAGAGTAATATTTCATTGCCTGGATGTACCATGTTTATTTATCCATCCACCTACTGAAGGACACCCTGGTTGCTTCCAAGTTTGGGCAGTTATGGATAATGCTGCTATAAACATCTGTGTTCAGAGCTTTGTGTGCACATAAGTTTGTTTGTTTTTTTAAGTAGGCTCTATGCTCAACGTGGGGGTTGAACTCACGACCCCAAGATCAAGAGTCACATGTTCTACCGACTGAGCCAGCCTGGCGCCCTTGTGTGAACATAAGTTCTTAACTCCTCTGTGCAAACAGTGAAGAGCATGATTGCTGGGTCACATGGTAAGAGTATATTTAGTTTTCTAAGAAACCACCAATTGTCTTTGAAGGTGGCTGCAGCATTTTACATTCCCACTGGCAACGTGTGAGAGTTCCTGTTGCTCCACATCCTCACTAGCATTTGATGTTGTCAGGGTTTCAGATCTTAGCCATTCAAATAGGTATAAATAGGCATAAAGTAAAATTCATTATTTTAATTTGCATTTCCCAGATGACATATAATATAGAGTATCTTTTCATGCACTTATTTGCCATCCATAGATCTTTATAAGGTGTCTGTTAGGGTCTTTTGCATATATATTTAGTTCTATTTCTTTCAGCAGAGTTTTATAGTTTTCCTCGTGTATATCTTACACATATTTTGTTAGGTTTATACCTAGGTTTTCATTTGGGAGATACCACTAGAAATGGTATTTTTATTTCCAAATTCCACTTGCTTGTTGCTAATAGATAGGAAGGCAATTGACTTTTGTATATGAACCTTGTATCCTGAAACTTTACTATAATAGCTTAATAGTTCTAACAGTCTTTTAGTTGATTCTTTCAGATTTTATACATAGATGGTCAGGTCATCTGGGAAGAAAAACAATTTTATTTCTTCCTTTCCAATCTGTATATCTTATATTACCTTTTCTTGTCCTATTGCATTAGCTAGAACTTCCAGAACAATGTTGAAAAGGAGTGGTGAGAGGGAACATCCCTCCCTTATTTCTGATCTCAGTGGGAAAGCTTCTAGATTCTCACTATTAAGTGTGATGTTAACTGTAGATTTTTTGATAGATATTCTTTAACAAGTTGAGGAATTTCCCTTCTATTTCTGGTTGACTGAGAGTTTTTGTCATGAATGGGTATTGGATTTTGTCAAATGCTTTTCCTGCATCTACTGATAATAATCATGTGATTTTTCTTCTTTAGTCTGTGTGATGTGATGATTACATTAATTGATTTTCAAATGTTGAGCCAACCTTGTATACTTGGGATAAATCCCACTTGGTTGTGGTGTATAATTCCTTTTATACATTGTTGGATTCGATTTGCTAATATTTTGTTGAGGATTTTTGCATCTATGTTCATGAAAGATACTGGTCTGTGGTTTGTTTTTTGTTTGGGTTTTCTGTTTTGTTTCTGTGTTTGTCTGACTTCAGTAATGGATTAATGCTGGCCTCACAGAGTTAGGAAGTATTCCCTCTGCTTCTATGTTTTGAAAAAGATTATAGAGAACTGGTACCATTTCTTCCTTAAATGTTTGGTAGAGTTCAGTTCACCAGCAAACCCATCTGGGCTGCTTTGTTTTGGAAGATTAATTACTGATTTGAAGGCTAATTAATGATTGGTTAATTATTGATTCCCTTAATAGATACAGGCCTATTCAAATCGTCTCTTCCTTCTTATATGAGTATTGGCAGATTGTACATTTCAAGGAATTGGCCCATTTCGTCTAGGTTATCAAATTTGTGGGTTTAGAGTGACTAATATTCCTTTACTATTCTTTTAATGTCCACAGGATCTATGGTGATGCATTCTCTTTCATTTCTGATATTAATAATTCGTATCCTTTCTCTCTTTTTCTTAGTTAACCTGGCTCTAGGCTTGTAAATTTTATTTATCTTTTCAAAGAACCAGCTTTTGATTTTGTGGACTCTGATATACTTTTTCAATTTCATTGGTTTCTGCTCTAATTTTTAGATTTCTTCTGCTTTCTTTGATTTGCTCTTCTTTTTCTAGTTTCCTAAGGTGGAAACTTAGATAACTGATTGTAGATCTTTCTGCTTATCTAATGTGTGCATTCAATGCTATAAATTTCCCTGTAAGCACTGCTTTTGCTGAGTCCCACAAATTTTGGTTAAGTTGTGCTGTCATTTTCATTTACTTTGAAATACTTTTTAGTTTCTCTGGAGATTTCTTCTTTGCCCCATATGTTATGTAGAAGTGTATTGTTTAATCTCCAAGTATTTTGGGATTTCCCTGCTATCTATTATTAGTCTCCAGTTTAATTTCATTATAATCTCAGAGCTGGCATCATATGATTTCTATTTTTTGCCGTATCTTTTATCTTTGAAATAAAGCCTGCTCCCTGTTGACTAGTGAGTTTGGAAAAGCTGGGGTGGGGTGGGGAACGCTAGCTCATCTCTTTACTTGCACAGTTAGTGTGAGCTTAGAAAAGTCACATGACCTCTCTGGATTTCTTTATTCATTGGCATAATAAAGGCGTTGGAAATTATTGGTCTAGTGTGTTCTGGCTCCATATTGTGTTCAAGTGGAGAACAGAGGGACAAGGAAAAAAAAAAGTACACACAGGAGTTACTATGTGATAAAAATAGCACCACGAACAGTTGGAGAGAAAGATTATTCAATAAATGAACCAGGTATATATATGATCACCCTGTTCACAGAAAACAACACATCAATAGATTTTCATCCAGCTAAAAGAGACTCAGGGGTGCCTGGCTGACTCAGTCAGCAGAACATGCAACTCTTGATCTCAGGGTTCTGAGTTCGAGCCCCATGTTGGGTGTAGAGATCACTTAAAAATCTTAAAAAAAAAAAAAAAAGAAGTCTAAGGTGGATCTCACTGGGCTAAAATCAAGGTGTTGGCAGGGCTGATTTCTTCTGGAAGCTGAGTGGAAAGAACCCATTTTCTTGCCTTTTCCAGCTTCTGGAGGTTTCCTACACTCATTGGCTTATGGTTCCTGTCCCCATCTTAAAGATTATCCAAGATAATCTCCCCCAACTCAAGGTCCTTACATTCATCATCTGCAAAGTCCCTTTTGTCATATAAGTAACATTCACAGGGTCTGGGGATCAGAATGTGAACATATTTAGGGGGCCATACTCACCTCGACACATTGGGCACACCCAGATAATCCAGGATAGTCTCTCTATTTGAAGGTCTGTCAACCTTATCCTATCTGCAAAATCCCTCTAGCCTTGTACTGTAACATCAAGATTCCAGGGGACTTTGTGTGGACATCAGTGACCACCGTGCTCTCCATATTTCCACCATCAAGAAAGCAAGATGCAGAGCGCTACAGGTTTTAAGTCATCATCCTGTGTTGAAAGATCGAAGCAAGAGAGAAAATAAATGTGTTTGCTTGTTAATGTGTAGAACACTGTGGGCAAGAACCTGCCAGGAACTGGTAACCGTGGTTTTGTCTGGGGGAGGGGACTGGGGGGGACTGGGTTGGGGAGCCAGAGGTGTGAGGAAGAGTCCATTCTTACTGCACCATTTCAATTTTGCTATGAGGCATAGAATGCTTATTCAAAAATTAACTGTTTGGGGCACCTGGGTGGCTCAGTCGGTTAAGCGTCTGCCTTTGGCTCAGGTCATAATCCCAGGATCTGAGGAATCAAGCCCCACACTGGGCTCTCTACTCAGCAGGGAGCCTGCCTCTCCCTCTCCCTGCCCCTCCCCCTGCTTGCACTCTCTCTGTCAAATAAATAAATAAAATCTTTTTTAAAAAATTTAACTGTTTATGGGGGCGCCTGGCTGGCTCAGTTGAAAGAGCATGCGACTCTTGATCTTGGGGCTGTGGGTTTGAGCCCCATGTTGGGTGCAGAGATCAAAAGATAAACTTTAAAAAATATTCTAAAAGACATTATTGGGAACATTTAAGAACTTTTAACTGTTTATGAGTGAAAGGCCAAGAAGTCTGCATGTAATACTGCAGCTAGTGAAGAATGAGGGAAAAAAACCCACAAAAGGCATTTGGATGTTTTACAGGAAAGAGGGAAGGCAGGTAAGCACCAGGGATGCAAAACTCTAAACAACAGTGTAATAATGTCAAGGGCAAAGACCATCCTTCCCTCTGTATCCCTCATTGCGGGGTCAGTTGTGATGAGAAATCAGCTCTTCTGAGCTGCTATGCAGGCATGAGACCAAGGACAACCCAGCTCACACGCAGTATCTGCACATTTAAGATGAGAACCCCAGCTTAGGATTCCCGCCCCAAGTTCCCACCCTGCGTTCCCCGGGCGGCGGCGGGGGGCGGGGCACCTTTTACGATAACAACTTAGAGTTGAGCACTTGAAAAGTCAGGGTCCTCCACCCTACCGCCTTGTAAGTCACAGGTGCAGACTACCCTGCTCTCCATCCCCTGCTCCCTCATAACCTGGAGCAGAGGACTGCCCGTCCCCCGACTCACTGGGGCCCCACCCCATTTCTTTCCATAATAAATCTTGCGACCCTACTTCCTTTGTGCAGGTGTATTGAAACTACATCTTCAATGAAAATGACCCTGTAGGTTTCACTTCCCCGAGGTGGGGTCTCTGATGCGTAGAGAACCACCTGCCCACGGAAACCGCGTGGGTGGCTGGCCCCTCCTCTTTCAGCGGGTCGGCTTGTCCTGCCTACTGTTCATTTCACACACCAGCTGCAGGCCTCCCAATACAGGCTCCGATTCACAAATCGAAGACCAAGGACCCATTCCCGCGGCTCTCGGGTGTGGAGCATCGGGTTAAAGCAACCAGCCTAAAATGACCCCTTAACCCTTCAATCACTCAATGTGATGGGGTAAGTGGGACGCCCTCCTGTTCCTCTCCCCCCACCCCCGCCCCGGGGGAATGGGGCGCCCACTGAGGTTCAGGTGGATCAGCCCGGACGTGGGGAGTCTTCTCGCCATTGGGAGATTCCCAAACAAAAGGCTGTGGTTGTTTTATGGACCCTGAGTTGGAGGGAGATGGGGAAAGAGTGGGAAGCAGTGAGCCCTGCAGTCAGCCTGAGAAATCACACACAGGGTCTTCAGCAGGGGCTGGCCTCCTCAGCATCCTTATCGAGGGTCTGCTGGAGCAAGATAGTTCCCTGCCCGCACCTGGTCCAGGAGCGGGGCAGCCATACCGCCAGTTTGCCCAGGACCGCCCCCACTCACACCTGCCGCCTCGTACAACCATCAACAGCAACCCCGTTCATCCTCGAAAGTTCCTACCTTGGTTTGCCACAATAATAATAAAAAAAAAAAAAAAAAGAAAAATCTTCAAAGAACACAGAGTAAAACTGTCTAACAAGCCATCATTTTACTAACAAATAGCACACAGCTGATTCTTTTTTGAACGGCGGATACAGCAAGTAGCCATTTCACAACCATGAATTTCGTAGCAAAAGGTTGCCATTGATGGAGAAACAAAATGCGGTCGATCCGCACAGCAGAAGCCTTCCTGACACCTGCTACAACATGGATGAAACTCGGAGACATTATGCTAAGTGAAAAAAAAAAAAAAAAAAAAAGCCAGACACAGAAAACCACACACTGTATGAAATACCCAGAAGGAGCAAACCCACAGAGATGAAGTAGATTAGTAGGGGCTTAGGGCTGGTGGGGGTTTGGGGAGAGATGGGGGGTTGGCAACTGTAAGGTACGGGGTCTGTTTTTGGGGTGATGAAAATGTTGTAAAATTGATTATGGGGATAGTTGCAAAATTCTATGAATGAATATACCCCCAAAAAACCCCATAGATCGTACACTTAAAATGGGTGGATTCTATCTCCATAAAATAAAGCTATTGCCCCCTCCCCGCAATAAAGCTCTGACCCTGAAACCCTTTGTCCGCGGCTGTCTACAGAGGAGATTCCACAGGGGAGTCTGAACACTTCTGGGTTCAGAAGCCTGCCTCTCCCAGCCCCTTCTCCCCCACTTTTCCCCACTCAGACACTCACCAGCCACCTCGCCACCAGTTGCTGAGGCCTGCAAGGTAATCAATGAGCTCCTATGAGGACTAGAACCCACATCCAAGCGTGTATTCATTCCTGCTTCCAGGGAATGGGCTCCGTTAATCACGACCCAAGGAAGAAACACCTCGCCTGAGGTCCGTCAATGCCAGAGAGACGCTCTCATGATGGCTTTGCAGGCGGGGGAGGAAGGCGGCCACTCACACCTGGCAGCAGGTGGTGGAAAGGAGACCCAGGCGGTCAGTTCTTGTGGTTGAGTCTCACCTGCTTGGCTCTTCTGATCCTGCTCATCTAAGCTGAACGCTGCCTGGTCCTAATTAAGACTGACTGCTTGGTGCTGAGCATGTGTCTTGAGAAGTTCCCTAGCTTAACCCTGATAGGCCAAGAGAGCCGGCCCCTGCCATATTCCAGCATGTCCTGGCATGTACCTGCACTTTCTGGAATGTTCCATAGCCTTCCCCTGGACCCGCCTATTCCCCAGCACAGACTTTTAGAGCCAGGAGGATCAGCCTGCCTCTTTTTCGAGAGGAGAGGAACTTGGCCCAGGGAAGTTTAAATGACTTGCCCCAACTACAATGCAGGCTGTAGGTGACTCAGGCACAGTTTTTTTTTTTTTTTTTTTAGATTTTATTTATTTATTTGAGAGAGAGAGAATGAGAGAGAGAGAGAGCATGAGAGGGAGGAGGGTCAGAGGGAGAAGCAGACGCCTCGCCGAGCAAGGAGCCCGATGCGGGACTCGATTCAGGGACTCCAGGATCATGACCTGAGCCGAAGGCAGTCGCCCAACCAACTGAGCCACCCAGGCGCCCTCAGGCACAGTTCTTGATGGAACTGCTGCTTTCAGTTCTTTTTCCTTCTGAAGGTCAGCAAGCCTGGACTGCCCCCTTCCCCTGCACTGTCCTGGTTCCAAAGACGGTAGTACGGAGGACATGCCCTCAAATTCTACCCTTTGCTTTACCAATATTATTTAATTACATGTTATACTCTTACTATTCTCGTTAATGGTTACAACCTCATTTAGATAGCCCTTTTTTAAGATTTTATTTATTTATTTATTTATTTATTTATTTATTTATTTATTTATTTATTTATTTATTTATGAGAGAAAGAGAGTGAGCAGGGGGAAGAGCAGAGGGAGAGGGACAAACACACCCCCTGCTGAGTGCAGAACCCACCACAGGGCTCGATCCCACGACCCTAAGATCACGACCTGAGCTGAAATCAAGAGCCGAACACAACCGACTGAGCCACCCAGGTGCCCCGGGATACCCCTTCTGATTTACCCTGTACGTACAATTCACTCTGGCCCCATTTTACTGGCTGTCACAGTAAATCACACATGTGGGCGCATTTTGCATGAGGGTAAAACTCACCTGGCCTACAACGAAGCATTTTCAAGTGAACAATTCAGTGGCATTTAATATATTCACAGTGTTGCACGACCACCGCTTCTGTCTAGTTCAAGACCTTTTCATCCATCCCAGAGGAGACCCCGTACCCGCAAGGCAGCCACAGCCCCCTCTCTCCGGACGTGGGCAGCCAGCAAGCTGCTTTGTCTCTGTGCATTTATCTACTCTGGAGAGCTCGTGCAGACGGAGTCCTACCACCGTGGGCTTTGTGCCTCACTCTTTCACCGGCCATCGTGTTTTCAAGCTTCATCCACGTCATAGCATTTATCAGTGCCTTCTTACGGAAATGCGCATATTTTAAAACGACATGCTTGGGTCAATGAGAAACACACCAACTCCCAAACAGAGGAGATGGTGCTTTGATCCAGGTACTTAGCACCGGGGTCAATGGGTGGTTTTGTCCCCTGAGGGACATTTAGCAATGTCTAGAGGCATTTTTGGTTATCACAACTGGGGCATGTGCTGTGGGCATCTGATGAGTGGAGGCCATGGATGCTGCCCCGCCCCCTTCAGTGCATGGGACAGCCCCCCGCCCCCCAACAAGGGATGATCTGGACCAGGCTTCCAAGAGTGTCTGTCCTCAGTTCCTCACCTGATCTGATCCCACGTTGCAGTATGTCCCAAACTCAGTTGTCGTTAGGAACCACGCATGCTTTTTTTTTTTTTAAAGATTTTATTTGTTTATTTATTTGAGTGAGTGAGCGAGCTGGGAGAGGGGCAGAGGTAGAGAGAGAATTTCAAGCAGATTCCCCACTGAGTGAGGAGCCCGACACGGGGCTCTATCTCACGACCCTGAGATCATGACCTGAGCCAAAATCAAGAGTCGGATGCTTAACCAACTGAACCACCCAGGCGCCCCAGAAACCACCCATGGTTTTTTAAAAAATACATACTCCTGAGCCCCTCCCGGGCCTTCTGAATCTGAATCTCCAGGCAAAAGGCCCAGGGATCTGTAGTTTGGCAAGCATGAGGTGAATTTCAGGACCAGAAGTCTCTCTGTTATGGATTGTTCAGTGGTCCCTCGTAAATCACTTGGTCTGTGCCTCCATTACTCTATCTGTAAAATGGGGATGAAGTTTTTCCTTTCCATCTGGAAGCATTCTTGGCAGGATTGGTGAAGACAATATGCAAAGAAGCGTTAGTACACAAGATAACCTTATAACATGCAAGGCAATCCTAAAATGATAACGTTCTTGTTTAAAATCCCAGGAGCAGGGCACCTGGGTGGCTCAGTCGTTAAGCGTCTGCCTTCAGCTCAGGTCATGATTCCAGGGTCCTGGGATCCTGCATCAGGATCCCTGCTCAGTGGGGAGTCTGCTTCTCCCTCTGACTCTGCCCCTCCCCATGCTCATGAGCACGCTCACACTCACTCTCTCTCTCTCTCAAATAAATAAATAAGAACAAGGAGCCTGCGTCTCTGTCTGCTGCTGTGTCCCTGGACCATGCTACAAGTCCAGGAAGCACTCCTTGAAGGAAAGAGGCACAATCGAGTCCGTCACATCAATGATAGAGCTTTGAAATGAAAACCAAACCCCAGACCAGGCTCTGCAACTTGGGGGCACACGGGAGCCCCATGCAGACATCCCTGGGCTCCTCCCTCCATAAAAATATATTCAAAAGTGTATTTTGGGGTGCCTGGGTGGCTCAGTCAGTTAAGTGTCCGACTCTTGGTTTTGGCCCAGGTCATGATCTCAGGGTCGTGAGATCGAGCCCCACGTCGTTGAGCTCCTCCCTCAGAGAGGAGTCTGCTTGTCCCTCTCCCTCTTCTCCTCCCCCTGTGCTCACTCTCTCTCTCTCTCAAATAAATAAAATCTTTTATTTTTTATTTATTTATTTATTTTTTAAAGATTTTATTTATTTGACAGAGAGAGACACAGCGAGAGAGGGAACACAAGCAGGGGGGGTGGGAGAGGGAGAAGCAGGCCTCCCGCGGAGCAGGGAGCCCAATGCGGGGCTCGATCCTAGGACCCTGGGATCATGACCCAAGCCGAAGGCAGACGCTTAACGACTGAGCCACCCAGGCGCCCCTTTTTAAAACCTTTTAAACAGTTAAAAAATTAATTAATTTTAAAAAGCAATAAAGCAGGGGAAAGTTAACCAGTGCAACCACAAAGAAAGGCTCTCAGTGATATGGGGAAAGAATCCTGTAATTCCATGGTCCAGATGCCAACTGACAAACATGCCATGATCACACACACACACACGCAGGAGGTCACTGCTGTGCTAACAGCTTCGGGTTTGAGAATGTGCAGAAAGGCGAGACCCCAACGCACAACCTCCCCACCAGCCTCATGATGAGGATTTTTTTTCTACCACTTTAATTTCAAACATGAACAAGAAATGTAAAATAGAGTTTCTAGAACTCTCCTAAGATGCTGTGTGTGTTCTTACCATCTATGCCCTCTCCTCTCTCAGCCTGGGACACCCTGGGAACAAAACGACAGAAACATCCCCACTGGACGTTCCCACAGTGTCCTTACCGGGGACGGCAAAGTCTGCTTGGGTGACGCGGCTTCAGGAGGGGGTCCCCACCGTCAGGGGCAGACACCTAGGAGAACTATGCAGCCCTGCGGGCAGATGTCCCACTTCTACCAACCAGAGGCAGGTGGGCAGAGCCACACCCCACCAGAATCTACCACTTACTGGAAGCCAGCCCTGCACTTCCTGCTTATCAACAGGAAATCAGGAGACAAGAGCTAGAGGAAAGGATTAGGTTTCAAGGAGGGCTGCTCTTCCAAAGAAAATGGGAGGAATCCAGTGATTCCACCCAGAGAGGGAGAGACAGCAAATTAAGTCGCACAGAGCAGCAAACAAACTTTCAGACTCCTCTGCCATAAGCTGCCTCCTACCAAGGAGAAAACACCAGAAGGACTTGCTCCCCTAGAGGATGAGGCGCCCTTCCCCACACATGCCGTCACTGCCCAGCCCTGTCTCCCCACCCTTCTCCCTCCTGGCTTGTAACAGTTTGTAATGTTAGGTTTATTTGCTGTCTCTCTCTCCCCTTCTATTGTCAATGCCACAAGGGAGGGGACAGCGTCCCCCTTCACTGCTGTACCCCAAGCCGGGCATACAGGTAAATAAGTTTGCACCTGAGGACTCTATTTTGGAGTCCGTAGCACCTTCCCAAAAGAGGGTCCACACAGAGGGCTGAGACGCGGCACCCACCCCTCCTCACTTTTCAGGCTCAGTAAGAGCCCCAGAAGGATTGAAGAGGGTTCCGATCAGCCCAGGAATCGAGGCGGGCCAGCCTGGGGGGCAACCAAACCCAGCTCTGTGGCCACCAGGCTGCCCCAAATGGCTCTTGTTGCGGGAGATGACCAAGTTCTCCATGCCAGCTCAGTTCGCAAAGGGGATCACTTGCTAGAGGGGGCTTTGCAATAGGAAACACGTGTTTAAGAAGCAGCAGGGAGGGGCGCCTGGGGGGCTCAGTCGTTGAGCGTCTGCCTTCGGCTCAGGCCATGATCCCGGGGTCCTGGGATCGAGCCCCACATCGGGCTCCTGCTTCTCCCTCTCCTTCTGCTCCCCCTGCTTGTGCTCTCTCGCTCTGTCCAATAAAATCTAAAAAAACAAAGACCGGCCTTTTCCAACCTTGTAGAGGTTAGCCCCTTGTTGCGATTTAAGTTAAATTAAAACCACTCTCGGGCGCCTGGGTGGCTCAGTCGTTAAGCATCTGCCTTCGGCTCAGGTCGTGATCCCGGGGTCCTGGGATCGAGCCCCGCATCGGGCTCCCTGCTCCGCGGGGAGCCTGCTTCTCCCTCTCCCACTCCCCCTGCTTGTGTTCCTTCTCTCGATGTGTCTCTCTCTGTCAAATAAATAAATAAAATCTTTAAAAAAATAAAATAAAAAGAAGCAGCGGGGAGGTTCTTCAAAAGTTAAACCGAATTGTCGTATGGCTCAGCAATTCCACTCACAGGTAGATACTCAGGAAAACCGAAAACAGACGTCCACGCGAAAACCCGCAAGCCAACGTGAACGGCAGCTTCCGCTGTTCATAACAGCCCAAACAAACTGTGGAGTGGGGTGTCCACACCGAGGGATACTTTCCAGCCACTAAAAGGGAGGAAGCACTGAGACCTGCTACAACATGGATGAACCTCAAAAACAAAAACAGGTTGCATCAAAGTAGCCGGACACGAAAGGCCACAGATCAGAGGATGGCATTTACATGAAATACGCAAACTAGGTAAATCCAGAGAAACAGAAGGCACAGGGGAGGCCGCCAGGTGCCCGGGGAGGAGGCAAAGGGGCATGACTGCTTCACGGGGGTGCAATTTTATGCGGGGGGGGGGGGGCGATGAGAATGTGCAGAATTTGGCAGGGGTGAGGGTTGCACAGCACCTCGAACATTCCAAACGACATGGCATGCGACACTTTCGTGGCAGGTGAATTTTAGCTTAAAAAACAGAAGCCCCCAGACCTGTTGGCAGGGCCGTGCGGGGCCCACTGCTCAGTCTTCCCAGGCAGAGCGGTGTTTGGTACCCCAGCTGCACGACCAGGCAGGAGTCAATCAGGGATAACACGAAGACCAGAGGTGGCAGATCGGAGGCTCCCAGAGGTCGCCCCTAGCACTCACTTTGCACTGTGATCCCTACACACATGCACGACTATACACACGCAGGTTCACAAACAACACTGTGCTCTGCGTTGCTCCGTCACACTCGCTGCACGCACCGTGAGGCTGATGCTGCCTAATTGGGAAACGGTGCACGAGAGCTTTAGACCCACTCGAACGTGTGGCACGTCCGCACCACGGAACACTATTCAGCACCCAAAACAGATGAGCTCTCAAGCCATGAGGAGACAGGGAGGAACCTTACGTGTGTAACGCCAAGGGAAGGGTGCCAATCCGAAGAGGCTGCATCCTGGATGATTCCAACTCTGGAACATTCTGGAAAAAGCCAAACTGTGGAGACAGTAAAAGGATTAGTGGTTGCCAGGGGCTAAGGGGGAGGGAGGGATGGACAGACAGAGCGCAGAGCAGTGAAACTAGTCTGGAGGATACTTTAATGGTAGACACATGTCATCACACCTTTGTCCAAACCCATAGAAGGTATGCCACCAGGAGTGAATTAACCCTGATGGAAACTATGGACTTTGGGTGTTAATGGGTCCGTGCAAGTTCATCAGTCGTAACAAATGTCCCCTCTAGTGGGGGGAGGCTGTGCATATGTGGGGAACAGGGGATGCCTGGGAAATCTCTGTACTTCCTACTCAGATCTGCTGTGAACCTAAAACTGATCTCAAATAGCTTCTTTAAAAGGGAAATAAACGTACTTAAATGCGTGAACATTTTCCTAATACTGAGATTAGTCACAAAAGTTAAATGTGCTAGCTGGTATCCTTGGCTGTGAACTGGGGTTTTGTGTGTGTGTGTGTGTGTGTGTGTTGTGTGTGTGTTTTAATCTGAGCCTTAGAATCTTGTTTCTTTCAAATTCTTAAGACTGGGGAAAAAAAACAAAAAACAAAAAACAAACAAAAAAAAACCCCTCCTGGTTTCTCTCTTTCATCGCCTTGCTGGATCTACTTACAATTCTCCCATGCACCTATGAAAAACAGACAGCTCATTGTAAACATTTGAGTCATAAATGCAGGAGATAACTTTAATAGGATCCAAAATGGAAATCAGAATTTTGGAAGTAAAATTCCAACGTCTCCATTTACTCCTAATAGAGATCTTTGAGCCCAGAATATCAGAGGATTTTAACATCCTGAACATGAGAGGCTGTTGCTGGGGAGAAAAGCGAGGCCAAGCTGTGTGAGTGTATGAAGCCACATTTATGAATAGCTCAGTGCCCAACAGAAGTGCTCACAGTAGCAACTGGGAAGCCGACTGTCCTAGAGAAAACATTTTCATGGGTAGCGCTGTGGTCAGCCAGGAACCAGTCATGTGCTTCTAGTTGGCTTAAATAGAAGCTATAACTAACTGAATGCTTTTTGTTAACAAGACACACACCCCACACTTTTGCAGAAACCCACCTCTCCTAGACGGACTAACAGCAGGTTAAGACAGACAGCCATTGGGGGCTTGAAATTGGCAGAATCCTACTTTGAGGTCTAAGCAGATATAGGGCTCTTCCATCAATTGAATGTGATTCCGTGTTAACAAACTTAACTCTGACGTCCCCGATGCCAGAGGCCAAACAAGAGCCTTTTAATTTGTAACCATATATGAGTAAGCCCACACTCCGCACAATACAAGGCAATGACAGATGGAGGCTTCCTACTCCAGGCATCTGACATTATTTTTAGTCCCACAGAGTGTATGTTTTATGGTCCTTGAAATAGGGCTCTTGTTTTGTAGACTCTGCATATATAATTAATAACAGCTTGAGACAATTTATATACCCCCATCTGAGCAAAACCGCTGAATATGCACAGCCCTCATTTTGTCAAACGAAAGGAAAACACACGCTCAAGATCGGGTGAGCGGCAATTTTTTCAGGACTGTTGAAGTTAAAGAGTTTAAACGACAACGTCGGCCACACCAAGAGGACATGATTGTCCTGTGCCTTCCGGAATGAAGCGTTATCACCAGGTAGGAGAAGGGTGGATGACAGTCATATTCCCGGCAGAGTTAACAATGCCCCCCTTCTCGCATCTCACAAATGCCCCGATCAATTAACAAAGCATGTTTTGTTTGGAGAATGAATGAGGACAGCTTTCTTCTGTGCATTTTATTAAAACTTGAAAGCTATGCCTTATGCCATAGATAATGCCTCGTGAGCTCCAACAGCCTAACGTCCAAATCGGACTCGCTAGCCATCCACCCAACTCACCATCGGTCATCTTGACATGGAGGGATATTCAGCGAGTCTGACGTTTTTATCATGAAGGGTTTTCTACCATCATGGAACAAATAAAGGTTCTTTGTATCAGTGGCTGGAAACGCAACACAAGACCTTTCTTCACACCGTAAGAACTGATAAATAGTTCACTGAGTGAACCAAAGACTTTATTTTTTCAAAAGCAGATAACACCAAAGTACTATGTAGTATCCGTATTTGTTGCAAAAATAATTACTGGAACTATCAAAACATCGAATGAATAAGCTGGATCACTGGTTACAGCTATAATTTTTGGCCAATATACAGATTTTCGTTCCAGGTCTAGGCTTGATTTCTACATATTATTATTCACATGCATTCCCTGTGCCTATTTATTATCAAAACGGGGACTCTCAAGAAAGTCGAGCCCAGCTTTATCTTGATTTCGGAGATGACGCAGCGCTAACCGAGAACTCTGGCTTGTTGATTGAGTCCTAGAAATCATGTCTTCTGATGTCCTACAACAAATTCTATTTCTGAAAAATAAAATCAGAATTTAGATTCCTTTGAAGCGTCAGGTCCCCAAGCTCTCCAGCACCATGGTACCCAGATGTGCTCACCCTGTGCATTCCTCTGTCTCTCTAAACACACCACTGGGTTTCCCAAAGAGGTCCCCCTTGAAGAGTCCCATTACAGATGTTTTTAAGAACTGCACTAAACCCAAGTAGAGGCAGTGGATAAAAGGATAAAATTATCCATTGCTTTTTCTGTTAAGGACCAAAAAAAAAAAAAAGAATGCATTGATCACTAGGAAGTGGTAGCAATCATATGGTTAAGAAAAATGGTTCTATATTTCAAAATGAAGACGAAAAGGAAGTCAGAAAAAACGGTTGTTAAGACAAACAATTCCTCTAGAAGAAAAAAAGCCCTTCCCCGGAAGGGGCTGAGGATCTGGTGCCGAGAATGGAGTTGGGGGGCGGGGGGCAGGTCCGCGGTAAGAGCCAGCCCTGCATCTCCAGCTCACATGTAGGACCTCGTGGGTGGGAATAGCTCCCCCTGGCACTTAAAAAAGGAATGAAGAAAGTAAAGTGAATTTGTGTGCTAATGAAAAGCCCACAGTGGCAGGCTCTGAGAGCCAAGCCCTTCGCCGACGAGGCAAAGATTTTTGTCACCAGAAATGGGAACAGGTGGACGGACGCAGGCACTAAAGGCGGGGTCGGCCGTATTCGGGCCAGAACAGTCTCGAAAAATAAGGCAACCTGTGGCTTCTCAGCTTGAGACCTCCCCCCAGAAAGGCCCACGGAGGCAAGAAGTGAAGTCAGCCGATGGCCAATCGCCAGAAGATATTCCGATGGGGCAACAGTCAGGTGGGGTGACTTGGCGACACGGTAGGCGGGAACCAGCACTCGAGGTGAATGTCTTTGCATGTCCTGTGCACACCTCCAAGCAGCAATCTCTGGGGTTCTGGAGGAGGTGTGTTACTTTTGCGATATTTTTTTCCCCCAAAAGAAGACACGAAGGTGAAGCCCCTGGAGAGATGCGGCTACCGAGGCGGGACCCCCCCCCACACACACACACCAGGGGCGGGACGGGGTGAGAGGCGGAGAGCGCTTCCGGCAGCATGCGGTGCCCTGCACGTCGGGCCGAGTCCTACAAGCGCTTGTAGGTGCCCAGGAGAGCTTTGCAGTTGGGACAGTAGTGGTCCACGTCCTGCAGGGCATCCACACAGAAGGGGATGAAGCAGCAACCCGCTATGCACCTGGAGGACAAAAACAGACACAGAGCGTGTCACCCTCTGTCACAGTTGTGGATGGTGGCCACCGAAAAGATAGGTCGGCCGTCCTAAGCCCACAGGAACTCTGGTTGTGACCGTCCTTAGGACCAGGGTCTTTGCAGGTGTCATGAATGATCTCAAGATGGGATCGTCCTGGAAGATCCAGGGGGGCTCCCTCAACTCAAAGACTGATGTCCTTACAAGAAGAGGAGGGGATACACAGAAAGACAGGGGGGGATAAAGGCCACGTGACGATGCAGGCAGAGACTGAAGTCTTGCAGCCACGAGCCAAGGACCCTAGAGTCTCCACCCGAGCGAGCACAGCACCTTGACCGTGGACTTGTGTTGCAGCTTCCAAAATTGTGAGAGAATAGATTTTTTTTTTTTTTTAAAGATTTTATTTATTTACAGACACAGCGAGAGAGGGAACACAAGCAGGGGGGAGTGGGAGAGGGAGAAGCAGCCTCCCCGCCGAGCAGGGAGCCCGATGCGGGACTCGATCCTGGGACTCCAGGATCATGACCTGAGCCGAAGGCAGACGCTTAACCATCTGAGCCACCCAGGCGCCCGAGAATAGATTTGTATCGTTTGAAGGCACCACGTTTGTGGTTCTCTGTCCCGGCAACGAATACAGCAACCCACACCGAGCCTGTTCTCTCGAGACGGACCGTCCCGGGGGTATTTTCAGCTCTTGGGGCATGCCAGCGTCTTTCAGTCTTAGACTGGGGTCAGTGACCTTCTTGTGTCAAGGGCCAGATGGTACATATTTTAGGCTACACAGACCTCGTTCTGCCAAACCCGCCACAGATAATCTGTAAACAGTGTGGTACGTTCCCATTGAACTAAAATGGGCTGGATTTGGCCCCAGGGTTGTAGTTTGCTAACCCCGGTGTCTAGACTGATTATTCTTCCATATGGAGAGAGCGCTTCTTACGGTAACCACCAAACAAAATTCCCCAAATAACATCTCTTAATGTACATAATCCATTATCTGTGCACCCAGGCAGGAGTTTCAGACAGCCTGTGGTAGAATAAGAAATAGATCTGGTCTCTCTCCCCAGTTCCTGGCAATTAGCTCCAAAAGTCTGGGAATGTCCTGAGTGACCGGAGTGAGTGCCTTCCGTTATTCAAAACAAGCCCCTTTCAATCACACCTGATTTTATGCTAATAAGGCAACCAGGGCAGGGTCCCTGCCTTAGGATAGGGCTGGTCACCAGAAAGATGCTTGGTTCGTGGTTCCAAGGTTAGAAGTTTCAGCCCCAGCCACAGACCTCAGGGAGGGGACAGGCGCTGGGGTCAGGTTATAAAAACACTTGAACAACTATATTTGGAGTGCTTCAGGATTGGTAACCGCATCCTCGTGCCAAGAGAGCGGGTAACACCCCAGGTCCACAGGGACACAAGCTCTTGCACTGGGGACCCTTCTTGACCTCGTCCTCTGTCCCTCTTCATCAAGCTGTTGCTCATGTGTGTCCTTCATGATAAACTGGTAAATGTAAATAAAGTGCCTTCCTGAGTTCTGTGAGCTGCTCTAGCAAATTAGCAAACTGGAAGAAAGGATGGTAGGACCCTCAATTTATAGCTGGTTGTCAGAAATCCGGGTGGCCTGAGGCTTGTGACTCAGATCTCTACTGGGGGGCAGTCTAGGGCACTGGGTCCTTAAGCCGTGGGCTCTGCACTAACTCCAAGTAGTGTCAGAACTGAATGGAATCACCAGACACCCAGCTGCTGTTGGAGAGCTAGACGGTATCAGAAAACACCCCCACAGCCTTACAACCAATGTTGGTCCAAATTTAGTTAAAAATCAACATTTTATAACGCAAGCATGGGGAATATAATCCATAACACTGTCATAACTTGACAGGGCGACAGATGGTTAACAAGACCTATCATGGTGATTTTATAATGTATAAAAATATCGAATCACTATCTTCTAGGTCTGAAACTGATATACTATTGTATGTCAATTATGATTCAATTAAAAAAAAACAAAAAAACAAGTTACAGGAAGACAATGATTTACATAAAGGAGAAACAGGATACAGCCTGATGAGGAAACAACCTCATGCAAAAAACTTCCTCCTATTGCCTAAGTTTACCCAAATTCAAGTAAGGGTGCCTCAGTGCATTAGCACTAAACCTTACCGCACGCTTACGAATACAGAGCTCCGAACTGTGGGACACACATATTCTTATTTTATCCTCAACAACCCCCCTGGGCGGGAGCATTACTACCTCCAGTTTTCAGAGGAGGGAACTGGAGCACAGAGAGGTGAAGTCACTTGCCCACAGTCACACAGCAGTGAGAGGTAGGACTTGAACCCACAACGCCATGTGAAGGGAAGAAAAGGAGGGAGGGACAGAAAAGCTGCCTCGATTTGAGAGCTAGATCAGCAGAGGCTGACATTCAAGAGTTCTCATCCTGTCTTTCCCTGGTTTCTAAGATTAAAAAAAAAAAAAATGCATTTTAATAAAATGCCCAAGGACGATGAGCTTTTATTTCACATTTTTGGTCCAGGGACTGAAGAGGTCAGCCTTCACTGCAGTCCCGTGGGCAGGACAGGGAATCCAGTGCCAAGAAACCTGTCTGCTCTCCTTTCTACCCCCACTGAACATGTGTCCTCAAGGAAGCTAAGCTCTCCGGGGCTTTGCACCTCCCTTCGAAATGAAGAAGAGAAATATCATTCCTTCTTAGGCTAAGCCACAAACAGGAACAAGCCAGTTGTGCGAGAGGCCAGGGCTCCTAAAAGAGAAACGCACAGACACTGTTTCCTTCAAGGGAGAAAACAGAGCCAGGAATAAGGCCTTTATCTGTTTGGGGAAAAATAAATAAATAAATAAACTGTGCTTCCTCAAATTTCTCCCAGAACAAAAACTATGATCTCTTTCAGTATAATACCCTTGGGGCAGACATAAAGACACACTTTCCCTGTGTAGACCATGGGAAAAATACTCGGGGTCCTAAAAGGATAAGAAATGTTGAAG